CTTTCGAATTGCTAAGTTGGCAGGACAGAGCAATGGGAGCTCACTCCTTCACGGGGATTTGAACCGCCGACCTTCTGATCAACAAGCCTAAGAGGCTCAATGGTTTAGACCACAGCGCACCTGTGTCCCATACAATGTGCATGCTATATAGGAATCGGGGTTTCAGGTAGGAGTCTCTCCCAGACTCCCTGGAGATGCCAGGGACCTTCTGCATGCAAATCAAACACTTCCTACCATGGAGTTATCCAGCCTTCTCTACACAATCTACACAGAATGGGCAGCTTTGATTACTTGCCCTTTCCCTTGAGCACATAGTCCGCAAAGTCTTCTAGAGGAATTGTCTCATGCGCTTGTCCCCAGCAACCCTGTGAAGTAGTAGATCATTAATTTCATTAACAAGCTGGAAGGAAACCTATGAGGAATTGCAAGGGAAAGCGAGGCCAAAGGGATACAGAAAGTCCTTTGTCTCTCTCTCCCCCCCCCTCCGTTCTCCCCACCAGCTCTGTGAAGGAACAGGATATACTTCTGACCAAAAAGGCAGAGGCTTGCAGCCCCGACCAATGGGGTTTACTGCATGGATCTCTCTGCGCCTTGCCACATCTGTCATTAAAACTTAGAACATCCGTGCAAGGCGGCAGCTAAGGAGCTAGCTAGCTAATGGGATCTGTTGACATGGGATGCGATGACTAAGAGGGATCCTTTGGCAGTGCCAGCTTGTCGTCCTAATATTAAGTCCGTCCTTCCTTTTGTCATATGAGAAGTGAAAACTTGACGCAAAATGTGTGTCACGCCGAGCCAAAGAGACAGAAGCAATAAGGCATAATGAGGAGGCGAAATCACTCTGAAATAAGCAAAAAGAAAACCCCCTTGGGGTGGTTTAACACTTCCTGGTGCCCTCTGACAACGCTCTTTCCTAGATGGCAGGAATGCGCATGCCCACACGCCAGCGGAACAAAGTACATGCATATAAGCACATGGGGTGGAATACAGCGTCATGCTCTGTTGATGGCTCCATCGTGCATGAAGTTCTGCTTGCCAGATGCGACAATCTCCCCTCCCCTTCAGTGCTGTTCTGGGGCTTCTCCTGATCCTGACCCCTAGATCCCAAGTTTGCTTTAAAGAAAAAGTGGACGTTTCTGAGGTTGTTCACCGGGACAAGACAGTTTGAGCATATTACACAGATCTTGGCCCGACTCCATTGGCTACCAATTAATTTCATTCTATGACCTTCTAAGATTGTCCATGGGAGGTAGGCTATTGGCTTGTTTTGCTTTTATTTTATTATGTATTTTGTGTTGTTTTTTTCGTATTTTCATGTTGTGAAACACCCTGTGATCTTCAGATGAAGGGTGGTATACAATTTAAATCAACAACAACAACAACAACAACAACAACAACAACAATAGCATTTGTAGAAGCCGAGATAGAAGGCAAAACAGGCAAGCACTTTTATCCTCAAAGTCTTTGGATGCCAGGCGAAAACTCTTTTATTCCAGCTGCTCTTTGTGATTTGTCCAGCTCCTAAATTCCTACTGTTGAATATTATGAAACCGACCCACCTGCTTCTGTTATTTCGCTTTGTTTTTCTTCTACTGTATGCTTGTTTGTTTTTTAAAATTGACATGTTACTCCTTGCCTTGTCTGTCTCACTGCGAGTTTGAAAGGTGCAATGTAAATATTTCAAAAAGAGAAAATGGAAGAAAATAAAAGACTGAATTGCCACCACCGCCGCAACTCAATTACCCAGATTTTTGGTTTCTGGGTATGATTAAGGAACCATCTGACAAGAGCAGGCCTAAGTACATGCAAGTGAAAATAGGAATGACACCCAAAGCTGCCTTGTTGTCAAGTCAGAACTTTTGTCCACTTTGCTCAGTACACCGACTGGGTTTTCATGGTTTCAGGTGGAAATCCTTCCCTGCCCTAACTGGAGCTGGCAGGGCTTGAACATGGGAGCTTTTGCATCCAAAGCAGACGTTCTACCATTGAGCTGTGGTCCATTGATCTTGACTGAACCCAAGTTCTTAGTCTTGCTTCTCTGTTTATCCTTCCCTCTGCTGTCTCCCTTGTGCTGAGGTTTAGCCTGGAACTTCCTTGGGGCAGGGACCTGTCCTTTTGTTGTCGTGCCATAAAGCACCATGCACATGGACGGTGCTGAGTCAATAAATGAGTAATCACCTGCCCTTGTCTTTTACAAAGGAACTTCTTGTCCATCCTCTTTATTTCGGCTCGACAGTCCCCCAGGGACCTTCTGTAGCAAATACTGAAGTCCCCCAAAGTCATAAATGGAGGGGGGCACCACAAAGGACTCTTAAATGTTGGATAGTAAAGATAATTTTGACAGTAAGATAATAAGCTAATGGCTGTGATTTTTTTTTATTTTGGCAGAAGCTGGGAAGAGGAAGGCAAGTCACACGAATCACATGTTGCCTGCAGCATCCTGCTGGCAAAGTCAGAAGCATTCAGGATGCCTTTAGCTTGCTGTAGGGAGTCTCTCAGAAGGGGCTTAGAGAGATCCCATTTGGTCCTGAAAGGGAAGAGTTCAAATGATGGAAGAAACAAGGAAACAAAGCAATAGCAGAAGCTGGTTGCCTTTTAAAGAGAAACCATCAATTTTACCAAGCCAGGCTGAGGTGAGAACAGTGTGTTCTGGAATTCTTTTTGTGCTCCTTTTAAAACGCCAACCCACAACGCTTTTGGTGATGGTGGCAGCATTCAGAATGCACTGAAAATCTTTGCGGGGTCATGTGTAGATTTTGTACAAGAACAGTCCAGATGTTCATAGCGTGTACTACATCAGACAACAAGGAGTCTTCAAAAAGAGTATTATTTTTGTTGAAAAAAATAATAATCTGCAAATTGCATGTGTCCTTTTAAGCCAGATGTATATATGCATGTCAGCACATAGTAAGTGGGTTGGAACGTAAGTATTTTAATGTGGATGCACATGTGCATCTGCTCATGGCAACAGAGCTGAAAAAAAGCTCAGGGCATCTCTCCTTTCAAATAATAAAATAAAATAAAATGGTGCCAAGGCAACAGAAGATTTAGGTAACAATTCCTTGGAGCAGGTTGGTGGGGAGGAGGTGCCCACAAAAGTGAAAGGTGGCAGAGATTTCACAACTTTTTTTTATCAGCAAGGAGGGCAATTTTTGCATTGAAAGCTTAGATATCTTAAAGATTTGGTGCAGCCTGAGTCACAGGACTATTCAATTAAAACAAAACAACTTTGTCTGGTGACTGCCCGTAGTGGCTTATCAAGTGACAAAGGCACAGAGACTCTATAATGAACAGCTGAATCGGAGAGTCACCACGCACTCCCATTGACTCCCAAGCATGCTATCCCATGCATGCAGGAAATTTGGGGTCTAGCGCAGAACTCACAATTCTGAAAATGTCGGCTCATCTGCCCTTCCCCGCCCTAGCCCACCATAGGCTGAATGTGAGAATTTCCAAGGTTGCAAGAGTGAAATACTTCATGCTCTCATACAGCACCGAAACTCGCAAGTCAGCCAATGAAATGGATGAGCAGGACCTTACATATGAACACGAGAAGAGTCTCCTGGATCAGGCCAAAGACCCATCTAGCCCAGCATCCTTTTCTTACAGTGGCCAACCAGATGCCCATGAGGAGCCCACAAGCTGAGAACAACAGCACTCTCCAGTGCCAGTGTGGAGTAGTGGTTAAGAGCAGTGGACTCGTAATCTGGTGAACCGGGTTCGCTTCCCCGCTCCTCCACATGCAGCTGCTGGGTGACCTTGGGCTGGTCACACTTTTCTGAAGTCTCTCAACCTCACTCACCTCACAGAGTGTTTGTTGTGAGAGAGGAAGGGAAAGGAGAATGTTAGCCACTTTGAGACTCCTTCGGGTAGTGATAAAGTGGGATATCAAATCCAAACTCCTCCTCCTCCTCCTCTTCTCCTCCTCCTCCTCCTCCTCCTCTTCTCCTCCTCCTCCTCCTCCTCCTCCTCTTCTCCTCCTCCTCCTCCTCCTCCTCTTCTCCTCCTCCTCCTCCTCAAATGCAATTCCCAGCAGCTGGTATTCAGAGACACACTGCCTATGACAGTGGAGCAAAAACCTAGCTCTCCTTCTTCTCCTTCATGTGGCAAGTAGCCATTGATAGCCTGATATCCCACCAACTTGCCCAATCCTCTTTTTAAAGCCATCCAAGTTTGGCGGCCATCGCTACCTCATTTGAGACGCAAATCTCATGGTTAACTATGAGCTGTGTGGAGAAGTGTTTTCTTTTCTCTGTTCTGAATCTCCTAACTGTTCAGCTTCTTTGAATGTCCCTGGTTCTGGTATTATGACAGGTGGGGAATGACTTTCCCCTCTCCTCTTTTCTAGGTAAAGGGACCCCTGACCATTAGGTCCAGTCGTGGCCGACTCTGGGGTTGCACCGCTCATCTCACTTTATTGGCCAAGGGAGCCAGCGTACAGCTTCCGGGTCATGTGGCCGGCATGACTAAGCCGCTTCTGGCAAACCAGAGCAGCGCACGGAAACACCATTTACCTTCCCGCCAGAGCGGTACCTATTTATCTACTTGCACTGACGTGCTTTCAAACTGCTAGGTTGGCAGGAGCAGGGACCGAACAACGGGAGCTCACCCCGTCGCGGGGATTTGAACCCCCAACCTTCTGATTGGCAAGTCCTAGGCTCTGTGGTTTAACCCACAGCGCCACCCGTGTCCCTGTCCCCTTTTCTACACCATGCCAATTGAATGCACCTGTTTCATGTCTTCCTCTCTACTCACCTTTTCTCTAAAATGATACTAAGAGAGCTTGAAGGATGGTGCCAGTGAGCACCTTCTTTAAAGCATCAATTCTCCCCGTGTCTTAGAAAAGCACTTTCCAATAGACCCTCTCCCTAGTCAATTTGCAAAGCACTTTGCTGGCTCAGAAGAGAAGCAACCTGCCCTTGACTGGTTGGGATCACCCATGTGCCCAGTTCATGAAGCACGGCACTCACACTAACTTGGCTATGTTTGGCCTCAGTGATGCCATCACAAATAGCTCAGTCGGTAGAGTACAAGTCTCTTGATTTCCAGGTTGTGGGTTCGAGCCCCACCTGGGGCAAAAGATTCCTGTATTGCAGGGGGTTGGAATAGATGACTCTTGTGGTCCCTTCCAACTCTACAATTCAATTATTCTTTGCCCTCTAATTGGTTGGGATCCCTCCAGTAATGAGATCAGAGGGGGAGGGAAATGGCATCTGAAGCAGCAGCAGGCCACAAAACAAATGATATAAGGAGCTGCAAATAATGCCAAACCCCCGGGGAAAAAATGCAATGGCTTTTCAGGAACAGTTTTGGTTCCCTTGAAAGCACAATGTTCACCCTGAAAATATTAAGGGGTGAACATTTGGCACAGCCCTACTGATATTCTTTTTGAGATGAGGGTGTCTAAAACTGAACAGAGTGTTCCAAATGTGTGTGGTGCATATATTTGTATAATGAGGGGTGGTTTTTTTTACGCTTGTTATTCTATGTTCAGTCACTTTCCTGGTAATTCTTGATGCTTAATCTGCCATTGAAATAGCTCGCAAATGGCATGTAGGTGTTATACAGAAAAGAAAACCCCACCTCAATATTTTGACAAGAAAACTTAGCATGCCGTATGCGGGAGAATCAGAGGGACTGGCAAACTGAGCACAGCTATTCAATATAAAAATATCTCGCTTTTGAGGAATTTCTTGGCTCCCCCCGCCTCGCATCAAATCAAAAAGCCCCTCTTGGGTTACCTGCAGATTAAGCCAATGGTACTTTAGGATTTAAGTACCATACATATGCAGCCACCTCCAGAGATATCTCATGTACCTTGTAATAACATTCGCTGTGGGAGCGTTGTAATGTGGCCTCAGCAAAACTGTGTCTGCTAAATGCACCTGACTTTCCCCTTAAGCTAGAAGAGAACACTTTAACTAAATAAGGCACTAGGCTCCAGCAGGAGGAGACAATTCACTTTCATCTTGTCTTGCCACTGAGCTCAGCAAGCAGGTTTGATGGAAACCATGATAGGAGCTGCAACTTCACAAAATTATTCTAGGGCATAATTTACTGGCTTCCTGGAACCTGGAATGCGGCTTGGAAGCATCAGGCAATGGCAGGCTTTGGGATTTCAAATTTCAGTGGCACCCTGTGCAGCACTAAAATTCATCTCCTCCTGCCTCTCATCTTCCATTCTAAGTCATTGTTGTGCAGTGCCCTCTCAGTTCGGTGCCCAGGGCAGACAACCCAGTTATGCTCCCCTAAATCTGCCTCTGTCTCAGGACCCCAGCAAGCTAAGTCAGGAACACGGAAAACTGCCCTATACTGAGTCAGACCATTGGTCAATCCAGCCCAATGACTGGCAGTGGTTCTCCATGGTTTCAGGCAGGCGTCTCTTCCAGTTCCCCTGGAGAGGCTGGGGACTGAACCTGGGACCTTTTGATGCAAAGCAGATGCTCTGCTGCTGAGCTAAGGTTCCTTCCCCGTGTCCGAGTCCTTTCATTCTGGATCAGTAGGATATGTTGTTGTTGTTTAGTCGTGTCCGACTCTTCGTGACCCCATGGACCAGAGCACGTCAGGCACGTCTGTCTTCCACTGCCTCCCACAGTTTGTTCAAACTCATGTTGGTAGCTTCGAGAACACTGTCCAACCATCTCATCCTCTGTCGTCCCCTTCTCCTTGTGCCCTCCATCTTTCCCAACATCAGGGTCTTTTCCAGGGAGTCTTCTCTTCTCATGAGGTGGCCAAAGTATTGGAGCCTCAGCTTCAGGATCTGTCCTTCCAGTGAGCACTCAGGGCTGATTTCCTTCAGAATGGAGAGGTTTGATCTTCTTGCAGTCCATGGGACTCTCAAGAGTCTCCTCCAGCACCATAATTCAAAAGCATCAATTCTTCAGCAATCAGCCTTCTTTATGGTCCAGCTCTCACTTCCGTACATCACTACTGGGAAAACCATAGCTTTAACTATAGGATATACAAGAGGCCAAACCCTCAAAGTGGATTTCCTGGAATTCCCCAGGAAGAGAAAACCACAATGAAACCAATGTGAGTCTGCTATGGGGGTGTGGCTTTTGCTTTTTTCATTGCAGTTCTGCATGGGAGGCCTGGGCAGGTCCAAGAGATAATTCTCTGCTCCTCAGCAAACTACAATTCCCAAGATCCTTCAGGGGAAGCTGTAAAGTGGTATAAAACTGTCATGTAGATAAGACCAAAGTAACCTAACAGATAAAGGTTGCCCAGAGCCTTATCTACTTATTTGAGTGTGCAGTGTCAACAAAGTACAGTGGCTGGTTGGAGGCTTGAAAGGATGAGGGGGAATAGCTTTAAACAGGGATGACCTCAGAAAGCACTTGATCTCTGGAGATTTCATGAGAAGTGATCACCTTAGACAGTAAGGGGAAATCTCTAAGTTGCTTTTGTCCTTAGCATCCTCTCTACATCACTGGAGCTAGAAGCCTCTGCCTCCATCTTCTCGCTTCCTTGCTCACTGAGTATTGGCCATCAAGCCTTGATCATAATAGACCAGGCCTGCCCAGGTTTTGACTCCTGACCGGGCGCAGCCCAACAGCCTTGCAAAGTGGCTTGCCAGAGAGTTAATAGCCTTTCTGTTTATGCTGACTTCCTGGAACAGGAAGGTTGCCGATTGACTGGCAAGCCACAATTCGCAGCTGGAGGACTCGACTGAATAAATCATGGTGGTGACCTAGGGGTCAAATGTTTTGTGAGCCTGAGCTGATGAGGTGGTGGCATTCTCATCATATTTACAGCCTCTGGACTGAAGAGCAATATCGACAACCCAATGGGCCTCCAGACCTTTGAGTCTCCAAGTGGGCTGCGAACGCCCCTTGTCTGAAACTGTGGAAAGCCACTGCCAGTCTGTGTAGACAATGCTGAGGAAGAATGGACCATTGTCTAGCTCAGTAGAATGCACCTTCCACCAACTGGTAGGGAAGCATAACTGAAGATAAGCCACGGTCCTGTCTGGTCCAGCCGGGCCAAGGCAGCTACAGCCAGTTCTGGTCAGGACCTTGGACAGAGCACTGCAAGAAAGCAGGCTGGAGCTTTCTCACACCAATGGAAAGTGGAGCTGTCGCTCCTGCAATGTGCCAAGGTTTTCTGAAGACTGAATGAAGTAATCCTGCTGTTCCCTCCACCCTCTTTGAGAAGCTGTGCCCCAAAAAGGGGCCAGGGCCTTATTCTGCAGCGATTACCTGCCACAGTTCTGTGTGTGTGGTGCAGGGACTCAGAGACATGGGTCTTCCGAAGCTGAGGAGGATGTCAAAGCAATGTCCTCTGGCCTGGAACGGCTGTGGGCGGAGGGAAATTGATTCGTCAAAAGGTGCCTGCTCCCCATCCTGAGCGTTGGGGAACATAGAATTATAGAGTTGGCAGGGATCTCTGAGGTCCTCTAGTCCAACCCTCTGCAATGCAAAAATCTCAACTAAAGCATCCATGACAGACGGCCATCCAACTTCTGCTTTAAAATCTCCAAGGAAGGGGAGTCCACAACCTCCCACAGCGTTAGCCTGGGATGGTGATAGAGAGGGGTTTATTTACGTTTTATTGACTAACAAAATGTATGAACTGCTTCTCCTGTTTAGAATGTTTTCATTCCCAGCCAAATTTAAGTCCTTGCATTTGCTCTCCCTAATTTCTCCTAACCCTCTGTCTTCTGCCCCGTTATCTGTTTTAGATTGTAAGCTCCTAAGGGCAGGGGCCGACTTGTATTTTATTTTCTGCTAATGAGCCTTTATCAAATGCCACGTAACATTAACGAGGCTGTGTGCATAATGAACAATACAATTATTGTAATTGCAATAATTATACACAACAATAATTTGTGAAGTGGCTTCCATTATTTATCATTATTATTTAAAAAGATCTTTAAAAAAATACTTATAATGGCATACAACCAATGTAACCACCTGAAGACCGCACCTGGCAAACACAGTCTAATTAGAAGCTAATAATTGAAATCCTGGGGAAATTACATGAAAACCTTGTTTCTAACCTTGCAGGAAAAAACAAAAACAAAACTATATCGGGGTGTTTCACTTAATACTCTCCTCATCTGGGTGAAATTCCACCCATGAGGTCAGGCACTGGACCAGAGAATGCCAGAGGTGCTTTGAATTTTTATTCTTCTGAAAATAAGAGTGTGTGTGTGGGGGGGGGAGAAACCGTCCGTGTTTGGGATTTTGCCGGCGTGCTGGCACCATCTGCCTCCTCCCCGCTGTTCCTCTTTCACACCACAACTTTGTCTTCGCAGGCTTTCGTTAATATTTTACCCGGCATACCGAAACAAGATGCAAAAAATGTGTTTGACAGCAACCTTTTCCTTAAAATGATATAGCCCTGTTAATAAGGAAAGCTGTTCCTTTCTGCAAGGAATCTGCAGTGCGCGTGGCTCTTTCCTTGGGGGGTCGAAGCCATGCTGGTTGTTTCCTCTGTGTTATTATCCCCACAAAGCATACATACAAATCAAGGTCATTTTCCAGTCTCTCCCCTCCCCGTTTCCCCCCTCTCCCCGCTCATCAACAGCTACGGTGCAACCATTCAATTATCCTCTACAGATGACTCACATCCACTACCTTGACCAACTAGCGACTAAATTAGACACACACACACGAACCTAGTGTCAACATATGTTTGGCAAGGCCCCAACCCCAGAGCCCAAGACCTAGTGGAAACATTATTTTAAAAGACACAGAGTTCGCGTAAAGTCTAATGGCAAGTCTATTAATAATAATAATAATAATAATAATAATAACAATAATATACCACCCTATACCCGGAGATCTCAGGGCAGTTTACAGAATAAAATCAAAATATAAAACCACAAAATACATAATCAAAATGAAAACAACCCAATAGCCCCCCCCCACCAAACCCACATTTTAAAAGTGCATAGCGTATCATAGCTGTCACATCATGGAATGGAATCGGATGTGACAACGGTCCATCTGCCGCAGTACTGCCTGCACTGGCTAGAGCAGGGGTAGGCAACCTAAGGCTCATGGGCCACAAGCAGCCCATGGGGTCATTTAACTGGCGCACAAGCCGCCCTGAACCGAGCCGCCTGCTTGGTGAGTCCCCGCACGCTGTGCTAAACTGGCACCGTGTGGCGTTGGGACTCACTTCTGCGGCGCCTGAAATTGCGTCTGTGCAGACGCTGACACCGGAAATCGCGGGTGCATGTGCTCTCGCATCCACACAATCCGGCCCACGGAGGGATTTCCGCTGGAGTGAACCGGCCCAGGCGAGTTAAACCTTGCTGACCCCTGGGCTAGAGGCAGCTCTTCAGGAGTCTCAGGTGGGAGAATTCTGCAGCCCTTTGTGGAGGGGCTGAGTACTGAACGTGGGACCTTCTGCAAGCAAATCAGATGGTCTACTGCTGAGCTTAGGTCCTTCCCCTAATGGACAGCGGGTTAGCACCAAAGTGGAAAACCGCTTGCCTGGTTCCCCTCCTTTTTCCTGCAGTGTTTACCTAGGTGAAATGCATGAGATGGTGCCATCCTGCACTGCATTCCTTCATTTCTTCTTGGAAACAAATCCCTATGAGGAATGGTTGAAGGATTTGGTTATGTTTAGGCGGGAAAAGAGGAGTCTGAGAGGAGATATGACAGCCATCTTCAAATATCTGAAGGGCTGTCCCATGGAAGATGGAGCAAGCTTGCTTTCTCATGCTCCAGAGGGTAGGATCCGAACCAATGGCTTCAAGTTACGATACGGGATATTCCTTGTTTACATCAGGAAGAACTTTCTGAAAGTAATAGTGGAACGATCTCCCTCGGGAGGTGGTAGACTCTCCTTCCTCTTCGGTAACAACAACAACAACAGCAACTCCTCTGGGCGGCTTACAACATATCCAAAAATGTAACAAATACATCAGACCTTAAAAACTTCCCTAAACAGGACTGCCTTTGTCATGGAATTCTACTCATCCAGAGCAGCACTCCAACGCATATTTAGCAGAGTAAAAACTTAAACACGTTGCAGGATTCCAAAACACACACACACACACACACACATAGACCAGAGGCAATTAATTTCATCCAGCAGAGCTTTACTGCTACTGAAGGCAAATGAGCATCATGGTCACAGATCAAAAACACTCAGGATTGGCACTGTCCATAAGAAATCCAGTTGCAGCAGACTTAACTTAAACTTACAATAACTTATAATAAGTCTAAACCTCAATACAGTGTATTAAGCATACAGTGGTGCCCCGCAAGACGAATGCCTCGCAAGACGAAAAACTCGCTAGACGAAAGAGTTTTCCATTTTTTGAGTCGTTCTGCAAGACAAATTTCCCTATGGGCTTGCTTCGCAAGACGAAACGTCTTGCGAGTTCTTGCGAGTTTGTTTCCTTTTTCTTAAAGCCGCTAAGCCATTAATAGCCGCTAAGCCGCTAAGCCGTTAATAGCTGCTAAGCCGCTAAGCCGCTAATAGCTGTGCTTCGCAAGACGAAAAAACCGCAAGACGAAGAGACTCGCGGAACAGATTAATTTCGTCTTGCGAGGCACCACTGTACTAGGTACAGAACACCACACCAGAAGGAAAAGAGATGGAAAGAGAAAATGAAACTCAGGCTCCTTCTGGCCTTATTGTCATAGTCAGCATGACCTTGATGGAAAGAGATAACAGAACCAGTTTAAGCCAGCTGTATTCCGCTTCTCTGAAGGAACAACCCAAACACCATGAATCTTCTGCTTGTTTCTTTCACACAGAGAGGCTTCCAGAACCCTCTTGAATCAATGAGAATGGGAAAGATCTCTACACATCAGATCAATATTTTCTGCACTAAGAAATGCAAACGGACAGCCTTCAGGTTTCTTCTAAAAGTCAGATAGTTGCTTATTTCCTTGACATCTGAAGGGAGGGTGTTCCACAGGGAGGGTGCCACCACCGAGAAGGCCCTCTGCCTGGTTTCAAGCAGAGTTTGGGATGGCCATCTGTCACGGATGCTTTAGCTGAGATTCCTGCCTTGCAGGATGTTGGACGAAATAACCCTTCAGGTCCATTCCAACCCTACAATTCTTTGATTCTATGATTCCCTCCCCACCTCATCCTGCAGCAACCAAACCTGGAGTTAGGAAACATGTGACTTTAACAAGGTTGTGAATCCACAGCCCCATGTTTTCCACCATGCCTCACCTCCAGCTCAAAACTCATCCACATACTAGCAAGTTTCATGGGATGGGCCATGGTTCAGTGGTAAAACACCTGCAGTTTGAGGGATACTTTAGGGATGAGATGCTGCAAACATGAAAAGGGTTGAGCAATTCCTTAATTGGTGCTTGTCTGATGCCAGTTCCCACCTCTCAAAGCTATTTAGTTATTTTTTAAAAAAAGATAAAGGGCATCAGGGCTGCCTTGCAGATGCTTGCAAGGGATATGTAGAATTTGCACTTCTACAAGTGCCACATAATGTTTGTCCCACATTTGTGAGGAGTCAGTATCTTCACTGGGCAGAAAGTGTGCTTTGAACTCCCTGCCTATTGACATTAGTAAGATAACCTCTTTATATTGTTTGAGATGTCTGCTGAAACCTTTTCTTTATTGTTTCATGAAGCCTACCCAGACATAGTTTTAGTAAGTCCAACTAAGATTTACTCAAAGTAGACCTATTGGAATTAATGTACCTAGGCTAGTCATGTTCATTCATTTCACTAACCCCATTCACAGTGGGAAAAGCATTGGATACAGCTCAAATCTATTCGCTTTAAAAATCTTACCGATTTTAATCTGTGTTTTGCTGACAATTATTTTAAACACATTTTAAACGTTCTGTGGATTTTAGCCATGTTTAGTCTATATTTTATCATGTGCACTGCTTAGAGAGCTTAAAGTATTGCACTTGGGCAAAAAACATGAGAGGCACAAATACAAGATGGGTGACACCTGGCTTGAGAGCAGTACATGTGAAAAGGATCTAGGAGTCTTGGTTGACCACAAACTTGACATGAGCCAACAGTGTGATGCGGCAGCTAAAAAAGCCAATGCAATTCTGGGCCTGCATCAATAGGAGTATAGCATCTAGATCAAGGGAAGTAATAGTGCCACTGTATTCTGCTCTGGTCAGACCTCACCTGGAGTACTGTGTCCAGTTCTGGGCACCACAGTTCAAGAAGGACACTGACAAACTGGAACGTGTCCAGAGGAGGGCAACCAAAATGGTCAAAGGCCTGGAAACGATGCCTTATGAGGAACGGCTAAGGGAGCTGGGCATGTTTAGCCTGGAGAAGAGGAGGTTAAGGGGTGATATGCTAGCGATGTTCAAATATATAAAAGGATGTCACATAGAGGAGGGAGAAAGGTTGTTTTCTGCTGCTCCAGAGAAGCGGACACGGAGCAATGGATCCAAACTACAAGAAAGAAGATTCCACCTAAACATTAGGAAGAACTTCCTGACAGTAAGAGCTGTTTGACAGTGGAATTTGCTGCCAAGGAGTGTGGTGGAGTCTCCTTCTTTGGAGGCCTTTAAGCAGAGGCTTGACAACCATATGTCAGGAGTGCTCTGATGGTGTTTCCTGCTTGGCAGGGGGTTGGACTCGATGGCCCTTGTGGTCTCTTCCAACTCTATGATTCTATGATTCTATGAGAGCTCTTTGATTAAGTGGTTTATTAATAATTTTAAACAAAACAAATAAACATGTAACAACAGTTGGCTTCCAACAAGCAGTGATATAAAGCTGTCCTCTGTTCTTTGCTCTATGCAACTGATAATTGGATATATTTCTGAATAAGGAGAATCCATTTTCACCTATCGTAGCTAACAGAAATTGATAACTCCGTTTTCTAATTTCTTTTTAAAAGCATCTGTGCTTGCTCAGCAACCACTACGACATCATGTGGCAAAGAATTACATACATTAACTCTTGTGTTTTGTGAGCAAGCAGTTCCTTATTGCTATCCTGAAAATACAGCCAGTTTTCCAGGATGACTTCTAGTAAAGGTAAAAGTAAAGGACCCCTGGACAGTTAAGTCCAGACAAAGGCGACTATGGGGTTGCAGCGCTCATCTCGCTTTCAGGCCGAGGGACCTGGCGTTTGTCCACAGACAGCTTTCCGGGTCATGTGGTCAGCATGACTAAACCGCTTCTGGTGCAACAGGACACCGTGACGGAAATCAGAGTGCACGGAAATGCCATTTACCTTTCCGCCGCAGTGGTACCTATTTATCTACTTGCACTGGTGTGCTTTTGAACTGCTAGGTTGGCAGGAGCTGGGAAAGAGCAATGGGAGCTCACCCCGTCACGGGGATTCGAACCACCAACCTTCTGATCAGCAAGCCCAAGAGGCTCAGTGGTTTAGACCACAGTGCCACCCATGTCCCATATGACTTCTAGTACAGCGATTAAGAACCTTTGGCTGTCTAGAAGTTGCTGGACTACAGCTCCCATGGCCTTGACCACTTGCCTGGGGCTGATGGGAGTTACTCTAACAACATCTGGAGAGCTCAGGTTCCCTAACACTGTTTTAGTATTGTGAGAGAATCTCTCAGTTCACTCTCCCTGCATCATTCATAAATTTCCATCCCTTGCTTCCCCAGCTGTCCCTCCTCTCACTAAAAATCCCCAACCATTTAGCTTTTCTTCAAAAGGAAAGTGTTCCATCCCTTTGATCATTTAAGTTCTCCCCATTCTTCCTTCCTTTTGCAGCTCTGTGATATTGTCTTTGAACTAGGGTGGCCACAAATGTACAAAGAATAAAACCAGGCCACACAATATACGTACTTATACAACACCATTGCGATACTTGATAGTTCATTTTCAGTCCAGCCTCTGCAAGGGGCATAGATCAATTTGACCTGCGAGCCCATGATTCCTCCTCAAAACCACATGAGAAAATGCAATTGCTTCCTACATATATATATATATATATATGTAAGGCTGTCATCGCACAGCCCTCATTGGGGGATTTGTAGTGTTGCATCGCTACAAATGGGATTTGCATGAAGTCATGGTGGAGAACAAAAGGTAGGGGAGCAAAAGAGTAGGCAGGTTGAACAACAACAGCAGCTGTGCCATGGAAGTGGCAATGGAGGGATGCTGACAGGGGGAACATGGTTGTTTAAAATCATGGCAGAAGTTTGAGTAAACCAGGTGTTAAGTTGTGGGTGAACATATCAGACGACACAGCGATTCTTCAGACAGCTCTTGTTTATTCACAGGCCAGAACAGAACTGAGCTGAAGGGTTCAGCCAACCTGCTTATATAGAGCTCAACTACAAAGCAACAGTAACAACTTTCTGTAACTATCCAATCACTGAACGTCACTTTCAATTCCTTATTTGCATATGCGGACCTGAGTGAAAACTATCTACAATATCCCCCTGCTGGCCCAGGGTGAGAATTTCAGTACATAACACCAGAGATGGAGAAAACTGAGAAGAAAGTTGAGATTTTAAACAACATAGGCTTGAGTAGGGTAGCTTCACACTACAGAATATGTAACCTCAATCTTTGTCACATGAGGCAGCTGGGGAATGGAAGAGGAACTAGTTTGAGTACAGTAAGGAAGGAGCAACACTGAAAGGGGGAAATAGAGGCTGTATTAAACAGTGCCAGATGTTTGAATAAATTGGGAGTGGAGGGACACTGAAAGGAAAATGGTGGTTTTAAACAACAGCAGAGGTTTGAGTAAAACAGGAACACCGAGAAGACAAAAAAGGTGATTTCAAACAATGGGAAATGGCAGAAGTTAGAGAGACACTGAGGGAGGAGGAGTGCCCGTTTAAAACAAGGTTTGAGTACAACTGAGTTAGAAAAGGCTCTCAACAGGGGATGTGTACAGTGGTACCTCTGGTTAAGAACTTAATTCGTTCTGGAGGTCTGTTCTTAACCTGAAACTGTTCTTAACCTGAAGCACCACTTTAGCTAATGGGGCCTCCCGCTGCTGGCGCACCGCACGATTTCTGTTCTCATCCTGAAGCAAAGTTCTTAACCCGAGGTACTACTTCCGGGTTAGCGGAGTCTGTAACCTGAAGCATTTGTAACCCGAGGTACCACTGTACTGTTCTGTCTGTCTTCACCTATGCCCAGCTTGATGCATTCCAAGTTCTGCCTGTCTAAAAAAGCAAATGAATGAAAGTGCAATATTCTACTGCACATTTCATTTTAGCATTCTAGTCCTCTTCTAGTCCAAATGCCTTTCCTGCTGGAGATTTGGTGACGGCGGCTGAGTGTGATAGACTGATGAAGATAGGGGAGAAGAACAATGAGGTCTTTTCCACCAACCACATCTCTTGCAAGGTATGGGGCAAGAGGGGGAGAACGTCTGCACTCCCATCTTGTTGGAGACCCAGCAGAGAGAGGTTTTCACCTCTCCACAGAGCAGGGGCGTGTTACAGTCTGCACCATAACATTCTGCCAATGCCATGTAACTTCACTCAGATGTAACCCTGCCCAGTTTTAGCAGGAGATTCCAACTAAACATCAGGAAGAACTTTCTGACAGTAAGAGCTGTTAGCCAGTGAACTGGTTTCATTCAGGAGATGGCAGCCTCTCCTTCATTGGAAAATTTTAAGCAGAGGTTGGGTGGCCATCTGTCCTGGATGCTTTAGCTGAGTTATCTCCCGCTTGGACTACTGCAATGCGCTCTACGTGGGGCTACCTTTGAAGGTGACCTGGAAACTACAACTAATCCAGAATGCGGCAGCCAGACTGGTGACTGGGAGCGGCCGCCAAGTTCACATAACACCGGTCCTGAAAGATCTGCATTGGCTCCCAGTACGTTTCCAAGCACAATTCAAAGTGTTGGTCCTGACCTTTAAAGCCCTAAATGGCCTCAGCCCAGTATACCTGAAGGAGCGTCTCCACCCCCGTCATTCTGCCCAGACACTGAGGTCTAGCACCAAGGGCCTTCTGGCGGTTACCCCACTGTGAGAAGCCAAGAACCAGGCAGAGGGCCTTCTCGGTAGTGGTGACCTCCCTGTGGAACGCCCTCCCATCAGATGTCAAAGAGATAAACAACTACCTAACATTTAGAAGACATCTGAAGGCAGCCCTGTTCAGGGAAGTTTTTAATGTGTGACATTTTAATGTATTTTTCATCTTTGTTGGAAGACGCCCAGAGTGGCTGGGGAAACCCAGCCAGATGGGTGGGGTACAAATAAATTATTATTATTATTATTCCTGCATTCCAGAGGGTTGGACTAGAGGACCCTTGGGGTCCTTTCCAACTCTACAGTTTATGATTCCATACACCTACACCTCTCCCTATCCAGGCAAGCAAGATCAGGGTCCAAGGAGACATTCCAGCCAGTCAAAAATACTCAAGGAGCGTGCTAACAAAGGCCTGTGAGCATTGTGGGCTGGTGAATGCGATGAGGGCCATAAAGAAATGCGTAGTTGCTTTTCCCCGCTTCAGAAGGATGGACAAGACCCTCTTTGCGCCCAGCAGGCAAATTATGTCAATTGTTCCATTTAGAAGATTTGCTTGTTGTTTTGTGCTGTTGGTAAGGGCCCATGTAATATTCTTAAAAAGAGAGCTAACAGATGTCTCGGGCCTTTCCACTCTTATTAATGAGAGTATTGCAAGAATGGAAACGAGGTCACTCATGTTCAATAGTTCGTCAAAAAAAAGTCTTCCACTTCTTAAAAGAGTTCCACTAATCCAAAACATGACAGATGTATGAGGCAGTTTTGTTTGGGCTGGGGGCTGGGGGAGGGTTTGAGATTAAAATCCCTTCTTTCTGATTTGCTCTTTCATTCGGCCTGATTAAAATAACATTGCATTCATTCGTTTGTTTGTTGTTCTTGCTTTTATCATCTGCTTCCTTCAAAATTAACAAACAAAGAAGAGGATGGAGATATATATATATATATATATTACACAAAATGGCCCCAGAATGGCCAGGAAGTTCACAAATCATAAAAGGCAAGGGGGGGGGGGGGGACGACGACAAAAAACAAAACCTAATTTCCAGCAACATAAAAAGGAAGACAAAAAGGGAAAATGGATAGAATACCAGAGACAGGTTAGCAACAAAGCTGGCTGCTTAAAAAGATAAAACAGAGACCCTTTCCCCCCCAACAATATTTTCCATTTGAAAGTGTTTATTAATATATTCTGTCTGAAGCAAAAAAAAAAAAAAAGTTCAATGAAATGCAAAGATCAAAGATACTTTAATTCAGGTGAAAATGATTCCCCTCCCTCCCTCCGGGTTTGATTTTTAGAAAAAGGGAAGCAGGAAAAGAGCACTGTCATTTCATTATTCTCTTTAAAAAGAGATCTGTCAGCTGGCAGGAATAGCCTGAATAGGCGACAGGCTGCACTGATTTTCCCCAAACGTAACATTTATTCATACAAAAACCACGAGAGAGACACTCCTGAGTCAATAGTTGGGCTTTCTGATAATTTTTCAGAGCAAGCATCAGTTTTGGTTGGGCTTGACTGAGAGACTTTCCAGGTGTGGGTGAGGGGAGGAATTACGTTCATTTGCACTAGTGTTACTGGGTGCAAGAGCTGCCTCAGATCACAAGCAGCCCTTCAGCCTCAGGCAACATCCCTTCATTCTGAAAAGGAGAAATGTTCTGGCCTCAAGCTGGCCTGGGAGTCATCCGTGCTGATTTGGGAAGCCTTTCGTAGACTGGGGGTGGTGGAAGAAAAGCAACTGTGTATATGCTTAGAGCTTTAACTAGTTAAAGCTATGGTTTTCCCAGTAGTGATGTATGGAAGTGAGAGCTGGACCATAAAGAAGGCTGATCGCCAAAGAATCGACGCTTTTGAATTATGGTTCTGGAGGAGACTCTTGAGAGTCCCACAGACTGCAAGAAGATCAAACCGATCCATTCTGAAGGAAATCAGCCCTGAGTGCTCAGTGGAAGGACAGATCCTGAACCTGAGACTCCAATACTTTGGCCACCCCATGAGAAGAGAAGACTCCCTGGAAAAGACCCTGATGTTGGGAAAGATGGAGGGCACAAGGAGAAGGGGACGACAGAGGACAAGATGGTTGGACAGTGTTCTCGAAGCTACCAGCATGAGTTTGACCAAACTGCGGGAGGCAGTGGAAGACAGGAGTGCCTGGTGTGCTCTGGTCCATGGGGTCACGAAGAGTCGGACACGACTAAACAACTAAACAACAACAACATATGCTTAGAGCAGTTGTTCTCAAAGGGTATGGGTTCACCACACTGGTGTAGTGGGAGAGGATGACAAGTATGGTGGGAAGATTCAAGGACAATCAAAGAAACATTTAAACATTTCAGTACACTATAGTGTAGTACTGTAGCACAGACACCCCAACACTTCTCCAATGAAAACAGAGCCGTCCTAAGTAAAAGCAGAATATTCTGGGATGAAATCAGAAATCAGGACTATAAATCTGGGAGTGTCCCTGGAAAATAGGGACATTTGGAGGGTCTGGTGTGTTTGTGTGTGTGTATAATTTGCATAATATAGATATGATGACAGCAAGGACATCAAGTGATATTGAGGACAAATTACCCAGCAAAAACAAGCTCACTGCTCTCATTGAGTTTGTATACAGTGGTACCTCGGTTGTCGAATGTAATCCATTCCTGAAGACCCTTTGACTTCCGGAACGTTCAACAACCCAGCCGCAAAGGGCATTCTCCGAAGTCAATGGAGAACATTGACAAAAAACGCAGCAGAAGCCGTTCGACTTCCAAAGCACATTCAAAAACAGAAGCGTCTACTTCCAGGTTTTCAAAACGTTTGGCTTGCAAGACGCTCGAAAACTGAGGTACATACTTAAGGTACGCATGTAAGAGGCTCACTTACAATTATATTATGGGAATGATGCATGTTCTTATATTAAAACATAATATAAAGTATAAAAACATTGTTTTTATACTTTATAATATGATCCCATGATCATGTTGTAAAGTAGTTGTGTTCTCTGTTGGAAATCAAGGACGAGTTGTTTCTTCTAGTTTCCCAATGTGTTTTTTATCAATTAAAAAAATGGTGCGCCAGGAGCAAATTTTTATTTTATTATCTGAAATTATGTTAGGGAGACTGGGTACAGGTCTGCCGCAACGCCTTCTGTTGGTGTTGGTACCCCACTTTCTTTTCGTCTGCCCTGCCCCTACACTTTTAATTGGAGGACACCTCCCCACACATTAATTGGTGGGTGAAGCATGGAGCTTTCTGTATTCGTAGAGGTTCCTCCCTGCACTTAGAAACCTGTATAATCAGGGTTATATATTTCACAGGAAACTTCCATGAGTACTGGAAGTGGCCCAACATCAGAAATTTGCCTTTCCACCTATGAAGGACCTGGGTGGGGGAAGAGGTGATGGAGCTGGCAGCATCCTCTAGGAGGGGGGAAGAAATTCAAAGCGAGGCTGCCCAGTTTGCAGTTTCTGAAAAAATACGCAAAGCAAAACACAGCCATAAATCAACGTTTACTCTTCTTCGAATTTTGCGGTGCCGATGTACTCCAGCCAAATAATGTGTACAGAAAGCATGCATGAAAGTGTGATGCGGAAAACTGAACTTAAGACTGGACGTCTCAGGGAGAAACTGAAAATGTCAGATTCACTCGTCTGTGGTATCCTCAAACAGTTCTTGCATGTAATACCTGAATGCCCAAATATGGCTACTCTTAGGCTCATTTTCTCACTTATTTATTAAGTTTCTATACCGCCCTTCACCCGAGGATCACAGGGCCATTTACAATATAAAAACACAAAAATACATACCATTGTAACAGACAAAAATGTCCTACATTGCTTAGATACAGCAGCCGATGGGGACAAAGGGCCAAAACCCCCTGTTGCATTAGAGCCATAACTGCGTATGCCTGTGCTTCAGAAGGATAACTACAAACGGGAGGGAGCCCAATCTAGACTGGGAAAGGAATGGTCTGAGGCTTTTATTTATTTTTAGCCTTTTCTCCCTGTCCTGCGCCGGGTCAGAGATCCCCCTGTGGCTGCTCATTTAAGAGCACACACGTGAAATATGCAGATAGACACATTTTAATGTAACATTTTGCAGGCAGCGTTTGCAAACCAGCTCCAGACACTGTTAGCTCAAGGCGAGCTGGTTGTGTCATGTGCCTTCAGAGCTGAGCATGCCTTGTAGTGGTATTCACACCAAGGAGCAGAAGCGAAAGTGAGGAGAAGATATGGCCAGGCACCAAGGACACAGAGGAAAGATTGCTTTAGAAATCAGATCCTTGTGAATTCCAAAGATGAAGTTACCTGATCTCTCTCCACTCCACTGCGCACAACCTGCCCGTGAAACAGAATTTGTGATCCACCAGATTCTGTAGTTCGTTGAATGCAAGAACACTGTTCGTGGCTCTTTAAATGTACACATGGGACGTGGGTGGCACTGTGGTCTAAACCACTGAGCCTCTTGGGCTTGCCGATCAGAAGGTCGGCAGTTCGAATCCCCGCGACGGAGTGAGCTCCCGTTGCTCTGTCCCAGCTCCTGCCAACCTAGCAGTTTGAAAGCATGTCAAAGTGCAAGTAGATAAATAGGTGCCACTTTGGCAGGAAGGTAAATGGCGTTTTCGTGCGCTGCTCTGGTTTCACCAGAAGCGGCTTAGTCATGCTGGCCACATGACCCGGAGAAACTGTCTGCAGACAAACGCCGGCTCCCTCAGCCTGTAAAGCGAGATGAGTGCTGCAAGCGCAGAGTCATCTGCGACTGGACTTAACTGTCAGGGGTCCTTTACCTTTACCTTTTAAATGTACACACACACACACACACACACACACACATCTTGCCCACCCAAATGGAATAATGTATTCTGCTTCACCAAACTTTTTTACAACTTGCACATTAGACCAGTATTGTTGAATATGTGGAAACATATGCACAAAATGCATGTAATCTTGCGGAATCATGTAAAAATATGTAGTATGAGATAGGTCTTTTAAAAATTAAAAAATATATACTGTATAAATATTGGAAGGTAATGAGGCAGAATTATGGGTAAACATAGGTGAAAACAATTCATCCACCCATAAATTTTATCTTTTTTTTCAATTTTTGCAACAACCTTGTAACATAGGCCAGTATTATTATCCCCATATTGCAGATCATTTCTTCTTCTTATTATTTATTAAATTTGTATACCACCCTATTCCCATGTGTAGGGAGTGGAGAAAGGCTGAGAGAAAGAGGCTGGATCACCTAGCAAGTTTTTGGCAGGGATAAGATTTGAATCTTTCTGATTCACAGGTCATTCTCTGTGCCGAAACCACTTTATGTTCTAATGATGGCATTGTGAAGGAACCAAAACGTCTGTCAAAAAGTCGAGCCTGCTTACTGCAGAAGAATAGTTGCACAAGACGTTTGCATTTTAAATCAAACAGTGCAAGTGTTTTGATGAGACAATGGACACACCCACAGTACAGATATAGACAGATCAGCCACCCCTTCTTCCTAGTTTTGAGCATCCTCACTAAGCTACAGTTCCCATAATTCATTGTGAAGCCTTGAGAATCAAAGTAGTATTAAGCTAATGTACCTTTAGGTAAAGTACCTTATGAGAACAGATTCCAGGTACAAACAGAACATGCCACATACATTCAGGAGACTCAGGTGGTAAAGTTATACAGTGGTACCTCGGGTTAAGTACTTAATTCATTCCAGAGGTCCGTTCTTAACCTGAAACTGTTCTTAACCTGAAGCACCACTTTAGCTAACGGGGCCTCTTGTTGCCGCTGCGCCACCGCCGCATGATTTCTGTTCTCATCCTGAAGCAAAGTTCTTAACCCAAGGTACTATTTCTGGGTTAGCGGAGTCTGTAACCTGAAGCATATGTAACCTGAAGAGTATGTAACCCGAGGTACCACCGTATTTGAAAGACACTATTTCAAGCTGCAGTGTGTGAATGTGTTGAGTGTGTTGAGTGTTTGAATTGTACCCCATGGGAAAAACTCCACACATATAAAAATCTAGCCTTTCAGGGAGAAAAGGCCCCTGACATGGTATGCGACATTCAGCAAGCTTTTGGAGGTGGTTTGGGCTTGGTTGAGGAGGGAGTAATCCAACTAACCATCAGCCTGAGATGTTACAGTCAAAGAAAGACTTCACCAGTTGATTCTGCTGAAGGTATATCCTGAGCCTCTGATGAAAGCCGATGCTAAATCGACATGGTCTAGGACAGGCTTCCTCAACCTCGGCCCTCCAGGTGTTTTTGGCCTACAACTCCCATGATCCCTAGCTAACAAGACCAGTGGTCAGCGATGATGGAAACTGTAGTCTCAAAACATCTGGAGGGCCGAGGTTGAGGAAGCCTGGTCTAGGACAACCTTCCACAACCTGGTAGCCTCAGGAGGTTTTGGACTACAACTCCCATCATTCCTAGCTGAGCTGGCTGGGGCTGATGGGAAGACCTCTAGAGGGCACCAGCAGCACTGGATTTAGGACAGAGCAGGTGGTCCCCCGCCCCACATATGGAGTTGAGTTGAGGGGGTGCAAAACAACAATAGCAAAGCCTATATCCACCAGGGCCAGGGCCTTCTCAGTGATGGCTCCAACCTGGTGGAATGCTCTGTCCCATGAGACCAGGGCCCTGCAGGATTTAACTTCCTTCCGTAAGACAGAGCTATTCCGCCTGGCTTTCAATTTGAACTTAGCCTGATCTTTTATTCCCCTTCCTTCCTTCCCCCTCCCCTTTCTATGAAGATTACCCGCTCTGGGATCTCACAGCTAATTCTCGCCTGGTCTCCTCGCTGGCCCAAATAGGACTAATTTAGCCAGCTAGGCTTGGTGATCATCTAATGTTTATTGGATGGATTTTCCCCCTAAATTGATTTTTGAATTCTGAATTTATTGTTATTCATGTTTTATACGGTATTTTATGCTGTTTTTTATTGCATCAATTAAGTGTTTTAAATTTGTTGTTAGCCACCCTGAGCCCTGTTTTTTGAACTGGGAAGGGTGGGGTATAAATAAAAATTTATTATTATTTATTATCATAAGGAGCTCATAACCCACCTACTCTCATCATAGCCAGACACTGGAGAGACCTGTCAGGAGTAAACATGGACCAATGGTACAGAATAGTATGGGAAACAGCCTTATTAGAAAAACTAACCAATAAACTGAAACTGACACGGGGACAAATAGAAGAAGACGCCTTCACCCCGGTATGGCTCCCCTTTATTACATACACAGCCCAATAAGACAACGACAAGAACCCGCCAACAGTGTACAAATCAATCTGGCTAACCTGATCCAGAAACACTTACCCCACTCTCACACAAAAACAAATCTCACTACAGCCAGCCAAAGACAACTAACCACACCCTAGGCCACCCCCAACCTCTCTCACCACCAAGGAAATACAACAAGCGAACAGTAAGAGAACCCTATGAGTGACACTAACACAAAACGCCACACATACACTAAGTAGAAGAATTGCCACCCCTCCCCTCACCATTCCTCCCTCCCCCTCTTTCCCCCCTTTTCTTCCTAACCTAACACTGTGTGCAACACTAATCTCTCACAACAAATGAAACAGATCTGTAGAAGACACAACTTGAAAAAAGAGACAATGCAAGTAATTTTGTAAACTAAGGTATTTTAAATAAAAATATATTAAAATAACAACAACAAAGCCTATATTTATATGGGTACCTACTGAGAAGAGCTATAAAAAAGCAACTGTATTGAAAAGCATTTTTGAGAAAATAAGAATAATTTGGGGGGGGGCAACTTTTTCCTTTGCTTAGGGTACCATATTACCAAAGTCCGTCCCTGCCACCAGGTGTGCAAAGTCTGATCTAGGTTTCTTTTCATAGTTTGATGGCTCAGCTCCTATTTACATCATTGGTAATCATAAGGTATTACTATTCCAAGACTGTTATTTTGATACCGTGATCCCTAAACATAAATTTAATCCAGGCACAGGCAAACTCAGCCCTCCAGATTTGGGACTACAACTCCCATCATCCCTGACCACTGGTCCGGTTAGCTAGGGATTATGAGAGTTGTAGTCCCAAAACATCTGGAGGGCAGAGTTTGCCTATGCCTGGTTTAGCCATTCCAGTGCTTCCTTGCCGACTCTCTCCAGTCATTCATAAAGCCCTTTGTATGAAACTGAGATTGGCACCCATCAGGGCCAACAGCTCTGTTACATTTTATATGATCACCTATCAGGGGTGTCCCGTTCTGTTTTGCCGCCTGAGGTGAAACAGTAAGGTGCCGTCCCCAGCAGCGGAGCATATGGCCGCGCTACCCAGGGTGGGCGTGCTCCCAAGTGGTGCGGAGTGTGCACTCCCAGGTGCGAGGTAGCTGCTTGGGTGCACAGACTGGCTTGCGCGCCCTGCAGCCGGGGGCAGAGTAAGCCGCCGATGGCTGATATTCGCCGCGCAGCCTGCCCATGACTCCCAAGCCTCTCCCAGCTGTCAAAACGAACCGGCAAAGTGGCATAGCTTTCCCCCGATGGCTCGGTGTAGGCTTGGGAGTTGTGGGCGGGTGGTATGACGAATGTCACCCCCCCCTCAGTGAAGACACCCGGGGTGGTCTGCCCCCACCACACCCCTTCCTCCGCCTCTAGCTGTCCCCGCGACCCCTCTGCCAAAACTTTGCTCACGGCCTCCACTGAGCTCTCACCTAAAGCTGCTTCTCCAACAGTGGGAGCAGGGATGGGGCACCCCACAGAATTCCACCGCCCGAGGTGGCTGGCTAAATCCACCTCATGGGCAAACCAGCCCCGTCACTTATTCTGTAATGAAAGGGAGTTGAATTGAGAGCCCAATTGAGAGCCCTTTATCATTCTGGGCCATTGGCAGACAAGGAGACAATTTGACAGTGCGCGTCTGATGTGGCGCAAAAGCGTGCATGTTTCTCTGCCAGTAAAGTCAGTCCTCTAAAAGATACCATTTTGGGGGTACAGTGATACCTCTGGTTGCAAAAGGGATCTGTTCCGGAGGCCGGTTCGCAACATGAAAAGAGTGCAACCCGCGGCCGCGAAACTGCGCAGGCGCGGGTTGCAATTCGCCACTTCTGCACATGCACATGATGTCATTTTTGCGCTTCTGCACATGCAGAACCTTTACAGGTCACCGCGGGACGTAACCTGAAAGAACATAACATGAAGTGGACGTAACATGAATGTGTATGACTGTACTGTTTTGTACCCTCTACAGTGGTACCTCGGGTTAAGAACTTAATTCATTCCGGTGGTCCGTTCTTAACCTGAAACTGTTCTTAACCTGAAGCACCACTTTAGCTAATGGGGACTCCTGCTGCCACTGCGCTGCCACCGTGCGATTTCTGTTCTCATCCTGAAGCAAAGTTCTTAACCTGAAGCACTAGAAGAGGGGGTGCCACACCCCACCCACCCACCCACCCGACTTTGTACAGGCTCCAGTCATGGGATCTGTTAATCCTCTGAGCCTCCAAAGCCACTTGTGGAATGGCTGGGCATGGTTATTAATTCTTACTAGTCTTACGTTTATATCCAACCTTTTTCTTTCTTTCTATTTGTGGGTTAGCGGAGTCTGTAAACTGAAGCGTATGTAACCTGAGGTACCACTGTACCTCCACAGTGCTAGGATGCTCATGCCTGGGTTCGGCCTTCCCAAGCAGTTTTGCACCTTTTGCAACACATTTCCCAGCTGCAAATGTATAGGCTGAGCTGGCAGGAATCAATCACGCTTGCAGGCAATGCAATATCCCATGCAATATCATCCCAGTGCCCTCAATACCTTAGACGTCTACTGTACATCTGCACTCCAAAGCCTCTTAGCAATTGATTGCAGAAAGGTTTAAACTCTGATTATTATTCCTCTGCCTCCCAAAAAGTTTCCCTTGACACAGTCTGCACCATTGAGGGTGTGTCACAATTTTCCAGCTTCTTAGGGTATCCCACCAACCACCCAAGGCCAAGAACCAGGACCCTGTCAACCAGCTTTAAATGCCAAACTATGCAAAAGCCCTAAAATAGTTTTGGAAAAAATGTAATCAGAGGGCATTTTGAAACTGTATTTGGTATTTATTAACTGAAGCCAGAACCCTAAGGGATGCAAAGCTGACCCCTCCCTTTCTGCCTTTGGCTGTCCAGCCATCCCTCTAGCAATTAACAGAAACCTCTCACTTTACATCCCTGAGTAATAGGAAACTACTTTCTCCTCTGCTGATTTCACAGTTTCTGGGAAACCGTTCTGTTTATCGGGATGAGTTCATCTGTTTCCCACATTTACAAGGCTGCAGAAGGTTCTTCTTTCTTTACTGTAATTTGCCGGTGCAAAGTAATAGTGAATGTCCCTGCTGGTTTATTACTTTGGATCACAGAGTCCCGAGAGATGGTCATTGTGGCCAGCGCTGGATGAGCATGTACTGACTGAAAAGAACCAAGATAAAGTCATTTACCCGCTTTATAGCAAGCCTCGAGCTAGTTCAGCAGAACAACATAATCATTTCTGTGGAGGTCTTATTTATCACACCTCTGAGTACCAGCTACTGCGAATCACAGGTGGGGAGAGCTGCTGCACTCGGCTCCTGATTGTAGGCTTCATATAGGCATCTGGTTGGCCTGACTGCAGATCCTGTCCCTCTTTTCCAGGTACAGTCCAGGATTTACAGAAGCCGTCCCAGTTTCTGATTTGATCCTGGAATGTCCCACTTTTCCTTGGTAAAGGTAAAGGGACCCCTGACCATTAGGTCCAGTCGCAGACGACTCTGGGGTTGAGGTGCTCATCTCGCTTTATTGGCCGAGGGAGCCGGCGTACAGCTTCCGGGTCATGTGGCCAGCATGACTAAGCCGCTTCTGGCGAACCAGAGCAGCACACGGAAACGCTGTTTACCTTCCCGCCGGAGCGGTACCTATTTATCTACTTGCCCTTTGACGTGCTTTCGAACTGCTAGGTTGGCAGGAGCAAGGACCAAGCAAGGAGTAGATAAATGTTTGTCTGTTTGCCTCTAGGCTAAAATAGAGGAAGGCAGAGACATACCCAAGATTCTGGAGGAAGCCTCGTTGCTGCAACTGAGAAGGCCCTGCAACAAACTGTGCCTCTAAAGGCCGAAGAACCCACAAAAAGCCACAGCTGATTAAAGGATGCATAGACATAGACTCCAAGTAACCTGGCCATTTCATTACTTACATTACATATAATGACCAACACTTTAAATGCGTGACGGTGTGCTGAGGGATGCACTGTTGGAAACGGGCATTGATGGATAGACAAATTGATATTTTGCCAGGCGAAAACATTCCTTTTCAGCCAGGCCTTGGGCTGATCCACATTCTATGTCCTTTTAAAATGTGTTTGTGGGAAGTAGGGTTATGGTTTTGTTCTGTCCTTGTTTTTATTATGTATTTTGTGTTCTTATTTTGTATTTGTATGCTGCGAAGCGCCATGAGATCTCCAGATAAAGGGTGGTATACAAATTTAATTAAAAAATAATAATAGGAGTACTGTTCTGTCTGCCTCCACCTATGTCCATCTTGTGTATCTGTAAGTAAAATGCAGCTGTCACAAAACACCAGGCTCTGGTAACCACTGCCCCTGGACTTCTGAGGTCTATGAAAATATCCAGGAAGCAAGAATACCCTCTGCCAAACCAAGGCAAGCCTACAACCATAGACTGTCCTTGTTCCTAAGCAGAATCAGTTCCTTCAAAACTGGTCGGGGGGGGGGACCTGTCGCCCTCCAGATGTTGTTGAACTCCAAATCCCATCAGCCCCAGCTAGCATGGTCAACGGACAGGGATGATGGGAGCTGCAGTCTAAGAGCCCCTACAGAGCCACTTTTGAATGATGGTGCTGGAGGAGACTCTTGAGAGTCCCATGGACTGCAAGAAGATCAAACCTCTCCATTCTGAAGGAAATCAGCCCTGAGTGCTCACTGGAAGGACAGATCGTGAAGCTGAGGCTCCAAGACTTTGGCCACCTCATGAGAAGAGAAGACTCCTTGGAAAAGACCCTGATGTTGGGAAAGATTGAGGGCACGAGGAGAAGGGGACGACAGAGGACGAGATGGTTGGACAGTGTTCCCGAAGCTACAAACATGAGTCTGACCAAACTGAGGGAGGCAGTGGAAGGCAGGAGTGCCTGGCGTGCTCTGGTCCAGGGGGTCACAAAGAGTCGGACACAACTAAACGACTAAACAACAAAGAGAGCCACAGGTTCCCCACTACTGCTCCAAAAGCACAGGGTATGCATTAAGTTTTCCCTCCCCAAAAGTCTACCACTTTCATCTAGCTGCAAAAGCCAAGCTCTTGCCACTGGCTGCAATCCATACTCTGCCAGAATTTCCCTCCAGGTCCCACCTGAGGAAGCAGGCTGGGCTCAACTGCTGGCAGCCAACAGCTCTCAAAAGCCAGTTGCAGACATCTTCCAGGAGTGAGTGCCCAGATTGACGAAGCACCTCCTGTCATTTAAATCAGCAAAAAGTAGAGGAATAGTTCATCTCTTCATCATTTGGCAGTCATATGGTGTGCATGCACACATTATTTAGCAACCAAATCACTTCAAGTCAAACACATTTATTCACCTGCACACTCCTTTGGGGCACAAGGCAGGTAACACAAACACATGATCAAATCTTGTAATCCTTTCGGAAGAAAATGACCCACCTTCAGCTTCCATCTCCAGTCCTAAGTGTGCACTGAAGATGTGTTAAATGTCTGTTTTTAAAAGTACCGTATTTTTGCTCTATAAGACGCACTTTTTCCCTCCTAAAAAGTAAGGGGAAATGTGTGTGCGTCTTATGGAGCGAATGCAGGCTGCGCAGCTATCCCAGAAGCCAGAACAGCAAGAGGGATTGCTGCTTTCACTGCGCAGCGATCCCTCTTGCTGCTCTGGCTTCTGAGATTCAGAATATTTTTTTTCTTGTTTTCCTCCTCCAAAAACTAGGTGCATCTTGTGGTCTGGTGCGTCTTATAGAGCGAAAAATACGGTAATCTGTTCGCTCGATCATTCCTGTGCCATTAATACTGAATTGACACATATATTTATTGCATTTCTAGTCCACTTTTTTTTCCCTCCAAGAAGCTCAAGGGGGCATACATGGTTCTCCCCATGCTCATTTAATCCCCACAACAGCCCTGTGAGGCAGGCTAGGCTGAGAGGCAGTGACTGGCCCTAGGTCACCCAGTGAGTTTCATGAGTGAGCGAGGATCTTGGACTCCCAGGCGCTAGTCCAGCACTCTTAACCGCTGCACCAGGCTGGCTCTCAGTCACTTTAATTGTGCAAATAAAAATTGCATTGCATTCCCGCCCCCCGCCCCCTTTTTGGCATTATATTGCTTTTATTGCTATGGTTTTGTCTGTGCAGTTTTGGAATTTTCCAACTATAAAGTGCCATGCAAGGTTCTTGAAACAAAAGTCCATCCTTGTGCAAAGTTATTACTGCACCTTTGGAAACGTCATTTGGAGGTAGAGTGGTCCCTCGGGTTACATACGCTTCAGGTTACAGACTCCACTAAGCCAGAAATAGTGCATCAGGTTAAGAACTTTGCTTCAGGATAAGAACAGAAATCGGGCTCCGGCGGCGCGGCAGCAGCAGGAGGCCCCATTAGCTAAAGTGGTGCTTCAGGTTAAGAACAGTTTCAGGTTAAGTGCGGACCGGCGGAACGAATTAAGTACTTAACCCGAGGTACTACTGTAATTTAATTGAGTGTTCAGATCATCCACAAACTTTTAACGCCCTGGAAAGCTACTCTTTGCTTTAAAATAAAATGACAAGACCAAGTAACGAGGATCGGGGTGGGGAAAAGAATCTAGAGCGCATTTTCCTGGCTAGGAGGGTGCCAAATATCCACAGAGGACCAGCGGTTCCTAACTGCTTTCTACCTTCGCAGGCTATTTAATTAATGAGAGCGGCAAAAGCTGATTAAGGTTAGGGCTGTTGTTGTTATTGATGGGGGGCTTGTAAATGTCCTCTTTGTTTTTTAACCCCTTCCTCGCCTCTGAAGGCAAACAGGAGAGCCGACAAGGCGCGCGTACGCCTCTCTGTTTCTTTCTCTTTTTCTGTGTCGCGAACGGACGGATCAAAGAATTAACTCCCCCCACCCCGAAGCTTTCAAAATGTCGGAGCTAAAATGGCAGCTGTTGTGACGCCGAGCTACGTTGCTGCTCCCTCTGCTCAGCCAGAACTAATTCGAACAAAGCTGTCTTTCTCCTCCACGTGTAAAATCCCGATCGTCCTCCCCTCCCCGGAAGAACCGCGCGTCAAATCTTTCCGAAGTCGCTTTTAACTCCCGAATTTGGGGGACGCCAAGCAATTCAGAAAGCAAGAGAAATGGGTCCGAGTTCACTTCGAATTTTCGCAGCGGGTGGGAAAGCGGGGGAGGGGGAGAAACAAGGCGATCAAAGAGAAACTGCGTTCGGGAGACCCTCCCCAATTGCCTTGCAAGATGGGAAGTTGAAATCGTCATGAAATCAACGCTTGAGCGGAGGAAAAAGAAACTTTGCAATCAGGACTGGGGGTTGGGGTGGGGGCTTAAGGAAGACGGCTCTTCATTGGGGAGCCGAGGGGGAGAAACTTTGGAAAAGGAGACATTTAAAAAAAGGGGGGCGGCTCCTGGTTTTTGCAGCAGCTACGTGCCGCGTGATGCCCATCGAAAGCAAGCGGAAGCGCCCATAAATTGCAGCGGAGCGGAACAAGACCCGATCCCTTGCAAAATATATACATATAAAAGACAGCCAGTAATTACGTCTCTCCGAAAGGATGCTCTGGGGAAAAAAAAAGGTCGCTCATGGGCTCTTCGCCCTAACCCTTCCAGCCACGCCCCTTCTGGGCCCCATCTAATGTAACCAAAACGAACTTTTGATGAGGGCAGAGTTTATGGTTCCAATCCCAAGCTGCCTTTTTCATAAAATCATAGAATTGTAGAGTTGGAAGGAACCACGAGGGTCATCTAGTCCAACCCCCTGCAATGCGGGAATCTTTTGCCCAACATGGAGCTCGAACCCACAACCATGAGAAATCCTGAGAGTCTCACGCTCTACTGAATGAGCTGTCGCAACTTGGGCACCATTCAGCCTGCCCCATCTTCACCTCCAGTCTTGCTCAAACATCCATCCTGATGAAGAGTTCTGAGGGATCCGAAAGCTTGCTCACACTTTTGGTGTGGTTTGGGTTGGTGATAATCAAAGATGTTCTATGAACATCTGTAGGGCCACATATTCTTCCACATTCCCTGAGGAATGCTGCTTCACTGAATCTTCTGGAGTTAACTTTTTCCCATGCTTCCTAGAATTATTATTATTATTATTAGAATTTATATACTGCCCTATACCGGGAGGTCTCATAGAAGTGTCAAGTTGGAAGGGACCCAAAGACTCATCTCCAACCCCCTGGAATTGCTTAGGATAATAATACCCAGCCACTCTGGGTGGCTTACAGAATATATAAAACATAATACATCAAACATTAAAAACTTCCGGATACAGGGCTGTCTCCAGATGCCTTCTAAATGTTACGTAGTTCTTTATCTCCTTGACATCTGATGGAGGGCATTCCACAGGGAGGGTGCCACCACCAAGAAGGCCCTCTGCCTGGTTCCCTGTAACTTCACTTCTCACATTGAGGGAACCGCCAGAAGGCCCTCGGAGCTGGACCTCAGTGTCTGGGCAGAACGATGGGGGTGGAGACGCTCCTTCAGGTATACAGGGCTGAGGCCATTTGGTGGTGCTGTGGGTTAAACCACAGAGCCTAGGACTTGCCGATCAGGTCGGTGGTTCAAATCCCCGTGACGGGGTGAGCTCCCGTTGCTTGGTCCCTGCTCCTGCCAACCTGGCAGTTTGAAAGTACGTCAAAGTGCAAGTAGATAAATAGGTACCGCTCCGGCGGGAAGGTAAACGGCGTTTCCGTGCACTGCTCTGGTTCGCCAGAAGCGGGTTAGTCATGCTGGCCACATGACCAGGAAGACTGATCTTGGCCAGTAAAGCAAGATGAGCACCACAACCCCAAAGTTGGTCATGACTGGACCTAATGGTCAGGGGTCCCAATGCCTTTACCAGCACTTTGAATATATGTAACATGTGCATGCCCAGACCGGTTTCCCCCTTCAAATAATCACTGGGATCTGGTTGCAGTGAGTTAGAGGTGGACCATAAAGAAGGCTGATCGCTGAAGAATTGATGCTTTTGAATTATGGTGCTGGAGGAGACTCTTGAGAGTCCCATGGACTGCAAGAAGATCAAACCTCTCCATTCTTATGGAAATCAGCCCTGAGTGCTCACTGGAAGGACAGATCGTGAAGCTGAGGCTCCAATACTTTGGCCACCTCATGAGAAGAGAAGACTCCCTGGAAAAGACCCTGATGTTGGGAAAGATGGAGGGCACAAGGAGAAGGGGACGACAGAGGACGAGATGGTTGGACAGTGTTCTCGAAGCTACCAGCATGAGTCTGACCAAACTGCGGGAGGCAGTGGAAGACAGGAGTGCCTGGCGTGCTCTGGTCCATGGGGTCACGAAGAGTCGGACACAACTAAACAAGAACAACAACAAAGATGGAAGACACTTATTATTATTTTTTTTGGGGGGGGGCACTGCCTGTAGTGGGAGCAAGGCCAGGAAGATGCTGCGGTCAATCAAGTACACGGCGCCCCTTCGTCAGCCTGGTGCCCTCTGGAGGGCTTGGACCGGAGCTGTACTCCAAACCAGGTTGGCCACGGCTGCAACAGAGCCTTGGCTTGCAGTTCTCTAATCCCTGCATTGCAAGGGGTTGGACTAGATGACCAGATGACCCTTCCAACTCGAGATGTCTACGATTCTATGAAGTTTGCACTTTCCCTTTCTTTGCTGAGGACGTTAGACGCACGCGCGGAGCTTCCCAGCCTCTCTCCCTGGTAGGCTGTTCCTTGTGCGCATCAGCCGCGTGCGCATTCGCCCGTCCCTATGATCTGCGGCTTCTGACCCCCTCCGTTGTCTGTTAAGCGCCTCCCTGCTCCAGATCTCCTCGACCCAGCTGCTTTCCTCGCCCGGATAAATGTTGCCTCGCTCCTTCCCGATTGGAAGTCGCCTGGTCCTCCCGCCCCATAACCTCCCCTTGCTTCCTTTCCCGCCCCGTGATTAGGAAAGGGTTGAAACGAAGTCTGCCCTAGGAAAGGCAGCCGCAAGCTGGTGCCAGGCTCGGGCTGCAACTCCCATCAGCCCCAGCCAGCGCAGCCGAGATATTAAAAAAACCACCTTGGTTAAGTCAACTCCTTTCGTCTTGGCATCGCGCTTTCATTTAACCCAGCGCAGCTGCCACGTTCTGCTGCCTTAGTTTTACTACAGTAGTAGAGAATATCGGAATCGATCCTGATTTAGTTATCCCGCCTTTCCCCCAGAATGGGGACTCGAGGCGGTTCACCAAAAGTAAAACAAACACGGTTTTGTTTTTGTTTTTTTAAAAAGAGATAAAAAGTAATTTGATCCCCTCCCCCTCTTTCCTTTTTCTTTTCTCCTTCTGTGATAGAACTCCTATTTGGGGACTTCCCTGGCTTTTTCTGGCCCACGTAGGACCAGTCTGGATAGTTGGCCTTGGTGAAGATTTGACGTTTTCATCCCCAAAAGGTTTTTGATTTGAGTTTCTACTGAAATGAGGCTGCATTTTAATGTTGTACTTTAATCTTGTTTTTAAGTTGTATTTTAATCAATTGTTTTTATACCTTGTGTTAGCTGCCCTGAGCCCAGTTTTGGCTGGGGAGGGCGGGGTATAAATAAATTTATTATTATTATTATTATTTCAAAAACAATATAAAAATGATGTTATTCAAAACGTGGGTGGGTGGAGGAATTCTGATTATCACTACAGAGTGGATTGTGTGTGAAGGACCAGGGTGGGGCCAGCATCTATCTGAATGGGCCCCTTCCCTCACTAATTTGAAAACTTCCTTGCAGATCAGAGAAGAAAGGTTTAGTATTGCTGGTTTACTGTATGCAGAGAAGATTTTATGAATAAAAGTGGGGGTGGGGGTGGGAGCATTAAGATCTCAAGTGGTACAATCCAGAACAGATAATCTTATTCTTCCTAAAGTGTAGATTAGTTCTTGGGACTGGGCTATACTTGCAGCAAGATAAAACGTTCATATCTGTACCACCTCAAATTGCCACTGAGAAAAGTATAGAATCATGGAATCAGATGGTCGGAAGGGATCCCAAGGGTCATCTAGTCCAACCTACTGCAATCCACCCAGCCTACCGTCTCACATTCATTCTGAATTTGCCCTGATTTGCTTGCATTTTCCCATTCGACATTCATTGACCCCACACTGAACTTTTGGCAGTTACAAAGCCCTCACTTTTCCCCCGATCGCGTTTCTCACTGCAGAAAGTCGGGGTTTTATTATTATTTCTAAAGGGGTATGTGTGTGATTTGCTGCATTTGAGCAACAGAGTGCTTTAATTCACTTTAATTGTGCAAATATATAAATATCTGGTATGCACGTGAATCCCTCCCTCAAGATAACAGCAGTCTGGAGGCAACCCGGGAGTATAACAAGACAGTTATAGGGGGATAGGAATAATTAAGTGTTCTTGAATATTTTGACAGGCGGTGCCAGCATGCCAAGAAACGAGATAACTCTCCCCTATCTCTATGATTCCGGTGCAGCTTTAGGGTCTCAGCATCCTTTCTTGTGTAACCTGCTTGCTTTCAACCCTCTCTCCCTGTAAATTTGCAAATAAAAAGCTTACGCTCTCCGGAATGCCCCCCCAACTCTGTAAGGTTGCCCTGGAGCGTCTCATTACATGGGGAAATTAGTGTGTCGTGGGGGACAAAACCAATGAACACGCACACTGGTGTTCGAAACTCAGCACATGCCTTCAAGGGACTCTTCTGTGTATACTGAAAATTCCTGTAGTAGTAACAGGGACGCTTGAGAGCTGAGGAGAGGCTTTCATATCACCCCCCAGGCATCCGTTTAAAATTGTTCCATCATCACAGCTTTATGCTGCATTATATAATTTACGGTAAGCTGTTTGGGGGATGATTTAGATTGAAAGTTGGGGTATAGGAAAAAAGCAACAACCCTAAAAAATAACATTCACTGAAGTCAAACTGTCCAGAAAGGCACAGAAATTTAGAAATAACTCGACATAAGCAACATTTCCACATTGGTTTCCTAAATACAGACATCCTGCTCTTATAGGAGCAGGACCAAAATCACACCACCACCTTTTTGTGGCTTCCAGCAAGTAGTATTTAGAAGCAATACTGGCTTCATAAAGAAGGCTGACCGCCGAATAATTGATGCTTTTGAATTATGGTGCTGGAGGAGACTCTTGAGAGTCCCATGGACTGCAAGAAGATCAAACCTCTCCATTCTGAAGGAAATCAGCCCTGAGTGCTCACTGGAAGGACAGATCCTGAAGCTGAGGCTCCAATACTTTGGCCACCTCATGAGAAGAGAAGACTCCCTGAAAAGGGCCCTGATGTTGGGAAAGATGGAGGGCACAAGGAGAAGGGGATGACAGAGGATGAGATGGTTGGACAGTGTTCTCGAAGCTACCAGCATGAGTTTGACCAAACTGCGGGAGGCAGTGGAAGACAGGAGTGCCTGGCCTGCTCTGGTCCATGGGGTCACGAAGAGTCGGACACGACTAAACAACTAAACAACAACAACAACTGCCTCCAGTCTTCCTTCAAAAGACTGGTGAATGAAGAGTGGGTCTATATTTAAAAGATATGGCTGGCATGGGGCACATCTCTCTGATTTATTCCCCCCCACACACCTTATAAATAATTTGTGACCCAATTTTGCAACTCAGTTATGACTAATTGCTGATTTGTGCATGCCTGGATGCTGCAGAAAGGCCATAGCTCGGTGGTAGAACATTTGCTTTACACTCAGAAGGTTCAAGGTTCAATCCCTGGGAGTGTCCCTTGCCAGAAACCCTGGAGAAAGCAAAAAAACAAACCCTGGAGAGTCAGTGTAGACAATACTGAATCAGTATAAGACCGCTTCCTATGTTCCCATGTTCACAGGATCATACAACACTGGTCCTAAAAGATCTACATTGATCTAGGGTCCGTTTCCGAGCACAATTCAAAGTGTCGGTGCTGGCCTTTAAAGTCCTAAATGGCCTTGGCCTTGTACAGTGGTACCTCGGGTTAAGAACTTAATTCGTTCCAAAGGTCTGTTCTTAACCTGAAACTGTTCTTAACCTGAAGCACCACTTTAGCTAATGGGGCCTCCCACTGCTGCCGCCATGCGATTTCTGTTCTCATCCTGAAGCAAAGTTCTTAACCCGAGGTACTATTTCTGGGTTAGCAGAGTCTGTAACCTGAAGCGTCTGTAACCTGAGGTACCACTGTATACCTGAAGAAGTGTCTCTGCCTCTATCATCCAGTCTGGACACTGAGGTCCAGCTCTGAGGGCCTTTTCGCGGTTCCCTTGCGGCAAGAAGTGAGGTTACAGGGAACTTCTCGGTAGGGCCTTCTCGGTAGTGGCGCCCTCCCTGTGGAACACCTTCCCACCAGATGTCAAGGAGATAAACTACTATCTGACTTTTAGAAGACATCTGAAGGCAGCCCTGTTCAGGGAAGTTTCTAATGTTCGATGTTTTACTGTAGTTTTATCATTCTTTGGAAGCTGAGTGGCAGGGACAGTCAGATGGGTGACATATAAGCAACAGCAGCAGCAACAATGTCTTTCTAAAGTATCATTGAGCTCCTAGATTTGATTTGCAAAGTGGAAGAGGTGCAAAGGTTCCTCCATCTTCCCTGGGCACATAGCCTCACATTGTGAAGCAAGTTCTATTAAATAAGGCCATTGGCCCATCCTGCTCAGAATTGGCAACAACTCTTTAGGGTTTCAGGCATAGGTCCGATCTGGAGATGAATGCATGCTGAGCAGCTGGTGCAGACATTATCTAATGGCTTGAAGCTGAACATGTGAACAACTACCATGGAAAAGCAGGAAGAAGAGGTGGCAGGGAAACCATCTGCAGTGTGGCCTGCCATGCCAAAAAGCTGAAGTTAAGGTTCAACATATCTGGAGTGGCAATGAAATACTATTTCTGTATGGGCAAGCACTTACCGGTCAGGGATAAATAAGACTTTATTGTGGTGGTATGTTTTTCAAATGTGTCCTCGTATATTTTAAATGTATTGTTTCATGCTTCTTATTTTTATGTAGTAATCTTATTTTTTTATAAGGTTGCTACCCACTCGGGGTCCATGTGGATGAAGTGAATTATCAGTGTAATGAATAAATATAAATTCCAGGTTTTGTTGTTTGCTTTATTCCCTCCTTTTTACAATGGGTTGTATTTCTGTGAACCTTCACCAGACAGGCTAAGCTATAGCTTATGACCATTTCACACATTATGTAAAGGAAAATGGGCAACTCTCACAGCTACCCTGGGGCAGGGAGAAGGGAAAATACAGACCAATAGCTCTGGCTCTCTGATGTTTATATGCATGCCGTGAAGAGTTTCATCTTTGGATTTTTGCAGATTGGCTTCAAACACACAGTAGAAGAGCAGGCCTTTTTCCTGGTCACTTGATAACTCTCCTTAAAAACCAGGTTAATAGAAGCCAGTTCCTCTACATCACTCATCTTAGCATGCAGGTGACAGCTCCTTGCTTTTCACCAGATTTTCATCATGTCTAAAACAAGCCCCCCTCCCTTCGTACATCCCCAATGCTTGTCAAGGTCTTCCTTTGCTCTCTGATAGCCCCAGTGACTTCAGTTTCCACCAAGGCAACACTTTCACAGGATGAAAGAGTTGGTTCTGCAGCACAGGATGCAACTGTAGCATCCCTGACCTGTGACCATCCAGCCTCTGCTTGAAGACCTCCACTGATGGAGAACCCATCAACTGCCCATGCACTCTGCTGTCAAACATTAGAAAAATTCTAATCAAGTTTAACTGAATTCTGCTTCTCTGAAATTTCCAACCTTTGAGAGCAACACAGAACAAGTTTGCCCCATCTTCTTGGGTGAGACTGCTCTTCAGATCTTTGAAGTTTGCTGTCATAGGAATCTGCCTTATGCTGCTGCATCTAATTTAGGATTGTCCACACTGATTGCCAGTGGCATCTCCAACCATACTTGGAGATAGCAGGGATTGAGCCTGGGACCTTCTGCATGCAAAGAAGATAATCTACCCTTGAGCTACAGGCCATCTTGTCTCCCAGTATTCCTTCCTTTAAAAAACCCTTCTCTTGACTCAGCAGAGCTCTTATTACACTGCCACAGAGCTATGGGCCTTTCCTGGTTAGCTTTGCAACCTTTGCTACTTTGCAAAATGGAGAAGAAATTGGTCTTTTAACACAACAAAGAGTCTTGTGACACCTGAAAAACTAGCAAGTTTATTGTGGCCTGCTTTGTTGTAGGCGGAGTCTACTACCTTCATTATATGCAAGGTCACAATGAACCCCAACAGGCCTTGGCAGCTTGGACTAAATATTCATCTTGAAAAACCTGGAATGCTTTTTGCTCCCAGGGTTTTGGTGGGTGGCAAAAACGGGACACTGTGGAAAAGGGTTCCTTGGCCCAGAGGCCTGAAAGGCATATTTGGAAAAAATGCCTGCTTACACACCGTAGTGACCTAGTTCCACCCCCTTCCCCCAGTTGTGTCCTGCCGTGTAGACATGAGTCAACTCAACATAGTTCAGTGGGAGAACCCACATTTTGCATACAGAAGACCCCAGGTTCAATCTGCCTGCATCTCCCATTAAAAGGATGACACAGAGGTAGCTTCCGCTGCCTGAGATCTGGAGACCTGCTGCTAGTCAGAGATGGTGGCCAGATGGACAAGTCTGTCATGGTCTAAGGCATCTCTCTCTGTGTGTCAGGCCATTTCCCTGCAAACCCATTTCTGTGCAGCAGTCGCTGTGCCCTGGCTAAAAGCAGGGACACAATTGTCTGGGCCACAATTAAAACTGCGCATCAACCATGAGCTCACTGAATGATGCACAAAATGCATTTCTGCTTCTGAAATGCCGGTCACATACTTAGCACCCTCTTCACGTGTCCAGTGTAACTTGCCCACATCCTGGCCCCATGATGTTCTGTGGACTTTGCTGCAGATCATTGGTTGCTGCTGATGGAGCCATGAAGAGGTGAGGCAACATTATGTGAATGTGTTTTTTGATTAACTGAGTGGAGGACCATGAGTCATGGGGATGGGGAGAGTGTGTGTGAATTCAGCTTAGTTTGTTTTGGGTTGTTAGTTTGTTAATGTTGTTAACATAGGATTATGAGTGCTGTAATGCTTTGTGCATTTTATAACATGACTTTTCTTGTGGTTGTGCTTTTCAATCTACTTTCCAAGTTGTCTTGTTAATAGCATTTTATAGAAGGCGGTTGTTTTACTGATGATTTGCTGATGGTTTTATATAATTTATGGGGCAGTTGTGATGTTATTTATTGCATGTAAGCCACTTTTTGACTCATGTGTAGCATAGAAATATAAGAAATGAAATGAGTGTTGTGACATCAGGACATTGGCGATTTCTCTACCAAGTATCATGAAAGGAGATGGGAGAGCAAAACAAACAGCTTCTCTTTGCAGCGTCAATCCTGTGGTTGACCTCAAACTCAAGCCATTGCTCACAGCAATACAGACTATAAGAATATTGGCCAACCTTACTTGGTTGTTGAAAAGCAGGGTTGGGGAGCCAGTGGCCCTCAAGAGTTCGTTAACTACAACTCTCAGCTTCCCTGGTCAATTGCCATGCTGGCTGGGGCTGATAGGAGTTGGAGTCCAGCAGCATCTGGGGGCAACAGATCCTGGATAGCTCCATTAGTTAGAGCCTGGATAATGCCAAGGTTGCAGGTTCGATTCCAGTATGGGACAGCTGTATCTTCCTGCATTGTAGGGACTTGGACTACATGGGCTCCAGTGTCCCTTCCAACTCTACAGTTCTATGATTCCCACCCCCATTATAAGGAATGCTGACATAATTTATGGAAAACACACCGGAAACTTGAAAAGGGATATCTAAGTGCTGAGCACAGTTAGCACCACTGTGTCATAGGGAATAGTATGTCAGTACTTGGCAATGGTTTAAATACTGAAGAACCCCTTTAGAGAGCATTCCATTGGAAGTTTAGAAGGAGACATAATCCATTACTGGGTTCTCCTTGGCGATTAAGAGGAGGAGGAAAAATAACAACAACAATAAAAACCTGAGCCACTTCCCAGGGGGATAAAATACAGTTCTTCTGCATGGCAGGATCTCACATGAGTGCTGCGTTGGCTTAGTTGCATTTCTGATTACTCTACATAATGCCTTGGTCCAGTTCCCCGGAAGGTCTGTCGAACAGCTAAAAGGTTACGAAAAAACCTTCACAGGAGATTAGCTGATGCTTAAACAACAAGAGAAATCATAAAGTGAGCTCAGATGCACAGCGACTTTGGGAGCGTTCACGTGCCCATGCATGGGAAAGTGTATTGTTGTAAGCAAAGGGGAAATGCTTTAGAAGAGTCTCAGAAGCTATGCTTTCTTAGGAGCAGAAAAGTAAGCAATGTGTTCCTTTCAGTCTGATCCATGACCCAATTAAGCTAACGCTCTTCCATCTGAGCTGATCTCATCCCTCTTTTATCACATCTCATACTATTATTCATAAATGATAATGCCAAGGGCTGCGTCACTCCTTTATTTTCCTCGTTCTCGGTTTTCTGAATTCTTGAGGCCTGTTCCCACATGCAAGGTCATTTGCACAATGGCTGGAGGTTCAGAAACAATTGCTTTGCCTGTGTGAACGGGCCTCCATCAACCAAACACTGTGGGCAGAACTTTTGTGCCAGCGAGACTTTCATGGAAGAACTTCCCACTGAATTCTACCCTAAGTGAACAAGATGAGAGCTAATAAATAACAACAGAAAACCCACATTACCAACTACAATACATAGCAAAATACCATGTAAGTTTTGTGAGGTAGGGAAGAAGAGCCCCTCCCCCTTGTCCTTACACAAGTCAAGAGAGATGATATTGCTTTTTGTCCGTTTCTGGCATCTCCCATTCCAACTGCCCATTCATTTATTCATTTTGCTATTTAAGCAACCAAACCTAAGGACAGTGCACTCAAATAACTGCTCCACTGACTTTAGCTATACCCCTGTTTTCAGTGGCCAACTTGAAAACATTTCCCACTGAGAACTAAATCAGCTTGGTTCTATGCACTTGGCCTCAACTGAGTTGGGGAAGCAGCTCTTCTAAGTTCTTCCAGATTCACATCTGTTCATATTATAGCAAAGGGTCCCTCATTAGGGATGAAATGAGCTTACACTCAAGCTCTGTGACTTAAACTGCATTGGGAGATCAGGCTGCTTTATCATCTCCTGCAAAAGCAAGTAAATAAATGTATTTACAACTAGTTAAAGTAAATAAATAAATGTATTCGTATTTAGCTAAAATTAGATGAGCAGCGAAAGGAGAAAAATTGAGAGTCTTGGCCCTTCTGCCAGCTCCCTCTCCTTTCCCACTCCACATCCTCCTATCCATTGCAGAGGCCATGACTTCAAGCAGAGCAAGGGGAGGGACAAGACCTGCTGTCTCAAAACTGGCTTGGCTCCCCATTCTCCTGAACCAGAATAGCATTCAGGCTTGGAGGAGGAGATAAGGAAGGCTTTTCCTTATCAACCCAGAAAGTAAGTTCAAGGTGGAAGAAGAGAAAAAGGTATGAGGTCCACACTCCTTCCTTACTTTCTCTTCTTCCCTAAACTTTCTTTCTTTCTTTCTTTCTTTCTTTCTTTCTTTCTTTCTTTCTTGGGAGGGAAGGGTAGTGTTGAAAACATATTGCCCCACACCTATAAACTCGCTGCTCCTCTCAGGAGGTGGGATCCCACTTATCAGAGGCTGTGGAAAGGTACTGACCCCCCCAAGTGCAGCACGTAACTTTTCTCCTGGGAAATAATTGCTGCCACTTATTTAGATGACAGGATTAAAGGCATGCACAGGTTCCACGGGAGCGGGTGAGCTAGGATCCAAACCTGCCACATGTCCCTACTGGTCCCTCTGCCTTTGCCTCCTTTCAGCTGCGTTTACTGACTGGGAGCCATGGGGAACTAAGTCTGCCCCCACTTGCATTGCCCACCCCAGGTTCTGTTTCTTGGTCACAGCTCAGCATGATGGAACATTAGGGAAGTGGGGCAGAATGTCAGGAGCTTAGATAGGAAGGTAAATAGATGGCTCCGACTCAAAGGAATCATCCAATGAATACCCTCAAGTAACCACATGACGCCAGGATGACGTGGCAGGGGGACTATTTTAATATCTGTTAACAATCAAGCAATGGCTCTGTGTGCGTGATCACGCTATGATTTTCCTGCACAGAAAAGTTGCATTTTGTTCCATTGGGAGGAGACGGGGGGAAAGCATGTGATTCTGCCACAGAGTTGAATATTCACAGGCATGCAAGGGAAGCAGAAGGAAACAAACCCTTATTGGTTTCTTCCAAGACGTTGCATCCTGGCTCCTTATGTGATATGCTATTTATACTGGTCTAAATATAGATCTAGAGTTGATTAGTGAACCTTCAGCAAAAAACAAACAAAGCACACACACACACAAAACCTTCCCAGGGTTCTCCTGGGGTGAGCAAACTGGCCTGCTTTCGCAACTTTGATTCTTATTTTTGCTGGCCAGAGGCTAGCCTTCAGATGTTTATCTGTTCCTCTCCTGCAGACATATGAGATATACACACTCCTAATACACGATCAACAACCTAGCAAAGCCAACGGGAATAAAGCATGCTTAACAAAAGGTTAGCAGAAGGGAGAAAGTACTTTGCCAGCTGCATTTGTAGCTGTGGTATACACCAGTCTTTTCTTTCTTTCTTTCACAGGTTAGGCAAAGAGCAAAGCAGTCTTGTTTTCCCTGCTGAGTGTCCTGCAACACCCCCCCCCCCCGGTTAATAATCTGCCTTCTGAGCAATATGTATGACCTTACAAAAGATACGTGCATACGAGCAAGCACCCGGCAATCTCACAGCCATGACAACTCTTAAACTTTAATTCCTACAATGACCCCCTTCCTTCTCTCTCTCTCTCTCTCTCTCACACACACACACACACACATTCTCCTTCTTCTTTTGTCTGCCATTAATTAAAGTAGACATATGGAGGAAGCTGATAATAAGAACAGATGAGCCAATGAGAGAGAGAGAGAGAGAGAGAGAGAGAGAGAGAGAGAGAGAGGCTGGCTGTAATTATTGGAGAGACAGAGAACTTCGCCCAAAGTGGATCTCCAAGAAACCACAAGCAAATGGGACCCAGCCAGAGAGCAAGAACACAAAATTATAATACTTGTGTTGACAGCTGGTTGAGTCATACAGGAACCTTTTCCTCCTCCCCTGGCAGAGGTAGGAAATAGCTGTCATGAAAAACCGTGGGTCATTCCCCAGCTAGTCCAGCCTCCAGCTCAAAACAGGGAATTGTGATGAATGTGAAAATAAACAACCCTTCTTCAGTTCAACAATAGACCTCCCAATGGGAAACAAACAAATGGCTCAGAAACAGACAAAGGCCTCCCTTGCTAGTTTTGGTGTAATATCGTCATCTTCTGCTTTGTCAATCTGGTCCTTAAAAACTTCCATTAAATCCCACCTCCTAACTATTGATTCAGAGGTTGAGGTTGCAATCCTGTACTCACCCGGGACCAAGCCCCATCAAAAACAATGGGACTTATTTCTGAGAAGGCATGCACAGGATTGCACTGTCAGACGTGCATGGGAAAGTCATGGAAAAGGCTCTGAATGAAGCCCCAACTCCTAAATACTTCCTGACCAATCTTATCATTTCACGGGGGGGCGGGGGGAGCTGCCTGCAGTGAAATAACCAAACAATCCAAGCAATAAAAGCAATGAAGTATAAAGAGTAAAATGTCCCTTTTGTTTCTGGACATTATATATGTGGAAGGGAAGCTAAATTACACAGAAAACCAGAGCCATAAACTAGTAAAACCAGCCAGCACTCCCCTAGTTGTTATTCTTAACGCTGCAAAGTAACTTGACTTCCTAAATGCCTGACACTTTTAAAACAGTCTCTTACTTTTTAACCTTACCCTGTTTTAGTTTTACCCTAGAACATCAGGGCAGAACTGTAAAGTCTCCCACTCTTATCACCGATACAGGGAAGGGGGGAAAAGAATTGTGGAAAATAATGGATCTTTAAAATCTTTTCCAACAACAACAAATTATCTTCCTCCCGATTCGCACGAGATTGCCAGAAATGAGAAAGCAAGACCGTAGAACTGCTGTCTGCGACTTCAACCCGAAAACAGGGAATTTCAGCACCATGGACGGCGGCAACTTTTCCGGGAGTGTGTCAAGTAAGGGAACGAAACAGACATTCGGGGCGGTTGCCTCTTCCTCCGCCCGCAATTTTCTCTCTCTCTTCCGCTTTGGGATCCCTCCCCAGGTGAGAGAGTATCAAAGTCCACAGACTAGTCTCTCTACTTTTTTTTTTTTAAAAAAGAAACGCTGAGAAACTTTAAAGGCAGCGAGCAAAAAGGAAAGAAAGATCTCGCCTTTCCACCCCCGTTGCCCTGTCTTCGTCTCTTCTCGCTCTTCCAGTCATCTTTCCACAATTGCAACGAGATCCAAAGCGCGCCCGCGAGAAAAACTCGGCCATCAAAGATCCAGGAATGGGGGGGGGGGGGGAATAACAATAAGCAAATAGGCCGTCAAATACAAAAAGACACCCCACCACCACGGGGACGGTTCCTCCAAAGCGATCCCTACAGATCGGGACAACCTCTAGAACTATCCGGATATATATATAATTTTTTCCTCTCTCTCTTCTCAAACACTCTCTTTCCCACCCTCCAGAAACCACCCGAAGAATACGGCGATCATTGCTTATTAATATTTTTTTCCTTCTTAAAAACCAACACATACACAGTTGATAAATATGTGCCTTTTGTCCGCGCAAACAAACAAACAAACAAACAACAGAGCATAACATTGACTTACCTTTGCTCACAGCCTATTGTCTGTCTCTTTTCAAAATGACATCACGGAAAGCAATCATGAAATTTACATGGGGTGGTGGGTGGGTGGAGATGGGGGGGAGCGGGAGAGTTGGAAGGTGGAGAGGTTGGAAAGGGGGGGGGGGAGAGGTGGAGAGGAGAGAGAGCACTTGCTGAAAGCGGCCCCCCCTCCCCACTCCCTTACGCCGGGAACATGCGTGGAAGAAGGTTCGTAGCTTTCAATTAAAACCGCTGATAAGTCTTTAGTGTGTGAACTCTTTAAGCTCGCTAAAGGCAGTGTCTCACTTAATGATCGCTCTCATTAATGGGAATGGCGGGGGGGGGCGGTGGAAAGGAGGAGGAGGACGTGGATGCGGGGGGGCCGCTCTTCTCCTTCCCTTTGTAAATACACTACCCATCAACCCTTTGGGCTTGCAATATATCTGTTTACTCTCCGAGGTGAAATAAATCTACAGTACAGGAAGGAGGGGAGAAAAAAAAGAGAAAGACATGGAGGTGCTGACTTTTTTCCCTTTGGAGGGGGGTGAGCGTGGGAGGGAGCCCCAGAATATATTTCCCCCTCTTTCCACCACTCCTCGGGCTCTAACAGAAGGTGGAAGATCTCCCCTCGGCCCCCCCTCAAAATCCAATCTGATCCATAATTAATATGCAGCATGGGTTGAAAGTCCTTTTATGCAAAGGAGACAAAAGGAGCTGGGAAGGTTACAACTGTCAGCTTAATCCCCCCCTCCACATTTCCAGCCTATGGTACAGTCCCATAATTTCTAATAGCAACAAGCAGGGAATGACAGATGCCCCGGCTTAGCCCAGCTGCAGCGAAAGTACTTTACAATGTTTATTGGTGGTTAGAAAAGATGACCCATCGCCATAAAGAACAGGGTGGGGAATTCACGACCAGAGGCAAGTTGGGAGACCAGCAGTGGTTGAGCTAATATATTGAAAAGTCCAGGAGTTTGGCTGGATATGTAGGCACACAACACAACACAGCATACACTTCCCATGCAAATTATAGTAATCTTGGAGTTGCTGCATCAGTTTAAAAAAAATCCGCAAAGTTTATCCAGATGAGTAAAAGGGAAGTTTGTTCTTGTCTTTACCTCCTTCCACCATCAGATCCACCTTTCTCAAAACAAGTTCTCCTTTCCTCTACTAGAGGGCTTTAGGAATTTGGTTGCCTTCAAGGGAGCAGACTGGATCCATGAGGCGCAGGAAAGTTCTCCCTCACAAGCCCAATCGAAATGGACAGCAGAAGCAAAAGAGCATTGTTCAATAGGGCTTTGGCAAAATAATGTCTCAGATGGATTGGGTCCCATTTCGATTTGTATGTCTGTGTGTATGTGTTTTAGGTTTCCTGTCTCAGGAACCCAAATTTCCTTGGCTGGACCAGGTTGTAGGCAATGTTTGGTTCTAAGAAATGTGGCACAGATGTGTGTGTGTGTGTGTGTGTTTGTGTTGTGTAAATATGACTCTGATGCCATATTTGATGGATTATGGTTGAGCCGGCCACTATCCTTGATCTCAGTATTGAGTGGAAGAAAAGTCAATGCCATATTTTTATCAGAACAATGCCTTCAAAGTTCTGGTGAGTCTTGTTAAAAACACAGCATCAAAAGAGTCCTAGCAAGCTTGTTGTGAAAGGCTTCTGAACCACTTAGGACTGTGTTTAGTGATTTATATAACAAATGGCCCAGAGAATGGATATGTCACTGGGCTTGAACTTTTGGAGATTTGTGTTTAAATACCTTCTCTGCCATTGTCTTATTTGTTTGGCCTTGGTCAAATCTCTCTTGGTCTCACAACTGTGATAAACTAGTTCAAAGAGCTGTTGTGAGGGAAAGGCAAGTTAAGACTCTAATTCTGGTTAAGGTGTTAGCAGTGTGCTTGAGAATGAGAGCTGGTGTAATGTACAATATTGGCTCACATTTAAAGCCTTAGCCACAAATTCACTAGTTAAGTCTTGACCAAGACATTATAATGGCCAGGGAGATTGCGGTTCAGCTCAGCCTCAGCTTCCTGAGTAAACTCTGATCATATGGGTGACTACAGTTTGGTGAAAATGGACTTGTGGGGCAAATTAAGACCCCTTTGTTTTTCCTTGCCTTAGTGTCAACATTTTGACTTAAAGGGGGATCAAATATGCTTTGTTTCATGCATGAGTTAAATTCTAGGAATTGGTTAACATCTGCATATTACAATTTTTATTATTACTACAAATTATTACCCACCCTTCATCCTAAAGTCTCTGGATGGGTTACAACAATTAAAACACATTTTTTAAAACAACAACAACCCCCAGTTAAAGTTAAGTTGTTACACAATGCTTGCTATTTGATTCTTTCCTCAGCATAGAATCATAGAATCATAGAATCATAGAGTTGGAAGAGACCACAAGGGCCATCGAGTCCAACCCCCTGCCAAGCAGGAAACACCATCAGAGCACTCCTGACATATGGTTGTCAAGCCTCTGCTTAAAGACCTCCAAAGAAGGAGACTCCACCACACTCCTTGGCAGCAAATTCCACTGTCGAACAGCTCTTACTGTCAGGAAGTTCTTCCTAATGTTTAGGTGGAATCTTCTTTCTTGTAGTTTGGATCCATTGCTCCGTGTCCGCTTCTCTGGAGCAGCAGAAAACAACCTTTCTCCTCCTCTATGTGACATCCTTTTATATATTTGAACATGGCTATCATATCACCCCTTAACCTCCTCTTCTCCAGGCTAAACATGCCCAGCTCTCTTAGCCGTTCCTCATAAGGCATCGTTTCCAGGCCTTTGACCATTTTGGTTGCCCTCCTCTGGACACGTTCCAGTTTGTCAATGTCCTTCTTGAACTGTGGTGCCCAGAACTGGACACAGTACTCCAGGTGAGGTCTGACCAGAGCAGAATACAGTGGCACTATTACTTCCCTTGGATCTAGATGCTATACTCCTATTGATGCAGCCCAGAATTGCATTGGCTTTTTAGCTGCCGCGTCACACTGTTGGCTCATGTCAAGTTTGTGGTCAACCAAGACTCCTAGATCCTTTTCACATGTACTGCTCTCAAGCCAGGTGTCCCCCATCTTGTATTTGTGCCTCTCATTTTTTTGCCCAAGTGCAATACTTTACATTTCTCCTGTTAAAATTCATCTTGTTTGTTTTGGCCCAGTTCTCTAATCTGTCAAGGTCGTTTTGAAGTGTGATCCTGTCCTCTGGGGTGTTAGCCACCCCTCCCAATTTGGTGTCATCTGCAAATTTGATCAGGATGCCCTTGAGTCCATCATCCAAGTCGTTGATAAAGATGTTGAATAAGACCGGGCCCAAGACAGAACCCTGTGGCACCCCACTAGTCACTCTTCTCCAGGATGAAGAGGAACCATTGATGAGCACCCTTTGGGTTCGGTCAGTCAGCCAGTTACAAATCCACTGAGTGGTAGCATAGTCAAGACCGCATTTTACCAGCTTCTTTACAAGAATATCATGAGGCACCTTGTCAAATGCCTTGCTGAAATCAAGGTAGGCTACATCCACTGCGTTCCCTTCATCCACCAGGCTTGTAATTCTGTCAAAAAACGAGATCAGGTTAGTCTGACATGACTTATTTTTCAGAAATCCATGCTGACTATTGGTGATCACAGCATTCCTTTCTAGGTGCTCACAGACTGTTTGCTTAATGATCTGCTCCAGAATCTTCCCTGGTATTGATGTCAGACTGACTGGGCGGTAATTATTTGGGTCCTCTCTTTTCCCCTTTTTGAAAATAGGGACAACATTTGCCCTCCTCCAGTCTGCCGGGACTTCGCCTGTTCTCCAGGAATTCTCAAAGATGACTGCCAGTGGTTCTGAGATCACATCTGCCAGTTCTTTTAATACTCTTGGATGCAGTTCATCTGGCCCTGGAGACTTGAATACATCTAAACTAGCCAAGTATTCTTGTACTATCTCCTTAGTTATTCTGGGCTGTGTTTCCTTTGCTGAATCATTTGCTCCAAATTCTTCAGGTCGGGCATTGTTTTCTTTATCGGAGAAGACTGAGGCAAAGAAGGCATTGAGGAGTTCAGCTCTTTCTGTGTCCCCTGTTTGCATTTCACCATCTTCTCCTCTGAGTGACCCCACTGTTTCTTTGTTCTTCCTTTTGCTACGAACATACCCATAAAAGCCTTTTTGTTGCTTTTAACCTCTCTAGCAAGCCTGAGTTCATTCTGTGCTTTAGCTTTTCTGACTTTGGGTCTACACGTGCTGGCTATTTGTTTGAATTCCTCTTTGGTGGTTTCCCCCTTTTCCATTTTTGTACACATCCTTTTTTTAATCTTAACTCAGTTAAAAGTTCTTTAGATAGCCACCCTGGCTTCTTTAGGCACCTTCCATGTTTCCGTCTCATTGGTATTGCCTGAAGTTGTGCTTTTAGTATCTCCCTCTTAACAAACTCCCAGCCATCATGAACTCCCTTTCCTTTTAGTATTACTGTCCATGGGATCTCACCCAGCACTTCCCTAAGTTTTATGAAGTCAGCTTTCTTAAAGTCAAGAAATTGAGTCCTAGTATGCTTGGCTGCTCCTTTCCGCTGTATAGTAAACTTCAGAAGAGCATGATCACTTGCGCCTAATGATCCTTCCACTTCTACCCCACTAACCAGGTCATCAACATTGGTTAGGACCAGATCTAAAATGGCTGTTCCTCTTGTTGCTTCTCCCACTTTCTGGACAATGAAGTTGTCTGCAAGGCCAGTGAGGAATCTGTTTGACCTTATGCTCTTGGCTGAGTTTGACATCCAACAAATATCCGGGTAATTGAAGTCCCCCATTACTACTATCTCCCTTCCTTTTGCATGCTTGGCCATCTGTTCCAGGAAGGCATCATCTATGTCCTCCGTTTGGCTTGGGGATCTATAGTAAACTCCCACAATGAGGTCACTGTTATTCTTCTCTCCCTTAATTGTGACCCAAATGCTCTCACTTTGGCTTTGAGGTTCTAAATCTTGGATCTCTTCACAGGTATACACATCCCTGACATATAACGCCACTCCTCCTCCTTTCTTGTCTGGTCTGTTTCTCTGAAATAGATTGTATCCCCCCATTATTACATTCCAATCGTGGGACTTATCCCACCAGGTTTCAGTGATGCCTATTATGTCATATTTAGTTTGCTGTACCAAGAGCTCAAGCTCATCTTGTTTATTTCCCATGCTTTGCGCATTAGTGTACAGACATTGAAGTCCATTAATCATTCCCCGTGACTCTTATTTAAGGATTTTTCCTCCCACCACTAGGTCTGTGTGCTGTTTGCTCCATTTGGTCTATGACATTTGGATGATCATCTTCATCAATTGATAGACTCCTACCTTCAGGAGCACTATCTCCCTCCCCACATTAGTCAGTTTAAAGCCCTCCTGATGAGGTTTCTGAGATTTTGGCAAAAACATTTCTCCCAACCGTTGTGAGGTGCAGCCCATCGCTTGCCAGAAGTCCATCTTCAAGAAACTGCAGTCCGTGATCTAAGAATCCAAACCGTTCCTGTTTACACCATTTGCGAAGCCAGCTGTTCACTTCCACTATTTTCCCCTCTCTCCCTGGGCCACGTCGTTCAACTGGGAGGACAGATGAGATCACAATTTGTGCATTTAATTGCTTCAATTTCCTGCCCAGAGCCTCGTAGTCTCTTTTGATCTTCTGGAGGCTATTGCTTGCAGTGTCATTGGTTCCCACATGAACCAAGAGGAAGGGGTATTTGTCAGTGGGTTTTATGATTCCTTGCAGTCGTTCAGTTACATCTTGGATCTTAGCCCGGGGAGACAGCACACTTCCCGAGACATCTTGTCAGGCCCACAGATCACTGCTTCTGTTCCCCTCAGTAGGGAATCCCCTATCACCACTACACGCCTCCTCTTAGGTTTGGCCGGGGTTCTTCCGTGAGCTGTCCGCTCCAAGGTCGCCTGCACATTCCCTGAGGACTGACTTTGCTGCTCGTCTTCATATACCTGATCGACTGTAATGAGGGAGAGATCCTCAAATGGAGTCTGCTCTTCGTCTTCCATGCTAGGGAGAGGACCTCAAAGCGATTGTGTATTTCTACACAATCAGAGCGAACCCTGGGCCTCCTACTTCTTTGAGTCACGTTTCTCCATATATCGGGCTCCTGTGTTGGTGAACTAGCGTCCTTCTCAGGGAGTCCCCTGTCTCCTCCTTGGTGGAGACGGTGTGCTCTGTTGCTTCCAAGAAGAGCTCCAGCTCTCTAATTCTTTGGAGCGTAGCTACACGTTCCTCCAGTTGCTGGACTTTGTCTTTTAAGAGGGCAATCAACATGCAATTGCTGCAGGTAAAGCTGCCTGCAACCTTTGGCAAGATGGCAAGCATTGCGCAGGAACCGCAGGCGACTGCAGCTGTTCCCTGCAGCTGCAGCATGGAATGCCCATCATCTAAACATGTGAACTATCTCCCTTGAAAAGTATTGTGCTTTGATTTTGATCGGATGATATGAAAGTCCTATCATTTGACAGGCCCTTGCTCACACATGCAAGCCAACACTTGAAGGTACAGTCAGCAAGCCATCAGCATGCATGTGTGAATTAGCACCAAGAGCCTGTAGGGGATATCTGGACAGCAAATTCCTACAGCTAGCCAACCTCAAAGACCTGGTTCTTACACATTGTCTGTATGAATCCTGACCATAGTCAGACTCAGTGACCAATTCTTGAAAAACACCATATACAACATACACACATTTTCATTGGAAGAGCACAAACACAGAACCCCAGAATTCTGTCTGATAAATGTGCATACTTGTAAACTGTAAGAGTGTCACTGGAGGTCCTTGGCTGTTGTCCCTTTATAAAGTCATGCATGCCAAAAACTAAGCAATTGCTGTTGGGGTGTTTTCCCATTTTGATACCCAGACAGTGAATCCCACATATATAACTCCATGAAATAGACTATTGGAATTCCTATTTTACAAATCGGAAAGTAAACTCATTTTCCCCACCTGAATTGGAGTTGAAACTTAGATGTAAGTTGGATAGCGCAGTGACTTGCAATCAACTCTGCTACCTTTATATTGCAACGCCATGCTTGTTTATTCAGAAGTTGGTCCAACTGATGTCAATGGAACATCAAGGTAAGTGTGCTTAGGATAACAGTCTTACTTAGAGCACTAGTATGTGTGTATTGATGGGATATCAGTGTGTTGATGGGATATCAGAAGTCTTCAAGACACCATCCCATCAACCTTGTGGATAGAAAATAGAATCTATCAGCTGTACACACACACACACACACACACACACACACACACGGCTTAGACCATGAGTCTACAACTATCTACTTCAACTAGCAGGTCTTCAGGATTTGAGGGAAACCTTCCAGCAGCCTCTGTTGCTTCTAGGTCAGGGGTCAGCAAACTTTTTCAGCAGGGGGCCGGTCCACTGTCCCTCAGACCTTGTGGGGGGCTGGACTATATTTTGAGGGGGGAAATTCCTATGCCCCACAAATAGCCCAGAGATGCATTTTAAATAAAAGCACACATTCTACTCATGTAAAATCACACTGATTCCCGGACCGTCCGTGGGCCGGATTTAGATGGTGATTGGGCTGGATCTGGCGCCCTGGTCTTAGTTTGCCTGTCCATGTTCTAGGTGGAGAAACAGTGAATAGAACCATCTATAAACAAAGTCCATGCTCTATTACTCAACTGCAGCCCCTCCCCAAACAGTAAGGCAATCTATTTCCCCCAGGCAGGGCTTGCCCAATACAGTGGTACCTTGGTTTACGAACTTAATCCCTTCCGGAAGTCTGTTCTTAAACCAAAGCTTTCTTAAACCAAGGCGTGCTTTCCCGTAGCAGCGGGGGACTCAATTTACAAATGGAACACACTCAACAGGAAGCAGAACGTGTTCTGCTTCAAAGGCAAAGTTCACAAACCAAAACATCTACTTCCAGGTTTGCAGCGTTCTTAATCAAAGTTGTTCATAAACTAAGCTGTTCTTAAACCAAGGTACCACTGTATACTACTTCAGCTAAAGACCCATATTTAATAAGGTTACTCCAGTCTCTGAAATTAACAACTTCTATTGCCCCCAAACTTTTGCCTCTATTAGTAACCACAACTATTAGGGGATCCCTTGATCGATTCTTCTTTTTCAGAAGTTCAATCTATTTTTTTTTTAGGCAAGTGACTTTTAGATTCTGCTCAAATAAGTTAACATTGTTTCAAGTTCTCTTTGGGCCTGTCTCTGAATGCACGTATTCAAATGGACCAGAAAACCCAGGAAAGACTTGCAACGGCCCATTTCAGACATTGAAATCCCCCCTTTTTTTCTTGCAAGCTCAGCCATTAACATAAAAGGATGTGTTCAGCTGAGAGTACTCCTAAAAAAACACACAAAAAAAACCCCCTCTATCGCCTTTGACCATGCTGTGAAGACAGGGATATTTTACATCCTAAACCTCTGGCATTCAGAAATTCTATTAAAGCCTTATCATCAGGCACCAGGCACGGTGCTTTAACTGCATTTCATTGTTCTGTATTCAAGATAGAATCAAAGGGAGGGGAAAGGCAGGATCAACTTTATCCCGTGAACAATGCTAGATGGTCCCCTTGACTGCTATTTAATTCAGATCTGTAATGCTCCAACTTGGAAAACAAAAGCAAAATATTGTGGGAAGTAGGAAGGCTAGGAGTGTGATTGTGTGTGCATGTATAGGCCCACACACTCCTATGCTAATTTAAATATATTTCAGAACAAACACATAGACCCACAAGGAAGAGAGAGACACAGAGACGCATGCTCATGTCATTGTTTTCCGAAGTACTCCAAAGTGTATAGTTTTGTTTTTTCCTTGTCCATGATCATGGGACAATTACATATGGAGGAACAGCCATTGATCAAGCCAAACGCATTATATTAAGCAGCTTGGGGATACTCTGATAATACAGCTAATTTCAAGATTTACTGCTTTTCGGAGCCAAGCGACAAAAATATTTAACTTTTCCAATATGATATTAAGATTTCTTGACGTCATGTCATTTGTGAATGTGACTATCGAGAGGATCATGTTCATATCCAACTGTCACACATCTTTCATGGGCTAATTCCCCCCAGTCATAGTTAAGAACACATTTAAATCTCTTCCACCTAAGTCACTCAGACTACAAAGAACATTTGGCTGGATCTGTGCCTAGATCATCATCAAAATACATTGGTATGGCAATAATGTTTGATGTTTCCTCCGGTTTATCAAAACAAAAAGCATCTGGCTAAGCATGAGTGATTGCATCAGTAATAATACTTCACATTCATTCTGCAGCTCTTGATTATTCACTAGTTTTGATTTTCAGGTCAAAACTCATGATTTCAGGGCAAACTTCAGTCATGAATATTCACCTTTTGCAATGTAGTTTGCCACTATAGTTCCCCTGGTTACTGACATTGTTTCCACTTGGCTGCTGCTCCTTCAGTGCCATTTGCTCTCTGATTGTTGCTCTATTATCCTCCTCAGATTAGTCATGTGGGGGATTCTACCCAATCAGGAAGCCCATAATGAATGGGGTGACATTATGGTGTGATGTAGCCAGTTCAGTTTGGATATGTGATGGCATCACTGAGGTTGACTAAGATGGACAACAACTCAAAATGAATAAATATTACCTATTGTCGCCCCAAAGTGCCCTTCTGGAAGATGTTTTTCAGGCTGCCCAAAAGGTCTATTGATTATTATGCCTACTCCTATCTTTTATTGGGCGTTTTTTGTAGTAAAAATAATAATTCTTAACATTTTTTAGCACCTGCATATGATCAATCTCATAGTGATTCACATTTCACAGGCAGTCTAAGGCTATACTTTAAATGTATTGTGATGCCTGAAGAGGACTAGGGTCATCTGATGAAACTCGTTGACAATCGGTTCAGGATAGACAAGAGAAACTACATCCTCACTCAACACATTGTTAATTTGCAGAACTCATCACCACATGATGAGGTGGCTACTGTTTAGATGGCTTTTGAAGGGCTTTAGACAAATTCATGAAGGGGAAGAGATCTCTCAATGGCCGTTAGCCTGGCTAGCTCTGCTGAACCTCCTTGTTCAGGCACAGTGTTTTTTCACTCAGTATCAATGTCTGTCAATATCAATGTCTGTGGAGCAACAACAGGAGAGAGGTATTGCCTCCACACCCTTTTGTCTTGGGCTTCCAGGAGTCATCTATCTGGATGTTGTGAGAAAGAGGATGCTCAACTATGTGGACCTTTGGTCCTACCAAGCATTGATCTATATCTGGCATCCCCAAACTTGGCCCTCCAGATGTTTTGGGACTACAATTCCCACCATCCCTGACCACTGGTCCTGGAAGCCCAAGATGATGGGAGTTGTAGTCCCCAAACATCTGGAGGGCAGAGTTTGGGGATGCCTGCTCTATATGCTGTTAATGCTCTTTTAAATAAGATTATTACAGAAAGAAAGTCTAATACTTCGTTTGCTTTTTTACTTAATGACAAACTGCCAACCCTCAACCATAGGCTTAGTGCCAGAGAGCACCAAAGGTTCATTTATTTTTTTACCAAAAAGGAAAAGAAAAAAGTAAATGACAGGGCAATGGACTAATATGAGGTCTAAATCAATACTTTCCTTTTCTTGAACGGAAGATTATGGATTGGAGTGATCTATCCCAAATTGGGCAAAACAATCCAAGGCCCCAGACTGCCATGTTGGAGGATGAAGTGGAGGTGTACCTCCTCCCAGTTCTGCTTGGTTTTGCCAGGCTCTGGTGGCAGGACATCTCCAAGGAATTCTGCAATGAACTTGCCACAAGCATGGCCAGAAACTACAGCTAGTGGTATCCCAGCTGGTGATAGCCACCAGAATTCCAGGAAAAGGGCATTATAGGTTCAGGGAAGGGGTGGAGTTTTGTTGGTGCAGGATTCATTGATGTGATCACTTGTTTCCTTTCCTTTCCCTTTCCTTTCATATTTTTATTCATCATTCTGCCTTTTATTGCACTTCCTAAACAATATGGCTGATTAAACAATCTATGGCCTTTTAATGTTTTTGTGGGAGGGGGTTATTTGTTTCCGTTTGCTGCAGTTATGATTTTATGTATTTTGTCTTTCCTGTTTGTATTTTTTATTCTGTAAACCGCCCTATGAACTTCAGATGAAGGGTGGTATATAAATTTAATAAATAAATTCTGGACCATCCCTGCTTCCATCACACAGCAGGAATGGATTCAGTCTGGGCCTCTTTGCTATGCTGGCTTGGGACCAGGCATAACAAAGAATTGTTTTTCCTGCCCTCACTTTCCACTTTGGCTGGCATGAGTAGTGGAACTCTGGCTGAAGTGGTGGCTACTAAATTCCATTAAGTCCTGCCACTGTTGGCCAAAAGTTTTGGATTGTGGCCTAAGCCATTTAAAATCTCATTGGGAGATCACAAAGCATCTGCCCGGTTTTCTTCATGTAATCCGTGGGACTTTAACATGCGGGAGTTTAACTCTGGCTGGATCATGCCCAACATGTACCAACACAGAATCATAGAAAGTCACCATAAAAGCAGGCATCAAGGTGGTGGAAGAAAGAAGAGTGAAAAGTAAGAAACAGGATGCCTGTAGGATGCTGTCTTTGGCTCCGCACTCAGATTATGGCGATCATTTCAGACTGTTCCATGTGTTGGCTCTCTCTGTGCCAATTCACAGACTGTGGCCCAGCAGAAAGACTGGGTGATTTTTCTCCCAAGCTATTGGGGCCCAGTCTGTGCATCATAATGGCCATAGATTTGAGGGCACCAGACAGACTTGCTGTAGGCTTGCTTATTCATTCAAGAGCATCAAATGGCAAAGCTGTTTCTGGGGACAGTATTGCTTTTGACTGCAGGTGGGCAGTTCTCTCTATCTCGCCCTGCACCTCACAAAATGCCACCTTGAACACGTGGATAAGAATTCTGCCTAGCCTTCTTCCTCACATTTGTTTTCCTGTGTTCATTCAGAGAGGCTTTTTGTGTCTGATGAGCAATCATTCAAAGATGCCATTTGATTCTGATGAATCTATAAGTGTGGCCACATAGCAGTTGCCCCATGAGTAGCTACAGTGAATGCAGTAGTTTGATATATGGGTAATTCCTGCAGCATGGTATGTTTCCAGGCCATCACTACTTCCAAAAATATCTCCATGCATAGAAGAACTGTTGTGTTGTCTGTTACATGGGACGTCCTTGCGGGGAGGGGTGCTAAATTCAGGAATTGTCCAAAAGCACTGTTCTAATCTTCACTCATCACTGTAAATTCTAAAACCAGGATTAATGGCCACATTCAGGATCTGAGTGAATGACCAGTTCAGCACTCAGAGATGGACAGCTCCTTTCTGAATTACACCACAATTTCCTAAATGAAATCTCTCAAAAGTTTGGAACTGAAAACCAGATGCTGTTAACAGGCAAAGCAAGTACAGTCCTTGATGAGGCTGCGGTAATCTACTTTTATTTCTCAATAGTTACTATTTCTGTTCCAGGAATTTCTGAAATTATATCTACTATTTCATTAGTAACACTGGCAGAAAACCTTTAGGGAAACGCTCACAGATTTTCTTTAAAACTGAGTGGTAAGAAATATCTTGAATATTATTTTTATTAGAAAATGAGCTGTAAAAAATGGTGTGTTTGCATGATTATCTACAAGGAATAAAAACAACGTCCATGCATTTAAAGAGACGAATTCTAAAGTGCATTAAATTTTTTAAAAAAGAAAAATTGAAATAAATAAGAGTGGTTTTTATTTCCACCTAGATGTGAAAGAAGACTGCAGAAGTAGAAGAGTCTTTACAAAAAATAAAAAATAAAATAAATGTTTTGGCCTTTGTGAAGATCGCTGTAATTAAAAGAACAATGACTTTCTGCAGAGCCAGACATACAACTGTGAAGCTGCCGTGGTGCTTCTTAGAAACTCTTTTGTCATTTAGGCCTCAAACTTAATGCATTTGAAATTGGGTACCAACTTCTCTGCTTACCAGCTGGAAGAATGGAGGAGCAGGCTGGTGGGGAGGGGGTCGAAATGGGGGAAAGAGAGGCAAGATTGTCCCTTATTTCTTTGTGGACAAGAAAAACGCCCTGTGCAGATGGGGAGACTTTCCTTAATGCCTCAGACGGCAATTAAGAACGCTTTGCCAAGAAGAAATAGCCCCGCATTAATATTGTATATGGAACAGCTGAAGGGCTGGAGTACATTCTGCCCAGCACAAGCCCCTAGCAGATGGAACAACAAGACAGAAGGGAGGGGAGGGGAGGGGGAGAAGGAGAGGGGGGAGAACCCATTTAATAACCCCCTTCTCTGAGATGTATACAATCACTCCCTTGGAGTAAAAAGTTCTTTGTCTACAAGAAATTTACAGTTGGAAGCTGATCTTTTTAATCTGGTGATTTCCCTCCTCCCAAAAGCTGCCAACTTTTTTTGTTTTTTTAAATTTCCTTTTCAAATGATCCGCCTGGAAACCCCAAAGCTTCTCCTGTGCTGTTGATTGCACAGGCAATCCTTCCCAATTCAAAAACCCACCGATCCTTATACACATTGTTTTAACTAGCGCTGAACAGGTTTCTTCCTGTTGAACTTTCAACAAGTTTACAATGGAAGGGTTTCACATTCTGGCACTACAAGAAAGGAAGGAGAAGGAAATAAGGAAACAGAAAGAAAGTGCCGAGAAACACATTAGTTTCCCACTTTGATTTTACATAAATAACATTTGCAGAACAGAACGTAAAGCCAAAAATTAAGAGTAAAGATTCAGTCACTGGAGGCTGCAATGAAAACTGCATTTAGCTTCCTAGTTCCTTCCCTCTTTTTCAAAATTCTTTACAAGGTAAGAATCTTCATTTTGTACATGCAGTTCATTATTTGCTTCCTTCTCCACCAGTCACAAAACCTGATGGCTACAGTTTTGAGTTTGCAGGCTGCAGTTCAGATCATGTCAAAACTTAAGCACCGTTCCACTTCCCCACCCCGCCGAGAAAACAAACCCAGGTTCTGATTTTTAATTTGGGCTTGATCTCCTTGGCTAATTGACATCTTGTTGATCTATACACAGGTTAATCCCCACGCCCAGCTAAAAGACACAAAGCGAGTCCCAGAAGTTGCTGTGTGGGGATCAACTTGCGCAGGGCAAGGCAACAGATCCGTCAGTGAACGGCAGCAACGCTACAGGAAAAAGCAAACAATAAACAGAAGAAGCCCAGAAAAAGTTAAAGATACATCTTTGTTTGTTTAACACGCACCTAGGAATGTTCCACAGAGCTTCATTCTTGCTTTCTTTTTTTTCCTGAGCACTATTTCCCTTGGAACAACAAGCATGAAAGCCAAGCACAACTGTTCAAGTCACACGCGCGGATACTTTCATTTCAAAAAAAGTTACAGTCCAGAGCAAAAACTTATGCATCCCGGAGGGCCTCCGAGGAAGGGAGGCCAGCCAATGGGAGCCTCCCAAGCTGCTAATTGCAAATCAAGGCAGCCAACAAAGCAGCCAATCGGGGGCCGGGCCGTTCCTGGGTGCACGCAGCTATTGAGACGGGAAACAATAGAACGGAGCTGAATGAAACTGAATGGGGAAGCAGACGCGGCTGCATGTTGACAGCAGCAGTGGCTCTCCGCAAACTCCTCTGCAAAGCGAAGGGCTGTCGCTCAGTGGCAGAGCATCTGGTCTGCATGCAGAAGGGCCCAAGTGGAGTCTTTGGTTCCTGTAGGTAGGGCTGGGGATGCCCCCGCCCCCGCCTGAATCCCCGGACAGCTGCTGCCAATCAGTGCAGACAGGCTAGATGGATCAGCGGTACAAGGCTTGGTACAGGGTTATACAGTGGTACCTCGGGTTACATACGCTTCAGGTTACATACGCTTCAGGTTACACACTCCACTAAACCAGAAATAGTGCTTCAGGTTAAGAACTTTGCTTCAGGATAAGAACAGAAAGTGAGCTCCGGCGGCGCGGCGGCAGCAGGAGGCCCCATTAGCTAAAGTGGTGCTTCAGGTTAAGAACAGTTTCAGGTTAAGTGCGGACCTCCGGAACGAATTAAGTACTTAACCCGAGGTACCACTGTATGCTCCAGAAAGCACTTAAGCTGGTATTTGTGTGGTCATGGCAGCAATATCAGCAGATGCTGATGCTGCAAGCTATAGTGCAAGCTACCTAAGTAGTTATATTCATATTTAAATCGAATACAACCATGCATACAGCAATGGTTGCAATTAAAATTGCTGGCGATCTTCACCTGAAATCAGAAGAGTTTTGTAGACTCCAGATTAGGCAGAAGCTTCCATTCAGATTTGGAGGGAAGAGAGAAATAAATCCGAAATAGTCCCGCCACAACTGTCCCCCCCCCCCCCAGTTTGTGTTGCCACAGAACTCCAGTTTGGGACTTAATTTTTGTATGCCTCTCAAGACCCAGCTGATCTTGTCAGCAAAATGAAAAAACAAACAACCGCTGGTTTTGTATTCAACATAGTACTAAAGCGCTGATTCTGTTAGCACAAAGATTTCTCCTTTTACAGTGGAAGATTTTCCCCTTTTCTGCCCCCATCCATCCCCTATATCTGTTTAGGGTTGGCAGGGAGGTTGGTACAAAGCGTCTCCACCCCCATCATCCAGCCCAGACACTGGGGTCCTACTCTGAGGGTCTAGAGGCAGTTCCCTCAGTACGAGAAGTGAAGTTACAGGGAACCAACAACAAACAAACCTAAGGTCACGTAAAGCATACTCAAAGCAGCTACTACTATGCCATAAGATCCACTGTCCTGTAATATCACACATGAGCTTTAACTACTGTTGAAGCCCAGGACGGCGAAAGAAGGCCAATATTCCGGAAATCCTTGTCTTAGACCATGTGCAAGGATTCTGTGGAACTGTAACAAGCTTTCATGTGGATTGTTTGGGCCTTATGAACAGACAGGTGGAATAGACACTATTACACGGATGGACCTTATGCATGAACTGACTAGAGAGTGATCTGATCCACTGGGTCTTCTGCTTTGTTCGTTTGCTGAACTTTATGAGTTACTTCCGTTGAAATTTATGATTTGATACATGAATTTAATATCTTATTTATCTAAGAACACAGCCAGTTACGTCTCGTGTCTTTATTAAGTTATAGGGAACCAGGCAGAGGGCCTTCTTGGTGGTGGTGCCTTCCCTGTGGAATGCTCTTGCATCAGATGTCAAGGAGAGAAAGAAATGCACAACTGTTAGAAGACATCTGAAGGCAGCCCTGAATCAGGAAGTTGTTAATGTTTGGTGTTTTGCTGTGTTTTTATTATGTTGGAAGTCGCCCAGATAGACTGGGGCAACCCAGTCAGATGGGCAGGGAATCATCACCATCATCACCACCACCACCACCATCTAGTGTTCCTCCTGGTGCCCTGCCCTTCCCACTACCTCACCCTTCCTCTTTCCAGAAAGGAGAAGCATCACACCTGAAGGAGGGCAGGTCAGCACCACTCCATCTACTACTGCAAGGTGAGACAGAAAGTTTGAGCTGGGTCTGCTTAAAAACACACCACCACCACCCGAGGTTAAAGCAGATTTAAGGCACTGCAAGATAGAAGCCCTAAAACTATCAAGGAGTCCTGCTAGCACATCTCTCTACCAGGTGCACCTCTAAAGGGAGGTTCATTGTCTCTTGGGACCTGGTTTTAGGGGTGTAGGGACTTCAAGCAGCAACAAGAAACTTAAATCTGCGCTTGCAAAGTGCAGACTTCAGAGCTGGTCCTGCCATTAGGCAGAGTGAGGCAGCTTCCTCAGGTGGCAGAAGATTGGAAGCACCACCAAGGTTCAGGAGGGCAGAGCTGTAGCTGCCACAGAGTCTGTGGGGTACCCACTAAGACAGTCTGCTTCCCCCAAGCACAAGGAAGGACACTGTCCCATTGCCAGTGTTTGGTTTTTGTCAAGGAATGCAACACAAAACAGAACAATTGTAAAGAAAACAAATATCAGGTAGTTCCACTTGGGTCTTGCATGCAGATGTTGAGATGGCAATGGGAGGTTATAGCATAAAATGGTCCTTGAGATGTCCACATTTCATGAAGGCCAAAGAACCATGAAGACCATTCACAGCAGTGCAAGTAATAATGCCCCACCATACAGGTGTTCTGGGTTTACTAGTCATTCGGAGACTCTCAAATGATGCATATATTTTTTTCTGTGTTGGTCAGGCTCCAAATGTTTTTGTACTGTAATGATAACTGCAAACCTTGAAGCATCTTCCATTTTGGGATGATGGATAACCCGAATGCAGCCAGTGCCCATTTCCACTGTCCATGTTGAAGGGAGACTCTGTACCATCTTGTCCTCGTCTCAGATAGCAAAATGTCTTAGGCTGGCCCTTGCAAACTCCAGCTACTAGTACAACAATAAATTGAGTCCCAGGAGTGAAAAATATATAATATTTTCTGTGACTTTCCTCCTGACTGCTGAGTACTCAGGGCGGGGGGAGTGAAGGGTCTTATAATAAATCATTCTCTTAGGAGTGAATTATTATAAGAGTTGTACCTTAACTCATAGGCTGCAATCAATGTTTGTGAATAATAGCCACACACGTTTAGCACTCATATCTTTTATTATTTTTGTATGCTGCAGGGGTGGGGCAGCCACTTTTGGGGGGGACGTCTGGGTTCAGAAGGGACACGGGTGGCACTGTGGGTTAAACCACAGAGCCTAGGGCTTGCCGATCAGAAGGTCGGTGGTTTGAATCCCTGCGATGGGGTGAGCTCCCGTTGCTCGGTCCCTGCCCCTGCCAACCTAGCAGTTCAAAAGCATATCAAAGTGCAAGTAGTTAAATAGGTTCCGCTCCGGCGGGAAGTTAAACAGCGTTTCCGTACGCTGCTCTAGTTCTCCAGAAGCGGCTTAGTCATGCTGGCCACATGACCCGGAAGCTGTATGCCGGCTCCCCCGGCCAATAAAGCGAAATGAGCACCGCAACCCCAGAGTCGTCCGCAACTGGACCTAACGGTCAGGAGTCCCTTTACCTTTACCTGGGTTCAGAACTAGACAGACCTCTGCAGGGGCTGCTAACCCGGCAATCACCTGATGGTATATGATGAGTCCAATCCCTGCTGGAAGCAGTGTAGTTTACAGAGCAGAGATTTTGCATACAGGAAGTCCATGGGCCAATCCCTAGCTTCTCCCCACTTTTTTTTTTTTACTTTAGGTAGGCAGGCAAGCAAGACAGCTGCTTGAGACCCTGAAGAACTCTTGTCACCCAAAACAGCCAGTAAAAGCCATGGGCAACCCAATGGACAGGCTCCAAACATTGCAACTCTACACTATCCCCGAAGTATCTCGAAAGTTCCCTAGCAACAGTTCAGCACAGTCCAGCCTTCTCGCTGAATATGGCCTTCTTGTTTTGCATCGCAAGGCTTTGTTTACAGTGGAAGGGGCATCTATTGTGGCCACCAACTAAAAAGCAGAGGGCAGCTTTCTCTCCTGAAGGACAGATGGCAACACTCCAACTTGGGGGGGAGTGGTGTGTGGAGAAAGAATTGGCTCTGGGTCAGAAAAGGAGTTCCTGCTAGCAAGGTGGCACTACAGTCTAGTAATATATTTATTTAGGGGAAAGTTAGGCTCATTCATCAGGTCAGGAGGGGACTTTCGACTGCAGTGACTTTTAGATTGAGGGCTTGTGTCACACCAATGACCCAGAGTTGGATGATGCAAAGAGGAAAGGTTTGGTGGTGGAAGAAGAAGAAGAAGAAGAAGAAGAAGAAGAAGAAGAAGAAGAAGAAGAAGAGATATATAATAATAATAATAATAATAATAATAATAATAATAATAATTTATTATTTGTACCCCGCCCATCTGGCTGGGTTTCCCCAGCCACTCTGGGCGGCTTCCATAGAAACACAAAATACAGTCAAATATCACAGATTAAAAGCTTCCCTGAACAGGGCTGCCTTAAGATGCCTTCTAAATGTCAGGTAGTTATTTATCGCTTTGACATCTGATGGGAGGGCGTTCCACAGGGCGGGCGCCACTATCGAGAAGGCCCTCTGCCTGGTTCCCTGTAGCTTTGCTTCTCGCAATGAGGGAACCGCCAGAAGGCCCTCGGCGCTGGACCTCAGCGTCCGGGCAGAATGACGGGGGGAGACGGCTCCTTCAGGTATACGGGGCCGAGGCCGTTTAGGGCTTTAAAGGTCAACACCAACACTTCGAATTGTGCTCGGAAACGTACTGGGAGCCAATGTAGGTCTTTCAGGACCGGTGTTATGTGGTTCCGGCAGCCACTCCCAGTCACCAGTCTAGCTGCCGCATTCTGGATTAATTGTAGTTTCCGGGTCACCTTCAAAGGTAGCCCCACGTAGAGCACGTTGCAGTAGTCCAAGCGGGTAGTCCAAGATATATCTCTTCCTTTTGACTGTCCTTTGGCTTAGGGGTACAGCTTGTCTTGGGGGCAGAGAGATCACGTTACGCAAAAGCCCATTTGTGATCCTGTGGGCTCTGGAGCACAACTCCTGCATACAAGGCAGGGAACTGGCTTCTGTCCTTGCGGAGCAAAATGTGTCGGAGGCCCACCCACCCCCCCTGTGTAATTTGGGTGGGAGGGTGAATGCAAACCGAAGGATAAAAATCTGCAGTTCGAGGGACAGGTGGTGACTGTAATCAGGGCCAGACACAAAGCTGATATTAACTGAAGGGGAATTTATTCCAGCAGGCCTTGGCTATGCATTTTCTTTGGTTGGAGTTTGGAAGAAAGGTCAGCCCCCACCCCTCCAGAAAAAAAAGGAGGGTCAAGAGGCTAATTCACTCTTTTTGTACACAAGTCTTCCACTGAGCTCTTTGTCGAATGCATTCTCAACTTCTTAATCCTGATACGTTTTTGAAAGTAGGAGGTTTAGGAAGAAAACAGCTTTGCTGATGTTGTTTCTTAAACCTTTAAGTGCGCTTTCTCTCCCCCTCTCCCACACATATTCATATCATCCTCTATTAGCAAAGGATGGGGAAAGTTGAACGAAAATCCTTGAATGACACAATTAGGATTATGTTTGGTATCAGTGCTGGAGCTGCCGCGATGCCAGACGGGTGCGAGTAAGTGGCAGGCCTGTCGATGGCAGGAAGATGTTGAGCCGGTTTCAAGAGTTGCTGTGAGTATTCCAGAGTTCAAGAGGCACAGGAGCTAGAAACTAGCAAGGAAAATCCTCGAGACTGATGTGTGGATGGCTGCCCTGATGCCCTCAGTAGATTGCTGCAGATTGACAGAAGAACATAAGCGTAAATGGTACTTAACATCTAACAAATTATCTAAAGGTCTAAGGAGGTTCCTAATAATTGCTGGAAGTGAAACAGGTGGTTGGTTATTTTTTCGGGCGGGGGGGCGGACTTGCAAGAAAGCCAGGGTATCTTGGGGAAATGATAACATGACAAGATAAAAAATATGTTAAAAGTGAGTATATAAAAAAGGCCCAAAGCATTTCTGTTAGGGATTATAGGGGCAGAAATCCTGCCTCCTGAAATCTTAAAGTTGTTTATGTATGTAACAACAGCAGCTAGGATTCTATATGTGCAGAAACAAACTCCTCTTTCTTCAGTTTGTTAATTTTTTATCATCATCCTCTGCACATTCCAAGTTATATTCAATCTTTCTTTTATTCATCTATTTTCATATATCTATATTTTAAAAACTGCAGGTTATTACAATAGTCCTGCCAATGCTTTTATCTATTTGCAATTTGTTTGTAAATATTCAGTATACCATTTCAATTCCTTTATTGAAAAAATTGTTATCCTGATTTTGTATTCTTCCAGTAAGTTTTGCCATCTCTGCATAATCCATAAGTTTTTGTAACCATTCTTTATTCGTTGCGATTCCTTCATCTTTCCATTTTTTGGGGGCAAATAACATTCTCGCAGCTGTGGATGCATACATAAATACATTTCTATTCTGTCTAGGTAGTCCTACACCTATAATTCCCTGGGTTCTTGTTATTGTTTTTTTTTAACAAATGTTAACTTAAGCATCTTTTTCAGTTCATTATATATCATTTCCCAGTATGCTTTTACCTGATTAAAAGATCACCACATGTGACAAAAGGTGACTTCTTTCTCTTTTTTCTCGCCAGAGTGGTGCATGCTCTAGTTATCTCCCGCTTAGACTACTGCAATGCACTCTACGTGAGGCTACCTTTGAAGGTGACCCGGAAATTGCAATTAATCCAGAATGCGGCAGCTAGACTGGTGACTGGGAGTGGCTGCCGGAACCACATAACACCGGTCCTGAAATATCTGCATTGGCTCCCAGTACATTTCCGAGCACAATTCAAAGTGTTGGTGCTGACCTTTAAAGCCCTAAATGGCCTCGGTCCAGTATACCTGAAGGAACATCTCCACCTCCATCGTTCTGCCCGGACACTGAGGCCTTCTGGCGATTCCCTCATTGCGAGAAGTGAGGTTACAGGGAACCAGACAGAAGGCCTTCTCGGTAGTGGCGCCCTCCCTGTGGAACGCTCTCCCATCAGGTGTCAAGGAAATAAATAGCTATCTTATTTTTAAAAGACATCTGAAGACAGCCCTGTTTAGGGAAGTTTTTAATATTTAAGGCTGTATTTTTTTTAACACTCGACTGGGAGTCACCCAGAGTGGCTGGGGAGACTCAGCCAGATGGGCGCGGTATAAATAATAAATTATTATTATTATTATTATTATTATTAAACATAGAATCTTAGAGTTGAGCGGGAACCTGAGGGTCATCTAATTCAACCCCTCCAATGCAAGAATCTTTTGCCCAACACGGGGCCCGAACCCACGACCTTGAGATTAAGAGTCTCATGCTCTACTGACTGAGCTATGCTCCCTTTTCTCATCCCAGAAGCAAATCAGGATGAAGGCTCATTGAAGCCTGGACATAGTCTAGCCTCCATGTAAGCTTCATGCAAGCAAATCAGGATGAATTCTCAATGAACAGGCCATCTGGAGGAGCCCAGTCCTGGTGACTGAAGTCACATACTAGCTCAGCTCGAGTATAGGCAGACCGAACATAAATACCCCAAAATGTTGGTGAAGAGGGGATGTAATCACTTCTGCAGAATGAAAGCTCACATCTGAGCAATTGTAAATCCCATGTTTAAATGCCAGTGGAACTTCCTTTGCAAAAAAAACTAAAAAAAAACCTCTTCATTGTGTCGCACTCCCCTGTTGAAGATGAGAGGTGGCGTTGTGAAGGGCTTCATGCTTGGAAAATGACTATAACAATTATATTGCAATTGAAAACTTTTGTTCTTCTCCCATCTTCAGCCTCCTGGGGCTTTAATGGAAGGCAGTTAAGTACCTCTTCTTTCCTCCCTGTTCCTGCAACCAAAGTGGCCAGACATTCTGCAAGGTCACTTAGCACCTCCACTTAGCGCATGCTTCTCATGCATGGGGGAGATTTCAAATTGACGTGAGGGGAAAAAACAACAACCACACACACACACACACACACACGGGATGAGTCTGGCTTTATATAATATTCACCACCTCTGAGAAAGGGAAGGAGTAAATTCATGGAGAACAAAGGGAATGGGGGAGTCCTGCGTTTCATGGATGGAGACTCAGAAGTTGGCAAGATTCAAACAGGAAGCCAACCATTTGGAGAAAAGGAAGAACCAGCATGGTGTACTGTGTAGAGGTTTAGACCTGGAGTGTGTGCGTATCCATTAAGTCATAAGAACATGAGATGAGCTGTGCTGGATCATGCCAGGGTCCCACCCACCCAGTCCAGCATTCTGCTTTCACAGCGATGAGGTGCCTATGGGAAGTGTGCAGGCAGGACCCAAGAACAATAGTAAGGGGGGCTGGGAGAGAGAGACACTTTCCCAGCAACTGGCAGTCAGAGGCATAATAATAATAATAATAATAATAATAATAATAATAATTTATTATTTATACCCCACCCATCTGGCTGGGTTTCCCCAGCCACTCTGGGCGGCTTCCAACAAAACACTAAAATATAATAACCTATTAAACATTAAAAGCTTCCCTAAACAGGGCTGCCTTCAGATGTCTTCTAAAAGTTTGGTAGTTGTTTTTCTCTTTGACATCTGGTGGGAGGGCGTTCCACAGGGCGGGCGCCACTACCGAGAAGGCCCTCTACCTGGTTCCCTGTAACTTGGCTTCTTGTAGGGAGGGAACCGCCAGAAGGCCCTCAGCACTGGACCTCAGTGTTCTGGCAGAACGATGGGGGTGGAGATGCTCCTTCAGATATACTGGACCAAGGCTGTTTAGGGCTTTAAAGGTCAGCACTAACACTTTGAATTGTGCTCGGAAACGTACAGGGAGCCAGTGTAGGTCTTTCAAGACCGGTGTTATAAGGCCTCTCCTCTTCCTGGAGTGGAGGGGTTGTGAGTGGGAGTAGCTTCCCGCAGCAGCAGAGAGGCGTATTCGCCTCCCTGCTTCTGATTTGCCCCGCTGCCACGACCAAGCCCTTCAGCCGGCCAATAGAGCTGGCTGGTGGGTGGGGTTAGTTGCATTTAAGCAGCTGCGGCAGCGCTCTGTTCCCAGTCTGTTCCTGCTTGCATCAGATCTGCTTATTGACCTTGCTATGGACTGCGGTTGGTTGCCTTGGTTGCCCAAGGGACCTGGTAGGACTTTTTTATCCATCTGGCAAATTGGCACCAGCCTCTTGGTTTTTTTGCCTACCTCGTAGCAACTCATCACAACTTTCTGGTATTGGCAGTTAGGCATTGGAATATGTGTGCTGCGTTGGAGGATTGGGTATGCCCATCCCTCCCATTTTTGGGTATTCCGTTAAAGGAATCCGGTGGTCGTGGATCCTGTCCGATGCCCTGCTGGTGGCTAGGGCCATGGCACGACCCCCAGTGACATCATGGGGAAGCTTCCAGTTGTATTTGCATCAACAAGCTCCTCCCACTGGTTGTTAACTTGAAATGACTCCCTGCTGAGTGGGGTGGAGTCATGTATTCCTGTTTTATCCAATGCCTAAGCCAATACTAGGGACGCGCGTGGCGCTGTGGGATAATAATAATAATAATAATAATAATAATAATAATAATAATAATTTATTATTTATACCCCGCCCATCTGGCTGGGCTTCCCTGGCCACTCTGGGCGGCTTCCAAAAGAATATTAAAATACTATAATACATCAAACATTAAAAGCTTCCCGAAACAGGGCTGCCTTCAGATGTCTTCTAAAAGCCTGGTAGTTGTTGTTCTCTTTGACATCTGGTGGGAGGGTGTTCCACAGGGAAGGTGCCACTACCGAGAAGGCCCTCTGCCTGGTTCCCTGTAACTTGGCTTCTCGCAGTGAGGGAACCGCCAGAAGGCCCTCGGTGCTGGACCTCAGTTAAACCACAGAGCCTAGGACTTGCCGATCAGAAGGTCGGCGGTTCGAATCCCCGTGACGGGGTGAGCTCCCGTTGCTCGGTCCTTGCTCCTGCCAACCTAGCATTTCGAAAGCAGGTCAAAGTGCAAGTAGATAAATAGGTACCGCTCCGGCGGGAAGGTAAACGCGTTTCCTTGCGCTGCTCTGGTTCGCCAGAAGCGGCTTAGTCATGCTGGCCACATGACCCAGAAGCTGTACACCGGCTCCCTCGGCCAATAAAGCGAGATGAGCGCCGCAACCCCAGAGTCAGCCGCAACTGGACCTAATGGTCAGGGGTCCCTTTACCTTTACCTTTTAAGCCAATACTACTCACATGCTGTAACCAATAAAGTTGTGGCCTTATTTTGCCCATTAACTATAAATAATGTGTCTTTGTGTCTTATTATGTGGGTGGTGGGTCCTCGACTCACAACGCCTTCAGCTCTGAAGATGGAAGACTGTGGTCAGTAGCCACAGATAGGCTTATCTACTATGAGTTTGTCTAATCCGCAAGCTTGGCATAGTCCACACTGACTGACAGGGCTTCTTCCACATTTCAAACCAAGGTCTTTCCCACCTGGAGATATTGAACTTGGGACCTTCTGCATGCAAAGCATTTGCTCTCCCATTGAGTTGCAGCCTTCCCTCATTGATCACAGGCAGGTTAATCCCTTCTAGACCCCAGCTCTTATCTGCCAGTATCCGTTCCTGATCCCGAGGAGTGAGCTTTCAAATCCACTGATTGAGAGCATCCAATCCGATAGCGCTGACCCATCTCACTGTCTGCTGCCTCGCAGAAACAAAGGAGGTTGCTTTGAGAAGCAGGAATTAATTGCTGCTTTGATCAGCTCTGATAAATCTTCCTCTGAAGTGCTGTGTTTTAAGGCCTGGGTATCATTTTTGAGAACGCAGGAATCCTGAGTATATTGCAATAGATTGTTGTTGTTTAGTCGTTTAGTTGTGTCCGACTTTTTGTGACCCCATGGACCAGAGCACGCCAGGGTCTTCTACTGCCTCCAGCAGTTTGGTCAAACTCATGCTGATAGCTTTGAGAACACTGTCCAACCATCCCGTCCTCTGTCTTGTACCCTCAATCTTTCCCAACATCAGGGTCTTTTCCAAGGAGTCTTCTCTTCTCATGAGGTGGCCAAGGATAGCCCAGGCTTTCCACAACTTTATGCCCCCCAGATGTTTTGGGCAACAACTTCTATCAGCCTCAGTCAGCATGGAGCTGTCACCCCAAACATCTGATGAGCACAAGGTTGGGCAAGTTTGAGGAGGTCTGATGTGAGCAAAATTTGATCAGGTCGGAACCACAAAAATCAATTCCTCCTCCATCTCTAACCGTAACTTGTAGCCACTGATAGCCTTGCACGCCACAGATTTGTCAAATCTCCCTTTACAGCCTCTTACATTTTTTTGTCCATAATCACATCTTGCAGTAGCTGCGTTTATTATGGATGGTGTGTGCCTATATTTTTATTGTCATGATTTAGTTCTCGGAAGTATTAAAAATCCAAGGGATTTTCTGCATCCCAGATGATGTATTTATGACTTCGGCCAAATCAATCGATACATGATATTCACTTGCATTAGAGACCTGTTTCTCAACACTGCATTAAAAAAAATAAAAGCAATTGAAACAATGTGTCTAGGTAGCCATGATTACAATGTGGTCTCGGTAAGTTTATTTTGGGATGTCTACAATGAGCTGAGCCAAAAATGGACTGGAGCCCTACCTTGAAATGGATATTGATAAACAGGAGATTAGAAGGTAATGTTGAGTGGGTTAACAGTCTCTCCTTCTTCCCAGGAAACTCTGAGATTTGCGGCTCTGGGAGGAGAAAAGGAGGTTTCATCACAACTCCCAGCACCCTTAACAAACTACAGCTCCCAGAATTCTTTGGGGGGGGGAGCCATGACTATTTAAAGTGGCACCATAGTGCTTTAAATGTATGGGCGGAATGCAGCCTACATAAGAAACCTGTTCTCTGCAGAATCCTTTGCATATTGGTTAACATCTCCAGACTCATTCACAAAACCAATGCAATATAAGCACAGTTTCATATGGGCAGACTCAAACCATGTCCCCCTCCCCTTTTTTAACCAACACAAGGCTACTTTTTCCTTCCAGACTTACTATTAGTGCCTTCATTTAATTCTCTCCCTTTCTCAGATCCCTCCCCACCCCCACCCCGCCGCTCATTACTTTACACTAAAAAATATAGAGCAATAACAAGTCCAGGCTGTTGAGTTCAACCTGATAGGCACTGTCAAAGCTGTCAGAGGGTGGTGACAATAAACATTTCAGCTGCCTATCAATTTTGCCGCAATAAAAAAAGTCTTGACCCTGAAAAAATCGGGTTCTGCCATAATGAATGCTTTGTCTCCAAATATTTGCATTTTAGCTGACAAGGCTCACTTTCTGCTTTTTCCTTTTTTAAAAAAATACAGTCATAAACAATCTGCCTTAAAAACTAGATTGCTAGGAACTCAGACGAGGAATGAGTGTTGTCTTCCCCCCGCCACTTTTTCCTCTTCCAGCCGCTTCTCATCCAACTCTATATCCAGGATATTTCACATGTTATTTCTTGTGATACATATGACATGATCATCCATGTATCTTTGGGTGGATGGATGGAGGGGATCTCCAGAGGCAATTGACTAAGTCCTCCCCCTTTCCCCACCATCATTTTGTCAGATCCGCTGTTGCTAGGTGGGGTACAGACTCTCCAATCTCTAATCCCCGGAAATCTCATTCAGCTACTCCTCTGGCTTTTGAAATTCCACCTGGCTTTTCACACGTTCTTGCAAACATGAGGGCTAGAAGCTCTTCAAAAAGCTGGAAAATGCATGGGCAGATGACGCTCTCCTGTTGTTTTGTGGCCAATCTCTTTAATGTGGGTTCCTGCCTTTTGCCAATCACCTTAATTTCATTTAAGCAACAGTGCAGAGTAGGTGAAAGAGAATTCCACGAACAGTACAACAGGGAAACAGTCCTACTTGGCCCCAGAGCAACCAGTAACACCTACACTGTCGTGGAATTCTACTCAATATTGATCCAGAGTAGATTCCAATGGATAGTTAGCAGAGTAAAAACTTAAACACATTGCAGGATTAAAAAAAACACAAAAACAGACCAGAGGCAATTAATTTCATTCAGCAGAGCTTTACTGCTATTGAAGGCAAATGAGTATCATGGTCACAGATCCAAAACATTCAGGATTGGCACTGTCCATAAGCAATCCAGTTGCAGCAGACTTAACTTAAACTTACAATAACTTATAATAAGTCAAAACCTCAACACTAAGCATACAGCTAAACAGCTTGGGGAGGAGTTACCCAGCTATGAGATAATGACAAGGGAACCAGAAGGGAGGGGGCAACTAGTTGAGATGTCACTTGAGAGTGTGGGGGACCCCCCCTCACCACGGACTCGGAGGTCCGAATGTATCAGAGAGCAAGGGAGTCAGAGGGAGGAGGGAGGTGCCTAAAATGCTGTGGAAGTCAGAAGGAGGATTTAGAGTAGCCAACTAGCCACCCTTGCAGAGTGCTGTGTATATGTGCTTGCAACATGATGCTGTAATAAAAGGACTATAAATATATCAACTGCTCGTTAATTCTTATCTGTGAAGTTACCAAAGGGAGAGGAGGACTCTCTATGTCTGACAAACAACAACAACAACAAAATTATTTGTACTCCACCCATCTGACTGGGTTGCCCCAGCCGCTCTGGGTGGCTTCCAACATATATAAGAACATAAGAAAACATTAAACATTAAAAAAACCTTCCCTATGCAGGGTTACCATCCGATGTCTTCTAAAGGTTGTATAGTAGTAATAATAATAATATTATTATAATTTATTATGTATACCCCACCCATCCAGCTGGGTTTCCCCAGTCACTCTGGGCGGCTTCCAACAAAGTATTAAAATACAGTAGTCTGTTAAACATTAAAAGCTTCCCTAAAGAGGGCTGCCTTCAGATGTCTTCTAAAAGTCTGGTAGTTGTTCTTCTCTTTGACATCTGGTGGGAGGGTGTTCCACAGGGTGGGTGCCACTACCAAGAAGGCCCTCTGCCTGGTTCCCTGTAACCTCACTTCTTGCAGCGAGGGAACTGCCAGAAGGCCCTTGGCGCTGGACCTCAGTGTCCGGGCAGAACGATGAGGGTGCAGACGCTCCTTCAGGTATACTGGACCGAGGCCATTTAGGGCTTTAAAGGTCAGCACCAACACTTTGAATTGTGCTCGGAAATGTACTGGGAGCCAATGTAAGTCTTTCAAGACCGGTGTTATGTGGTCTCGGAGGCCGCTCCCAGTCACCAGTCTAGCTGCCATATAAGTATAGTTACTTATCTCCTTGTCTTATGCATAACTCCATACCCTCCAACATTTCTCTGATGAAAATAGGAACGTCCTAAGGAAAAGCAGGACATTCCGGGATCAAATCAGAAACTGGGATGGCTTCTGTAAATCTGGGACTGTCCCTGGAAAGGGTCTACCCTGCTGCTCTGGTGTACAGGAGAACAGGACTAGCTGGGTCTTGGTTCTTCTTATGTTCTGGTGGTGATCAGTTGCTCCAGAAAACCTTCATTTTGACCTGAGCCAATGGGCACAAATAGTAAAACCTGTACCAAACCTGTAGTTTCATCACTGGCGAAATCTGATTGAGTGGGGAAACCTTGTTTCCGGGCCAGGCATGGTGTGTGTGTGTGTGTGTGTGTGTGTAGAGAATACGTGTCTCTCTTTTCACAGTTTCTGTCCCCTTCTTCATCCTCCCACAAGGGGCAGAGTCAATGGCAGGAAATTGTCACTTTGCCTAGAAGAAACTCACAATGTTGGCCGGTGGGTGGATTTTGCAGTTTTCATCTCTGAAAAGCTGTGCTTGCTGGCAGTCGTGGGGGAATAAATATCCCCTTGGCACACATCCACAAATGCTTAGGAAAATATCATGCTTTGTTCATGTGCCAGAAGAGGATGTTGTTATCAGAGTCATGGAAAGATTTTCCGCTCGCCCCTGTTTGAATTAGGATTAAAAGATATAGGAAATTGCTGGGGAAAGGAGGAGAAACCCAACCAGGGCTCTAAAAAAAAAAAAAGGCTAAGGAGAAAGAAAAGTAGTAACATGAAGAACTGAAAGAACAAGGAAAGAAATTACAGCTTGGGTTTTATCTTTTGTCAAAGTCAAAACGACATTTTCTTTAAAGGTTGGCATATTCTTAAGTATAGCCTTAACGGGTGAAGGAAATGAGTGGTTTAGAAAGTTACGGAAGAAGCCAGATAGATCTGGATGAGTCAGGTCTAAGAAGTAATCCTTGCTTCCCAAAAAACTATGCTGTGTCATGTTAGTTGTACCTCATCATCCATCGGGACATCAGGATGACTCAAGGGCCTTCCCTGATGGTGGGGTTGAAGATGACTCACCCCTGAGCTACTCAGTTAATGCTAAAAGCTTTGTCAGTGATGGCCAGTGCTGTTGGGACTGGTAGGGCAGAAGTCAGGGAGCCATTAGAAAGTCAGTGGGAATTCGCAAAATTCATGGTGATGGTCTGTCAGGATGGCCACGGGCAACATTCACATTCAGAAGACTTTTCATCAGCGATGGATTTAGGGTGGTGCAGGCAGTTCCTCCAGGGACGCAGGTGCCCTCAATCTTTCCCAGCATCAGGGTCTTTTCCAGGGAGTCTTCTCTTCTCATGAGGTGGCCAAAGTACTGGAGCCTCAGATTCAGGATCTGTCCTTCCAGTAGCACTCAGGTCTGATTTCCTTCAGAATGGATCGGTTTGATCTTCTTGCAGTCCATGGGACTCTCAAGAGTCTCCTCCAGCACCATAATTCAAAAGCATCAATTATTTGGTGATCAGCCTTCTTTACGGTCCAGCTCTCACTTTTTATGGTCCAGCTTTAGCGCCTCTTATTTTATCTGTAACCTGCCTTGAGTCCCTGTCAGGGAAGAAGGCGGGTTTTAAATAAATATAATAATAATATTTTAGGCAACAGGATGCTGAGCTAGATAGGTGCAGGAACACTTGTCTTTTCTTATGTTCTTACCATACTGCTGAGTTTCCAGATGAAGGACATTTTGCTGCAAGAAGCAGAATAGTTGAGACCAATCTGGGGTCCTTCTGGGAGTTGTTCAGCCAGTCAGATGACTTAAGACTTGGTGTCAAGGCTGCCTCAAGTCTCAGCTCACAAAAGACCAACGCCTATCTCTTCTTATATACAAAAGTGTTTATTGCAGTTCATTGTTTGCTTCACATCCGAGGCGCGCAGCCCTACGTCTGTTACGCTTAGACCGCTGAAGTCCCCTCTCCTGACACGTTCCCCCTGGGGCTCCCCTGGCCTTGACCACCGGCGCCCCCTTCTGGGAATCCTCTGATTCGCTGGAAAGACTCATGGAATCTCTTGAGTCATTGTCATCCTCTTCCTCGCTGTCCTGGGACTCATCCCCATCGCTCTCCATCTCCTGCCTACCCTGTGCCTCTGTCCCTGAACCCCTGACATCCATCCCCCCCTCGAAGCCCCCCCTTCCCCCCTCCCGCTGCTCGGGCGCAGGTTCCGGGAGCTCCGTTGTAGCGGGGGTAGATGCTGGATACAGTTCGTCGACGTCGATCTCCTCTGCTTCCAGTTCAGTGTATGAGTGCTCGAAACCGGGGTCCTCCCCCAACACATCCAAGTCCTCCCCTCCCCCTGTTACTTCAGGCGATGCTGCTTGCCAAGGCCCCCTTAGCCACCCCCTGCGCCACTCCTCTTCTGATTGATTGTCCCACCAGTAAGAGCGGTCCGTGTCCACCCCCGAGCACGATCCCCTTGGAGGGCTCGATTCTGGCGTGGTCTCCTCTGCGGAGGAGAACCCCCGGAAGGTGCTGTCTGAAAGCGTGGGCGTAAAAGCCAGTCGTCAAAATACTCCGCTGGCATGGGCCTGTGTGGGAAGAGTGCATGGAACTCGTCTTTAAGAAGAGGTTCCTCCAGAGCATAATCTGGCACCCAACTGTTGGCGCTGGCCGGGGTACCTTCCCTGGCGAGGAGGTATTCTACTCCCTCCTCCCCCCATCTCGAGTCCAGAATTTCCGTGACCTCGTTGAGTGGCGGGGTCTTCGGTGACTTCCCCCCCCCTTGTGACTTTCTACGTGGGTCTGGTGCCGTCCCTGGCTCCTGAAATCTGTGTGGGACCTTGTAGGGTGTAAGCACCGACCTATGAAAGACCGGGTGCATTCTGGAACCTTCCGGGAGGGTCAACCGAAAAGCTACGGGATTGATCCTGCCCTCAACTTGGTATGGCCCTAACTGTTTGTGTCCTAGCTTCTTCTTAGCTAACGACTTGGCCGGCACCGCCTGGGCTGCTAACCATACCCAGTCCCCCACCTGGATGTCTTCTCCTGCCCTCCTGTGCCTGTCTGCCTGCACTTTGTAGGCGTGTTTAGCTAGTTCCAAGTGCCGTCGTAGCTCCTCGTGGACCTCCTGCAATTCTGCTGCTAAATGCTCAGCTCCCTGCGACTCCCCTGCGTCGTTGTCTCCAACGCCGGGAAGGTTCTGGGGTGTCGCCCATTGATGGCTAAGAAAGGAGAAACCCCCGATGACGCGTGCTTCGTGTTGTTGTAGGCAAACTCGGCCATCGGTAGGTAGTCCACCCAAGTTGCAGGCTTTTGATTGGCGTAACATCGCAGGTACTGCTGCATGATGGCGTTGACCCTCTCCGCTTGGCCGTTGGTTTGCGGGTGTCTCGCCGACGCTAAGTTGATCTTGACATTCAGGATGCCCAGGAGCTTCTGCCAGAAACTGGAAATGAATTGGCGACCCCGGTCGGACAGGATGGACCGTGGTAAGCCGTGCACCCGGAACACGTGGTCTATGAACAGCTTGGCGGTCTGTTCCACTGTTGCCACCTTCGCGCAAGGAATGAAGTGCGCCATCTTGGTGAACAGGTCTACAACCACAAGCACCGCCGTCTTGCCTCGCGAACTGGGCAGATCAGTAACAAAGTCCAGCGCCACCCTTTCCCACGGCTGTAGTGGCGTCTCCAGCGGTTCCAGCAATCCCGCTGGCTTCTTGTGCACTGGCTTGGACCTCTGACACGTGTCACACCTGGCGACGTAATCCGCGACCTCCCCTCGCATCTGGGGCCACCAAAAGTCCCTGGCTACTAAGTCCGCCGTCTTTTCTTTGCCGAAGTGACCCGCGCTGGGTGCGTCGTGTAACTGCTGTAAAACCTTCACGCGGAGATCGTCTCCCGGCACGTAGAGAGCACCCTTGCGGGTTAGCAGGCCATCGCGTATCTGGAATTCGTCGTCCTTTGCTGTCCCTCTGCGCACCTCCTCCATCTTGGATTGTGCGAACAGATCCGTCTGTAGCGCGCGGCGTACCGCGTCCAGGTCCACGGCGGCGGAAGCGCATGCCCACGCCTGCGGTGCAAAAATGTGCCTGGCTGCCACTGGTGCCGCTTCCTCGAGATACTGCGGTTTCCTGGAGAGGGCATCCGCTATGACGTTGTTGTCTCCCGGGATATACTCTATCCTGAAGTCGAAATCCGCAAAGAACTCCGCCCATCTCATGTGCCTTTGGCTCTGGAGCTTCGCCGTGCGCCAATACTCTAGGTTCTTGTGGTCCGTGCGGACTTGCACGGTGTGCTTGGCTCCGATGAGGAAGTGCCGCCACGCCTTGAAAGCCGCGTGGATGGCCAACAACTCCCTGTCCCAGATGGTGTAGTTCTGTTCCGACTTGCTGAGCTTCCGGGAATAGAAGCGCAGGGCCTCCAGTTCCCTTGCGGATCTTCCTGCAAGAGGACGGCCCCCACTGCTCTGTCAGATGCGTCAGTCTCAACCCGCATGGGCCTGCCGGGATTCACGTGTAGCAGCTGTTCTTCGGACGCGAAAAGGCTCTTAAGTCTCCTGAAGGACTGCTCCGCTTGGTCCGTCCATGTGAACTTTTTCTTCTTGGAACTGAGGGTGTCCGTGATAGCTGCCGTCTCTTTCGCGAAACCCCTGATGAACTTGCGGTAAAAGTTGGCGAAGCCGACGAACCTCTGGACCTCCTTCCGATTGCGCGGGCTATTCCAGTCCAACACCGCGCGGACCTTGGCGCTGTCCATGGCTAGTCCCTTGTCGGACAGCCGGTAGCCCAGGAAATCCACCTCCGTCACGTCGAACTGGCACTTCTCCAGTTTGGCGTAGAGTCTGTGCTCCCGCAGCCTCTGCAGGACCTCCTTTACGTCTCTCTCGTGAGTCTCCCGCGATTCTGAGAAGATCAGAATGTCGTCGAGGAAGCATACGCACTTCTTGTAGAGGAGTCCCGCTAGCACGTGGTGCATGAAGGCTTGGAAACAGTGGGAGCCATTTTGGAGACCAAACGGCATAACTCTGTATTCATAGGTGCCCAGCGGTGTGAACATGGCCGTCTTCCACTCGTCACCTTCCCTCATGCGTATTAGATTGTATGCTCCGCGTAAATCCAACTTGGTGAAGATCCTCCCCTTCCGTACCGTCGCGAGCAGGTCGTCAATTTTGGGCATGGGGAAGGCCTTGGGCTTTGTCATCGAGTTTATGGCCCTATAGTCCACAATGAGCCTTTTTTGGGGCGTGTCCTTCTTCTTCACGAAAAACACAGGACTGCCCCCCACTGCCTTGGATTCTCGGATGAATCCCCGCTTCAAATTGTGATCTATGAACTCCCTGAGTTCCTGCATCTCATCTTCAGACATGGAATACAGCTTCGCAGTCGGTAGCGTCGCCCTGGTAAGAGGTCAATTGCACAGTCGTAGGGCCGGTGGGGTGGTAATTGGTCAGCTTCTTTTCGCAGAAGACCTCCAAAACCCCTTGTACTTGTGGGGCACTGCCTGCACCATGCCTAGATGCAACTGTTGCCCTTCCTCCTGGCCCTCCTCCTCCTGGCCGGTCTGGATGCAATGTTGTGCGCAGTAGGACGAGCCAAAGGTGAGCTGCCGCTGGTACCACGCTAATGATGGGCTGTGTCTATCCAGCCAACTCATGCCTAACACTATAGGCGTGTCTGACAGTTGGGTGACATTGAAACTGATGACCTCGCGATGATTCCCAATTTTCAGCAGCATGGGTGGCGTCTGTTGTACCACTTGCCCACCCAGCAGCTTCCTGCCATCTACCGTGACGACGTTCAGAGGCAGCGTGGCTGGTAGTAGCGCTATGCGATGCTGCTTGATGAACTGCATCCCCACGAAGTCTGCGTTGCTCCCTGAGTCAATCGTAATGGGGACTTCCAGGGTGAGTCCATTAGGTAGCTGGAGAGTAGCAGTGAGCTGCACCACTGGCTTGGGTGGTAAGGGGTCTGTAGGCTGCAAAAGCGCTGGGGACTGCTTCACTGACTTGCCTGGCGGAGCCCCAGCATCTCTGCTTCCAGCCAGGCATTCTCGTTTCCCTGAAACTGTTCTCCTTGGAACGCTTCCCCTGTTACTGTTGCTAAGGCTGCAGTGTGCTTCTGGAGCCTCTGGGGACACTCTTTGGCCATGTGCTGCGCACTGTCACAGACGTAACACTTCCTGGTCCCTCTAGGAGGCTTCGCCTTGACTGCTCCGGACGCTGAGGCTCCGGCAGCTGTCTGAGCCTTTGCACCACCCAGTTCCATTGGTTCCTCCCCCTCCCTCAGCCTAGGCGAGGGATGCGTACGTCCCAGGTCGCTGGGAATAAAAGGAGGCGCTCTAGCTGGTGCGTGGACTTGGCGCCCCTCCTCACTGTGCCAAGGGCGTTCTTCGTGGCGCACTCCTATCGTGAGTGCCCTCTGCACGACGTCTGCTAGGGTTTGAGGTCTGTCCCCCCTTGCCAACTCATCTTTTACGGAGCCATGAAGCCCCTTCCAGAACAAGTCTCTCACTGCCAATGAGTCCTTTTCCCAGCCCAGCACATTCAGCAAAGCAAAAAAGCGAGAATGGTACTGACGCACTGTAGCCTTGCCCTGCCTCAATCCATGCATCTCCCGGCGCGCCACATCAACATCAACTGTAGATTGGAAGCAAGCGTCCATGGCTTTGATAAATTCATCAGAGTTCCTGCGGGCAGGACCATCTTCGCGCCACAAATTGCGTAACCAGGCTCTAGCTTCCCCATGCAAATGGGACACAATAAAGCCTACCTTCTCCTCCTCATCTTTGAAGTCTTTCCGAAGCAAATGCAGCGCGTAGACGACGTCTGCTCTGAAACTGGGATAATGCTTCAGGTTTCCATCGAAGTGGGCTACTAAATTGCCCCCCCTCCGTCCGAGTCCGATTCCCTCTGATCTGGACCCCGGGAACCCCTCTTTGCACGCCTGATCCCACCTGGCTTGCAGATCCTGGCATCGCGCTTCTGCTTCGGCAACTGTCTTCTGAGAGACCCGTACTGCAACGGAGAGTTCAGCGACTGCGTTTTGCAGGGTCGTTATCTGCTCCTCAGTAGTCATGTCTGCCAAACTTCGTGAGCTTTGCAAAAAAAAATTTTGCGGTTTCAGGGAGAGGGGACTTACTGTCAGGGCTGCCTCAAGTCTCAGCTCACAAAAGACCAACGCCTATCTCTTCTTATATACAAAAGTGTTTATTGCAATTCATTGTTTGCTTCACATCCGAGGCGCGCAGCCCTACGTCTGTTACGCTTAGACCGCTGAAGTCCCCTCTCCTGACACGTCCCCCCTAGGGCTCCCCTGGCCTTGACCACCGGCGCCCCCTTCTGGGAATCCTCTGATTCGCTGGAAAGACTCATGGAATCTCTTGAGTCATTGTCATCCTCTTCCTCGCTGTCCTGGGACTCATCCCCATCGCTCTCCATCTCCTGCCTACCCTGTGCCTCTGTCCCTGAACCCCTGACACTTGGGTTCAGTCATTATTTGCTTGAGTTGCTGCCTAAGCCCTGCTTTTTCTTGCTGTGAATGAACCCTGCAGGGAAACCCAAGGAGCGCGAGGAGGGAGAGATAATAACCAGTCTCAGGGGTGAGCCGATAATTAATACTCCAGTAAAAAAGTGCTGGTGGGATGTCAGGGAATGCCACAGGAGCAATGGAAGACATGGGAATCCCCTCAAATAATGAATTTTCTCTTAGTTCATGAAGGGGGGGAGCAGAAAAAAAGAGAGGGGAGGGCAGTAGTGGAGTGGGAAAACCTGTGTGTGAATTAATAAATCAATTAAGAATTAAGGTGAAATTTCACATCACTCCCACACTTCCCAGTTTGTATTAAAAAATACTGCTGTGTCACTTTCTTAGCCAGGTTCTGCTCCAGTCTATTATAATTCGCTATTTACACCGAAACCAGGAAGCATTCAGAAATGTTGAACAAACTCTTTTACAACCACCATAACTTTTAAAAAAGGGACATGGGTGGTGCTGTGGGTTAAACCACAGAGCCTAGTACTTGCCGATCAGAAGGTCAGCAGTTCGAATCCCCACGATGGGGTGAGCTCCCGTTGCTCGGTCCCTGCTCTTGCCAACCTAGCAGTTCGAAAGCACGTCAAAGTGCAAGTAAATAAATAGGTACCGCTCCTGCAGGAAGGTAAACGGCGTTTCAGTGCGCTGCTCGGTCAATAAAGCGAGATGAGCACCGCAACCCCAGAGTCGTCCACGACTGGACCTAATGGTCAGGGGTCCCTTTACCTTTACCTTGGGTTACTGACACTTCAGGTTACAGACTCTGCTAATGCGGAAATAGTACATCGGGTTAAGAACTTTGCTTCAGGATGAGAACAGAAATCGTGCTCCGGCAGCGTGGCGGCAGCAGGAGGTGTCATTAGCTAAAGTGGTGCTTCAGGTTAAGAACAGTTTCAGTTTAAGAACAGACCTCCAGAATGAATTAAGTACTTAACCCGAGGTACCACTGTAATTCACTATTTACACCAAAACCAGGAAGCATTCAGAAATCTTGAGCAAACCCTTTACAACCACCATAACTTTTAAAAGCAGAAGCCAAGGCGGGCAGGACAAAAAGTAAGGAGGTGACAGGGAGGAGGAGAAGGATGGAGACAAAGCTGGAATTAGTTGGCTCTGCCTGTCATCTGCTCTGGTGCCACCTACTGTTGGGCTCCCTGGCTTATGTCCCATCAGGACCAGTGCGCACTGGTCCCCACTCTCTTGATGGACACATTGGAGCTTGGTAGGGCTTCTCTGCCACTGGAGGCCAGCAGAGCTGAGCTGGCGTTGGCAAAAGGAAACTGAACTCCCCTCCGTCATGGTGGATCAGGGGTTTGGATTAGTCTGTGAGTTTTAAGCGAACGGCAGTAATGGGGAAAAACCCCACCACTGAATCCATACTTTCCAGGGTGCTGTGGTTGGTAATAAAAACACACCACTCCATTCATTCTTTTCAAGGTGTTCGGTCGATGAAGAAAATTATGGCACCAACATTGGCAACCAAACCATAGCAACACTGATAAGAGCACAAAAACAACAGCTGTTAGATAAATGAAACATCAGAAAGAAACCATTCTTTCAGAAACGCGCTCGCAAATGTGCTTTTCAGCATTCTGTGTAAACAATATTCTGCGAAGAATGTGATGTTAGAAAATAATTCTGGAAATGACAAGGTACTTGATAAATGCAGTGAATTGTGGTGGAGGAAGAGGAAATGAATCACAGAGCCATTTAATAGACGGCTTGGGAATGAAACGGCAGAAAGTCTGAGCACAACCCAGACTAAATTAAAGCACTTTTGGGGGGAAAGGAGACGCTAACCAAGGACCTGGGACAGCTCCCTGCCTCTTCCTCTACTCTCCATAGTAGGCATGGATATGCTGGTTTGGGTACTTTCTTTTCTCATTTGTCTAGTCTTAAATTCAGTTCTCCACATTCATACAGCAATTTGTGTTATTTTTTTAAAAAACAAAAACAAAAAGCCTTATAAAAATTCATTAGCATTTCCGAGTGAATTTCTCCGAAGGAACTTATTTTTGTATGCCCTATTTATTAGCTATGAAAATATTTTTAGACCACTGTGTCATAAACATATACCAAAGTGGTTTATGGCAATAAAAATATAGCCATACAACAAGAGCCGAAAGAAGTTGAAAAACAGACATTGATTAACCATTGTGGAATAATAATAATAATAATAATAATAATTTCAATTTATATACCACCCTTTATCAAAAGATCCCAGGGTGGTGTAGAACTCTAGGAACATATTTTATGGAGCATAAAAATAAATAAATAATATAATTATATAGATCAGTTGGTTAGTGCATGGTGCTGATAATGCCAGGATTGCAAGTTTAATCCCTGTACGGGACAGCTGCATATTCCTGCATTACTGGGGGTTGGACTAGATGTTCCTCAGGATCCCTTCCAACTCTGTGATACTAGGATTCTATTCTATGATTCTATGAAAGCATAATAACAGAGAGCATCATAGCAGCGCCCCCTCACATATTTAACAGGCCATATATTATTTAATGGCCAAAGGCCTGGGTAAAGAGTAATGTTTTCACCTGGTGCTCAAAGATATATGATGACAGTGGCAGGCAAGCCTCTCTTTTGGGTGAGCATTCCACAAACTTGGGCGGGGGAGAGAATCACAGAAAAGGATGTATTATTAAGCCCCATCTCCCCATCATTTCCCTCTTACAGCATGTGCAGAAACTAGGATTACCATATTTCAAAAAATGAAAATCCGGACACAAAGGTTGTTGAGCTTTTTCTGCAAAACCTGAAAGAAAAGAAGAAGTTTAAGAAAATTTGCCAAAATCTATACTATCCACCCAGACACTGTTTCTGACCTTCAAATCCTGGCTATGTCTGGACCAGGGACGGATTTAGGTTTGATGAGACCCTAAGCTCCTGAAGGTAATGGGGGCCTTTATATATCCACCTGTCCTTTGTCCACAACAAATTGTCACTGGTTTTTGTGTTAAATATATGCTATATGTATGGTAATTTATGGACCTAATCAGTATCTAAAGCCATCTGCACATAACAAAATACAGTGGTGCCCCGCAAGACAAATGCCTCGCAAGACGGAAAACCCGCTAGACGAAAGGGTTTTCCGTTTTGGAGGTGCTTCGCAAAACGAATTTCCTATGTGCTTGCTTCGCAAGACGAAAATGTCTTGCGAGTTCCTGCGGGGGTTTTTTCCTCCCCCCCCCCTTTTCCCCAAGCCGCTAAACCGCTTATCAGCTGATGGCTAAGCCGCTTAACAGCTGATGCTAAGCCGCTTATCAGCTTATCCTTAAGCCGCTTATCAGCTGATCGTTAAGCCGCTTATCAGCTTATCGTTAAGCCGCTTATCAGCTGATCCACTAAGCCCGCTAAGCCGCTAATACTGTAGCACTAATCCGCTAAACCGCTAATAGGCTTGCTTCGCAAGACGAAAAAACCCGCAAGACGAAGAGACTTGCGGAACGGATTCTTTTCGTCTTGCGAGGCACCACTGTATGTATTTTATCAATGTACACTGTTGCTGTATGTAGGTTTAATTTTATTTGTTTTTATCTTATATTTTGGAAATGTACATCCATATTTTTTTGGGGGAGGGGGCCAAGAGAGTGGGGCCCTAAGCTATAGCTTGTTTAGCTTATACGTAAATCCGGCACTGGTCCAGATGTATGGCAACCCTAGCAGAAACCACCTTTTTGACACTTTGCCCCACTATTGGTCTCGTCTTCTCAATCCGCCAGAGCCTGTCTTTGGAGAGAGCCAGTGTGGTGTAGTGGTTAAGAGCGGTAGTCTCGTAATCTGGGGAACCGGGTTCGCTTCCCTGCTCCTCCACATGCAGCTGCTGGGTGACCTTGGGCTAGTCACACTTCTTTGAAGTCTCTCTGCCCCACTCACCTCACAGAGTGTTTGTTGTGGGGGAGGAAGGGAAAGGAGATTGTTAGCCGCTTTGAGACTCCTGAAGGGGAGTGAAAGGCGGGATATCAAACCCAAACTCTTCTTCTTCTTCTTCTGCATGCAGGGAATAGACAAGTCCCTAACTCACTGAGGGTTTGAGACTCATCGGTTACCCTCACCTAGTTTAGCCAACCAGCCAAAGCCATTTGCGGGGTGTGGCCGCTGTCTCACGTTGACAGCTTCCAGGAGCAGGGCCGGATTTAGGTTTGATGAGGCCCTTATGCTTCTGAAAATAATGGGGCCCTTTACATGTCCAGCTGTCCTTTGTCAACAAAAAATTGTCACTGTTTTTTGTGTTGAATATATGCTATACAGTCATACCTCGTGTTACATTTGCTTTTCAGGTTACGAATGTGGCAAATCCAGAAGTGTTTACTTCCGGGTTTGCCATGCGTGCACACGCAGAAGCGATCTGCACGCTTCGTGCATGTGCAGAAGTGCTCTATCGCACTTTGCGCATGTGCAGTAGAGGCGCTCTACTTACAGACTTATGAACGGATCGCGTTCATAAGTAGAGGTACCACTGTATGGTAATTCATGTTTCAAACAGCATGGGGAAAATGCAGAGAATACTTCACAAAACAGTGCCCTAAAATACATACCTGGACTTGTTTTGATTAATGTCTGCAGGAGACTTTGTGGATATTTAAGTTATAATTAGAAAAATCTTAATAATTATTCATAAAGGAAACAGCTTATAAGAAGTAAATAAGGAGGCTAGATACAGGATAAAGGAAGTCTTTTATTTGGTTGTTTGTATTATTGTATGTTATGCTCACTGTATGTTATGTTCACGTTTAATGAGGATGGATTTCTTTATTGGGGGTGGGGGGGTTTATGTTATGTTGTAAATAAAATTTCCAATAAAAAATATTTTTTTTTTAAAAAAAAGAAGGCAATTTATGGACCTAATAGGTATCTAAAGCCATTTGCACATGTTGCCATGCAACCAGTCCATGCAGAATGTAGGCACCCCATATATAGAAATGAGCAAACCAGTGATATTTTACTTACATCATAGGGGCCTACGCAACACAAAACACTGTTGCTGTATGTAGGTTTTATTTTATTTGTTTTTTTATCTTATACTGTATTTTGGAAATGTACATCCAGTTATTTTTCCTTCAAATATTTTTTGGGGGGCCCCAAGAGAGTGGGGCCCTAAGCTATAACTTGTTTAGCTTATATGTAAACCCGGCACTGTCCAGAAGCCACAGATCAGAACTGACTGCAGTGTGGGGACCTATGGCAGACAAGCTACTCAGAAAGAGCACGGCGTGTTGCAAAGGAAATAGCTGACTTTATTTATAAATTATTGAAGGAATGACTTTAATGTGTTGTTAACTGTGTCCATTTACAGTGAGGAAGGTGGGCCATATAAGTCATGGTACAGGGTGTAAAATGATTTGATGGGACGTGTCTTCTTTGCTGTTTAATTGTTCCAGTAAGGCTCTGTTGTTGTGAGAGAGGAATGATGAATCACTCGCTCTTTATGAGACATCTCTTCCAGAAAGATGTTTGAAAAATGATTTTTTTTTAAAAAAAACCCACAACATTTATGGTAACCAAGTTTATGTGTGTACTCTGTGCTTTGCACGTGGGAATTTTGTACTCAGTCAATCCAAACTTTTGTGTCCAAAGGGAAGAAGAACAAAAGATAAAAGAGCTGAATTCTGCAGCCTGTAAAAATTATGAAGAATGTCCAAATGAGCATAATTATTCTTACTTTGCATAATCTACACACACTCACCCTCCAAAATTACATACTCCAACCACTGCAAATCTTCTCACTGACTTTTAAGATTTTGGCAGACATTGTCCATGATTTAACTTTTAAGCCTATTGTTTGTCTGTCTGTCCAATATTTATCTATCAGTCCTGCTTCACAAGCTGGAACAATGGGTGATATTAATACCATGATACTGAAAAACATGACATAAGTTACATGAATACTACAGAGAGTTTACATGATCTAAAAATCTTAAACCATGATGCAAGATCTAGCATAAACCCAAGTTGGCCGTTAAAAAGATATTTATATAGTTTTCATGTAACTTATTTCATGTAAGGTATATTTTAAAGATAAGTTACACTAAGGTACACTAAGGCTTTCCTCTGTTTCTGCCTGTAGCTCCTGAAGAAAAAGTTCTGAACTCTGAAACATGCAGAGCTACAGTGAAAAATTTTGCTTTACTGAGCACCAAAAGTTGCTCTCTCTTTTACGACCTGCTGGTCTGTTTAGCCAGCATTGTCTCAAACTCTTTTGGGCCTTTCCTCTTAGTTGTGATACGTTTAGCTTGGCGTGTTTCCATCCCAGGGAGCAACCCCGGGACCTTCTGCTTATACAGGACACAGCCTGCCAAAGAAGTATGGTCCCCCTTGTATCACTATGCATTTTTATAACAATATCTTAGTATGTACAGCTCAAAAGTACTCTATGATGTACTTGAAGACATCCCTAGGAATCTCAGCTCAGAAGCCCCACATTCAAATCTAACCTCAGTCATCAACACATGGGATGACTTGAGGCAAGTCCATATTGCCACAGCCTCTGTCATGTCATAGAATCATAGAACTGTCTTCTTCTTCTTCTTCTTTGGTGATCCCTTGTAGCCGAGTAAGATTGTCTTCCATAAACACGGTTTTAACAATGAGTCTGTAAATGTGGAGGCCAATTTTGGATCCACACATCCTTCCACAGTGGGGACATTGGTTTCCGGGCAGGAGTTGATCACGGTGTGGATTTGCCAAGTGTGCCTTCCTCTTAGCACATTTCTCCCTTGCGTCCTGAGTTCGAGTGTCTTCAAAGCCCATGACACCTTTGGTAAAGGCTGTTCTCCAACTGGAGCGCTCGCAGGCAAGTGTTTCCCAATTGTTGGTGTTTATACTACATTTTTAAAAAATGTGCCTTGAGACAGTCTTTAAACCTCTTTTGTTAACCACCAGCATTACACTTTCCATATTAAAGTTCAGAATAGAGTACCATAGAACTGTAGAGTTGGAAGGGACCCAGGGGTCATCTGTTCCAACCCCCTGAAATGTAGCAACCTCAGCTAAAACATCCATGACAGATGGCCATTCAGCCTCTGCTTAAAAACCTTCAAGGAAGGAGAGTCCATCACCTTCCGAGGGAGTCCATTTCACTGTTGAACAGCTCTTGCTGTCAGAAAGTTCTTCCTGATGCTTAGTTGGAATCTTCTTTATTGTAACTTGAATCCATTGGTTCCGGTTCTAACCTGCTGAGAAGGAGAAAACAAGCTTGCTCCATCTTCCATGCAGCCTAGCCTTTGAGATATTTGAAGATGGCTATCATATCTCCTCTCAGTCTCCCTGTTTTTCAGGCTAAACATACCTAATTCCTGAAGCTTGGCTCTGCCCTCGCTGGTCCTGGAAGGATCCTTTAAAAATGTCCCATATGCTCAGAGACCTTGCGCCTGTTCTTTGGGGGATAAAGGAAGCCCAGAGCACTTGTTCTTTAGATGTCCCTTTTATGTAGAGGCACGTAGTGAGACCATTGATCCCCTGTAAGTGAGGCTCACTGACCTCCCGGAAAAGCAAAAATTCGACCTTTTCCTGTTAGGCAAAGATCATAAGATGACCTGGATGGTCGCCAGATTCTGTGTACAGATCTGTAGGCCAGACCATCCTCCGACTCAAACTAGTTTGTTAAGAAAATGCCCAAACTCGGTTCCATGGGTGACTCTGGGTCATCTCTCTGCGGTAGCTTATCTTAAAGTTTTAAGTGTCTGTACGCTTATCACATTTATAAATTTTAAATTTATTGTTGTACATTGTTTTAAATGTTTGGTTTCCTTCTGGGATTGTACCCCCAAGTGTGTTTTATAAGCTGGTCTCCGACTGTAATAAATTATCTATCTATCTACCTAACTCTCTCAACTCATAAGGCCTGCTTTCCATACCCTTGATCATCTTGGCTGCCTTCCTCTGCACAAGTTCCAGTTTGTCAAGAGCCTTCTTAAATTGTGGTGCCCAGACTGGATGTAATCAGCTTGCAATATGAAGATAACAGCACATCCTTACCTTAAAGCGTTGTTGTAAGGCAGGGATGGAGAACCAATGCTCCTTCGGATGGTAGTATATACATTTAATAAATAATAATAATAACCTACACTGGCTCCAAGTACGTTTCCAAGCATAATTCAAAGTGTTGGTGCTGGCCTTTAAAGCCCTAAACGGCCTCTGTCTAGTATACCTGAAGGAGCGTCTCCACCCCCATCGTTCTGCCTGGACACTGAGGTCCAGCGCCGAGGGTCTTCTGGTGGTTCCCTCGCTGCGAGAAGCCAAGTTACAGGGAACCAGGCAGAGGGCCTTCTTGGTAGTGGCCCCTGCCCTGTGGAACGCCCTCCCACAAGATGTCAAAGAGAACAACAACTACCTGACATTTAGAAGACATCTGAAGGCAGCCCTGTTTAGGGAAGCTTTTAATGTTTGATGCATTACTGTATTTTAATATTCTGTTGGAAGCTGCCCAGAGTGGCTGGGGAAACCCAATCAGATGGGCGGGGTATAAATTTATTTATTTATTTATTTATTTATTTATTTATTTATTTATTATTTGGTTAAGCTACAACTTCCATCAACCCTGTCAATTGTCCATGCTGCCTGGGGCTGATGGGGATCAGAGTCCAACAACAGCTGATTCCTATCCATTTCACCCAGCAAGGTCACTGGTCAGGGATGATGGGAGGTGCAGGCCATCAACCCTTTTTTTCAACGATTGTCAAGTCTGTTGAGCAGTTTGCACACTCAGAAAGTGCAAAATCAATGCTAAGTGTTGTTGCTGCATGTTATTTGTTCCCTTTTGGGCGCGGGGCAGGAGGCTCCATTCCGGCAAATCTTACAATCTCATTTCCTCGCCGTTCTGCGTTCCCTAAAGTTTAAACCGCAACACGAGTAAAACTGTGCGATGCTCTGCTGGAGCCTGGTTGCGATTCTTGGACGGAGCGGCCGTCATATTTCAGACCAGCTCTATTTAAATGAGTTTGGAACTGTGGCTCTCCACAGCAGATGGCTTTGGAAATAATGAAGGCTAAGCAATGCACGCCGTCCCCCTTCCTCCTCTATGCATCACTCCCCCTCCAGTGCTCTCTGTTGCCATGGCAGACCATGAGGCTGAAATGGATTCTTGCTTATTAAATTTGCAAGCTCTTGTGTACTCAGAATGAATGGGGCTCAGTCATAAAGAGGCCCAGCCTCCTCACGACACCGGGGTAGTTTTTTATCTTAGAAAACCAGGCACTCAAACAAAGGCATGCGGAGGTCTCATTAACCTATTAACAGCGACCTCAGAGAGTTCAACCGCAGGGGCTTTTTAACGCTGAGTGCAAGGTGTTTTCCAGGAACGCTCGTAAAAGGCAATGCTCCTGACGATAGGTGCTAATAAACGGTTGTTTATTGGCTCATGGAGGAAGCAAAAATAAAAAATAAAAAATGGCCCTGCTTCCCCCAGGTGAAATGAGCAAAAAAAATCCCCCTTCTCTCTGTTTTTTCAGAAATGTGTCAAGATCCGGAACCTTCTCGTGGAAACCAGAGGAGGGGTGAAAGAAAGATTTTGGGATGAGGGCCAGGCAGAGATGATACATCAAGTGCCCGAAACAGCTAATTCAAGATATATTCCCACCCTGCATATGCTGGTAAAACATATTATGAAAGTGTCAATTGCATACAGGAGTTTCCAGCCTCACTCCTTGGCATCTCCAGGTAGAGCTTGGTTGGACAATCTGCCTAAAACCCTGGGTGGCTGCTGGTCCAACTCAATATTTTTGTTGTTGTTTAGTCATTTAGTCCTGTCCGACTCTTCGTGACCCCCTGGACCAGAGCACGCCAGGCACTCCTGTCTTCCACTGCCTCCCGCAGTTTGGTCAAACTCATGCTGGTAGCTTCGAGAACACCGTCCAACCATCTCGTCCTCTGTCGTCCCCTTCTCCTTGTGCCCTCCATCTTTCCCAACATCAGGGTCTTTTCCAGGGAGTCTTCTCTTCTCATGAGGTGGCCAAAGTATTAGAACCTCAGCTTCAGGATCTGTCCTTCCAGTGAGCACTCAGGGCTGATTTCCTTCAGAATGGAGAGGTTTGATCTTCTTGCAGTCCATGGGACTCTCAAGACAATGCTGAGCTGGTGGACCAATGGCGCAACTCAATATAAAGCACCTTGTTGAGTTAAATCATGGAACGCAAAGCAGAACATGGGTGATTTCCACGTGGTCACCCATCCAGGCAAAGGCCAGACCCAAACATGCTTTGCTTCAGCAAAATGGCAGCCTCATGTGCCTTCATCATCATCATCACCACCACCATCACCATCATCATTTATTACTTATACCCCACCCATCCGGCTGGGCCTCTCCAGCCACTCTGGGCAGCTTCCAACAGGATTATTAAAAACACAATAAAACAATAAATCTTCCCTAAACAGGGCCACCTTCAGATGTCTTCTAGAAGTCAGGTAGTTGTTTATTTCCTTGATATCTGGTGGGATGGTATTCCACAGGGCGGGCACCACCACCAAGAAGGCCCTCTGCCTGGTTCCCTGTAACCTCACTTCTCGCAGGGAGGGAACCAGCAGAAGACCCTTGGAGGAGGATCTCAGTGTCCGGGCTGAACAATGGGGGTAGAAACGCTCCTTCATATATACTGGGCCGAGGCCCTTTGGGGCTTTAAAGGTCAGCACCAACACTTTGAATTGTGCTTCAGGCAGAATATGCATAGCAGCACTGGATTTAGGGTGTTGTGGGTGGTTCCCCTGCACATGGCACTGAGCTGAGGGGTGCAAAACTGATAAGATCCATAAGTGAGAAGATTCCATTTGGGGTCGCCAAATTTTGGGCTCACACAGGGTGCCATATTACGAAAGATTAACAAAATCTGCCCTTGTCCCTAGCATAGAGGTGTCAATTTCAGTTTCTAATTTTTTTCACATCCTTATTTTTCGTTCTCTATATTTCTACATCTGTTTGTATTCTTATTTTTTAAATCAATATGAAATTTCAGCAGCATTTTAGGGTACAGTGGTACCTCCGGTTACATACACTTCAGGTTACATACGCTTCAGGTTACAGACTCTGCTAACCCAGAAATAGTACCTCGGGTTAAGAACTTTGCTTCAGGATGAGAACAGAAATCTTACAGCGGCGGCAGCGGGAGGCCCCATTAGCTAAAACAGTTTCAGGTTAGGAACTGACCTCCGGAACGAATTAAGTACTTAACCCGAGATACCACTGTTGTACATTTCTCCTAGTATACGCATGCTTTGGTATGCAGTTTTGCACAATACAGTGATACCTTGGTTCCCAAACGGCTTGGCTCCTGAACATATCGGCTCTTGAACGCCGCAAACCCGGAAGTAAGCCGAATGTCTGGAAGCTGAATGTCTGACGCAGCTTACGCAGCTTCTGCAGCTTCTGCAGCTTCCGCTTGAGTGCAGGAGGCTCCTGCAGTCAATCGGAAGCCACGCCTTGGTTTTCAAACAATTTCGAGAGTTGAACCGACTACTGGAACAGATTAAGTTCGAGAACCAAGGTTCCACTGTACACACATTCTTGAAAAGCGATTTCCCCTGGGCGCTGTGGTCTAAAGCCCAGAGCCTAGGGCATGGGTAGGCAAACTAAGGCCCGGGGCCGGATCCGGCCCAATCGCTTTCTAAATCCGGCCCACAGATGGTCCGGGAATCAGCATATTTTTACATGAGTAGAATGTGTCCTTTTATTTAAAATGCATCTCTGGGTTATTTGTGGGGCCTGCCTGGTGTTTTTACATGAGTAGAATGTGTGCTTTTATTTAAAATGCATCTCTGGGTTATTTGTGGGGCATAGGAATTCGTTCATATATTTTTTTCAAAATATAGTCCGGCCCCCCACAAGGTCTGAGGGATAGTGGACTGGCCTCCTGCTGAAAAAAATTGCTGATCCCTGGTAGGGCTTGCCGATCAGAAGGTCGACGATTTGAATCCCCGCGACAGGGTGAGCGCCCGTTGCTCAGTCCCAGCTCCTGCCCACTTAGCAGTTCAAAAGCACATCAAAGTGCAAGTAGATAAATAGGCGGCGGGAAGGTAAACAGCATTTCCGTGCGCTGCTCTGGTTCGCCAGAATTGGCTTAGTCATGCTGGCCACATGACCCGGAAGCTGTACGCTGGCTCCCTTGGCCTATAGAGCGAGGTGAGCACGCAACCGCAGAGTCTTCTGCAACTGGACCTAATGGTCAGGGGTCCCTTTACCTTTAACTGCAGATAAGGCGGTGTCACATCTAGTAAAGGCAAGCTAACGCAGGGGCAACAGGATCTGGCTTAGACAATGCAGAAGTGTCCAGGACCTTGGACAGAGCATTGTGAGAAAGTTGACTTGAGTAGTCTCATCGATGGGTGTTGTATTCCTCCTCGCTCTGAATAGTTTGGCTTCTTTAGGTTCAGAGTCAGTCCATGGAGGTAAGCTGACCAGAAAGGGCCAGGATGGCTATGCCACAGGAAGGATGCTGCCTCCATTTCCAATGGGACTCTGACTTTGCTGAGAGGCATCTCATAAGTAGCAGGCCCTGTTGATCTTCAACAACCTCATGATGACCTGACACTTTGCTAGTTCCCAAAAATATTATAAAAATAACAGACGGTGACTCTGTTGGCATTCGTTTCATTTGCTCGTTTTATTTTCCCTCTGGGACACCTTGGCCATGATCCAGTGCAGAGTTAGGCACACTTAAGTGCATTGGAATCAATGGGCTTAAGTGCACTCAGCTCCGTGTTGGATTCCATGCTCTACCTTGCACCCTGTGGAACTACACCGCTTAACAGAGTAATTGAGCGTCACTCTAATAATTCCCTAATTTCCCATATATACCATCTCATTAATATGCTTCATATTGCCATGAGTCAAGGTCAAATAGCTGTTGTAAATTAGAGATCTCTCTAGATCTTTTGGACCCAACCTGCATGGCTCATGGACAGGGGTGAAGAGAATTGCAGAAGGCAGCAGGCTGGGAAGGCTAAATGACCCTGCCCATCATGGTTTGTTCTATGCAGAAGTCCACAGGAGAAACGACTAAGGGCACCACCTGTTGCGTTTCAGTGTCACTGCTTTGCGAGATCTCAAGCCAGAAAGCCAGTCTTTTAAATTCTCTGCAAGAAAGCTGAACTGGGACACTGGTCACAGGTCTACAGTTGGTGTTGTAGTCAGATTGTTGGACTATTCTTCTTCTTCTTTGGAGATCACTCGTAGCCGAGTAAGATTGTCTTCCATAAACACGGTTGTGTCTGTAAGTGACTGTGGAGGCCAATTCTGGATCCACACCTTCTTCCACAGTGGGGACAGTGGTTTCTGGGTGGGAGTTGATCGCGGTGTGGATCTGCCAAGTGTGCCTTCCTCTTAGCACATTTCTCCCTTGTGTCCTGAGTTCAAGTGTCTTCAAAGCCCATGACACCTTTGGTAAAGACTGTTCTCCAATTGGATTGTTGGTATTTATACTACATTTTTTTAGGTTTGCCTCGAGACAGTCTTTAAACCTCTTTTGTTGACCACCAGCATTACACTTTCCATTTTAAAGTTTGGAATAGAGTCGTTCCTTTGGAAGACGATAATCAGGCATCTGCACAACATGACCAGTTCAACGAAGTTGATGTAGAAGAATCATTGCTTCAACACTGGTAATATTTGCTTCTTCCTGTCTTCCCAAGTGATGGGTAGAATTTTTCGGAGACGCCGTTGATGGAATCTTTCGAGCAGTTGGAGATGGCGTTTGTAAGTGGTCCATGTTTCACAAGCCTACAGTAAGGTTGGTAGTACAATAGCTTTGTAAACAAGCATTTTGGTTTCCCTGTGAATGTCTCGGTCCTCAAACACTCTGCGATTCAGTCTTGAGAAAGCTGCGCTCGCAGAGCTCAGGCGATGCTGGATTTCAGCATCAGTGTCAGCCCTTGTGGAACAATAACTGCCCAGGTAGGAGATGTGATCAACATTTCCCAACATTACACCGTTGAGTTGGATTTGTGGTGCTGCAGAGGGGTTATTTTGTAAGAGTGTTGGAGTAGGACCTGGGAGACCAGGGTTCAAATCCCCCACTTGACCATGAGGCTCCCTGGGTGACCTTGGGCCAGACACCAGTTCTCAGCCTAACCTACCTTACAGGGTTGTTGTGGGGATTAAATGTAGAGAGGATATTAACAATTGACCATGACATTCAGTATTCAGATTTTGGATTACAGCTTTGCCATTGAAACCCTACTGTTTAGACCAGCTGAGTGAAATGAAACAAGTTAATGTGAAATGTTTCTAAAGCCAATACGCAATAGTGATGAAGATGTTGGGTGGGAACAGAGAGTGGCCTCGGGTGAGCAAATATGCCTCCAGCCATTTAGCCTACCAGATTGCCTTGCTGTGCCTGTCACCTTTGGAGATGATGACTTGCCTTCTTCCTCCTTGGAAAAGTCTCCAAGTGGTTGCAGATCAGATTCCAGGTCTGGCAGAGTCATGGGTTTTTTTTCCTGGGCAGATGGCCTTGGCCCTGGTTCAGGATTGTAGTGGTGTCTAAAAGAGGAGCCTGGAGGTTGACCCACTGAATGTTATGGCTGTTGCCATCTCCTCCCCATTGCTTTCGTCAGGCATGCCCTCCAGCTTGTGGGCTGGTTGGCTGAATGGGTGGTAAAGCGATGGCGGAAGCTAACAATAATGCCAGCCTGGGCAATGTGCTCTTGTCAGTCTTGTGGGGTCTTGGTGCCCGACACCATGAGCAAATTTGTGGCCTGTGTGGATTTCTGTGGCTGCTGACTGTGTACACACACACACACACACACACACACACACACATCCCCTCCAACTTGGCACCAACTTGACACAGCTCTGCCTTTGTTCTGTATGTCAATGGAGAAGCCTGGCTGTCAGGAGCGGCGTGAGCCAATGGCAGCGTTCCATAAACCCAAACCCCATTAAAATAACAAAGGACCCTGCCACACTTCTGGGAGGAGATGTGGTTTTTTTTCTTCCTCTCTGCACCCCACCCCTTCCAGGCTGCAGGCGTCATTAAACAAGCAGGCACAGCTAATGGGCTTTAGACACTCAAAGGCTCAGCTTTTCTAAGCCCAGCTGTCATGGAAGGGAGTGCTGAGAGCCCCCTCCCTCCGCAAATAACTAAAAAGTGCCCAGGCTCAAGCGACAATTCCCCCTTCCTCTCTCCCCTTTCAAAAAAAATCAAAATCAAAAGGGAGGTGGGGAGGAGCCAGTCTGTGCAAAATAGTGAGCAATTAATGTGAAACAAAAGCAAATGAATCAAGAGGGCTAATTATATGGGGTATAAATCCAAATAAGAGGAGTTGAAGAGAGAGAGAGAGAGAGGATGCCGGAGGGTGTTTTCTTTTTCTTTTTTGGGGGGGTGGGTGGGGAAATGGGGGGAAGCAGCCTATGATGCTGAAGAAAGAGATCAGTTGGTGAGACAAATATGCATAAATTTCTTGGAGCGACATAAAGAAGCCGAGAAGTAGTGGGAGGTTTTGGGAATGTCCCCAAGTGAGTCATTCTTTGGACGTCTGTCGGCTTGACGCAACCCTTGACGCCTTGCGCTTTCTTTTCAGGGCCTCCTGCACAAATAGTGAGCCAAGATGAGAAAGGGAAGGAGGGAGGAGAAGACATTCTCTTCTCTTCTCTCTCTCTCTGTTCAGAGAGAAGATCTAAATCTGCTCCAATCCTTTGTCCCTGTACCCTGGGTGCACAATTGGAACCTAAAGAAGAAGCTAGAAAGTTAGAAAGTCCTGTCCATCTATCATCTATCATGTTTAATCGTTTAGTCGTGTCCGACTCTTCATGACCCCCTGGACCAGAGCACGCCAGGCACCCCTGTCTTCCACTGCCTCCCGCAGTTTGGTCAAACTCATGCTGGTAGCTTCGAGAACACTGTCCAGCCATCTCGTTCTCTGTCTTCCCCTTCTCCTTGTGCCCTCCATCTTTCCAACATCAGGGTCTTTTCCAGGGAGTCTTCTCTTCTCATGAGGTGGCAAAAGGATTGGAGCCTCAGCTTCAGGATTTGTCCTTCCAGTGAGCACTCAGGGCTGATTTCCTTCAGAATGGAGAGGTTTGATCTTCTTGCAGTCCATGGAACTCTCAAGAGTCTCCTCCAGCACCATAATTCAAAAGCATCAATTCTTCGGCGATCAGCCTTCTTTATGGTCCAGCTCTCACTTCCATACATCACTGCTGGGAAAACCATAGCTTTAACTATACGGACCTTTGTTGGCAAGGTGATGTCTCTGCTTTTCCTGGTGTTCAGCCCAAATCTATCCTTCTGTAGCTATCTTGAACTGGTTGGACACTGAGGAATGGTGGGAGGATGCAGCTCGGGAACTACCAAGGAAAAATGGCTCTGAACCTAAGGAGTGGTGGTGGGACAATGAGGAGTGGTCACAGGGAGAATCATTTGCACATGATTTCATGCAAGTGCACAATGACCCAGAAATGTCCGGGATGTTGAGGTTGATTGCTTGACAATGTTGAGTTTCATTCCCGAAAAACCTCAACAACTTTTGTGTCTTGCATTTTACTTCTAGAAATATGGCAACCCTGACTTAGCAGCATTTCTACGCTGCTTAATCATCAAAACCTCTAAGTGGTTTACATAAAATATACATTAAAATGACCAATAAAATCAGATGTACACTGTACATTATAATTACTGATAAAATCAGACACTTGCTCCACAGTAACTCAGAGCAGGGCTTTCAGTGTAGCTACCCCTGTTCTGTGGAATAGTTTTCCTGTCAAGATATGACAGATGCCCACTATCTGCAATTTCTAGGAACATTTGAAGACATTTTTGTTCTGACAGACTTTCCCAGCTGGATGAATGGGGTCTCTGTCACAGATGTTCCCTTGTAACATGTACAGTTCATTTGCTGTTATTTTCTGTGTTGTTTTTAACTGGGTTTTTAAAAGCTGTTTTCATTATACTGTGTACATTGCCTTGAGACGTATATGTGGAAGGCAAATGGTTATCATTAATCATAATAATTTTAAAACAAGTTAGCTTAAATGTTTTCAGAATGAAATGAGAAGATTCAAAAGTATACATTATAAAATAAAGTTGCATGTTAGAATACATGTCAAATGTACCTGTCTGAGTAGGCCTGCTTAAACAATACTACAGAGACATTGCACATACTTTTGTAAACCAAGAAAATCTTTAATAAAAATACATTTAAAAAACAATGAAGGATGGGGGATTGGCACTGATCAGCGAAGACAGTCAGAAGTTGGAAGAATAATGCAAATGATGTGACTTATAAATGTTGGAGAGGGAGAGAGAGAGAGAGGGAGATGTTTAAAGAAGAGAATGATATACAAATGGAAAGTAAAGAAACCAAGCAAGTTGAAGAATACATCTATTTAGGACAAAATAATAATATTGGGAAGAGAAAATCAAACAGTGGAAATAGAGAGGAGAATGAAGCAATCAGGAAAACTCAGCTTTATAATGGAAAAATAGAAATATTTCCTTAGATGTGAAAGCTAAAGTGTTGAATATGTGCATATTACCTGTGATGTGTTGTGAAGCGGAGAACTGGACTATGACGCAGAGAAACATGAACAGCTTAAAACAGCACAGCCTGCCATGGAAGACATCATGTTAGGAATATCATGGAAAGGTGGGGAAGCTAATCATTGGATATGACAACGATCAAAAGTTATGGGCATAGTGGGAAGAGCCCCAAATAAAAATGGACATAGGCAGGACATCTGGCAAGAGAGAGGACTCAGCCCAATGAAATAAAGCAGTGCTACTTTGGAGGCCCCACTGTTGCAAAAGACCAAGGGGAAGGTAAAGGTAAAAAAGGTAAAGGACTCCTGGACGGTTAAGTCTGACTATAGGGTTGCGGCCTTTGACTGTGTCGACCACAGCAAACTTTGGCAAGTTCTTAAAGAAATGGGAGTGCCTGATCACCTCATCTGTCTCCTGAGAAATCTCTATGTGGGACAAGAAGCTACAGTTAGAACTGGATATGGAACAACTGATTGGTTCAAAATTGGGAAAGGAGTACGGCAAGGCTGTATATTGTCTCCTGCTTATTTAACTTATATGCAGAATTCATCATGCGAAAGGCTGGGCTGGATGAATCCCAAGCCGGAATTAAGATTGCCGGAAGAAATATCAACAACCTCAGATATGCAGATGACACAACCTTGATGGCAGAAAGTGAAGAGGAATTAAAGAACCTTTTAATGAGGGTGAAAGAGGAGAGCGCAAAATATGGTCTGAAGCTCAACATCAAAAAAACAAAGATCATGGCCACTGGGCCCATCTCCTCCTGGCAAATAGAAGGGAAGAAATGGAGGCAGTGAGAGATTTTACTTTCTTGGGCTCCATGATCACTGCAGATGGTGACAGCAGTCACGAAATTAAAAGACGCCTGCTCCTTGGGAGACAGGTGATGGCAAACCTAGACAACATCTTAAAAAGCAGACACATCACCTTGCCAACAAAGGTCCGTATAGTAAAAGCCATGGTTTTCCCAGTAGTGATGTATGGAAGTGAGAGCTGGACCATAAAGAAGGCTGATCGCCGAAGAATTGATGCTTTTGAATTATGGTGCTGGAGGAGACTCTTGAGAGTCCCATGGACTGCAAGAAGATCAAACCTCTCCATTCTGAAGGAAATCAGCCCTGAGTGCTCACTGGAAGGACAGATCCTGAAGCTGAGGCTCCAATACTTTGGCCACCTCATGAGAAGAGAAGACTCCTGGAAAAGACCCTGATGTTGGGAAAGATGGAGGGCACAAGGAGAAGGGGACGACGGAGAATGAGATGGTTGGATGGTGTTCTTGAAGCTACCAGCATGAGTTTGATCAAACTGCGGGAGGCAGTGGAGGACAGAAGTGCCTGGCGTGCTCTGGTCCAGGGGGTCACGAAGAGTCGGACACGACTAAACGACTAAACAACAAATAGGGTTGCGGTGCTCACCTCACTTTCAGGCCAAGGGAGCTGGCGTTTGTCCACAGACAGCTTTCCGGGTCATGTGGCCAGCAGGACTAAACCACTTCCGGCACAATGGAACACTGTGACAGAGGATGAGATGGTTGGACAGTGTTCTCGAAGCTACCAGCATGAGTTTGGCCAAACTGCAGGAGGCAGTGGAAGACAGAAGTGCCTGGCGTGCTCTGGTCCATGGGGTCACGAAGAGTCGGACACGACTAAACAACTAAACAACAACAACAACAAGAAGGACAATTTGGCAATGGAACCACTGACCTAGAAGATATCTCCTTCCTGGAGATCTTCAGTCACAGGTTGGACAGCTACCTGCTTTACTTCTAGATTTCTTGCACTGAGCAGGTGGTTGGTCTCTAGATGGCTATAGAAGCTCCTGAGTCCATCAAAGCAAGTATTGACTTCTGGGACATGAGAGCAGTACATGTGAAAAGGATCTAGGAGTCTTGGTTGACCACAAACTTGACATGAGCCAACAGTGTGACGCGGCAGCTAAAAAAGCCAATGCAATTCTGGGCTGCATCAATAGGAGTATAGCATCTAGATCAAGGGAAGTAATAGTGCCACTGTATTCTGCTCTGGTCAGACCTCACCTGGAGTACTGTGTCCAGTTCTGGGCACCACAGTTCAAGAAGGACACTGACAAACTGGAACGTGTCCAGAGGAGGGCAACCAAAATGGTCAAAGGCCTGGAAACGATGCCTTATGAGGAACGGCTAAGGGAGCTGGGCATGTTTAGCCTGGAGAAGAGGAGGTTAAGGGGTGATATGATAGCCATGTTCAAATATATAAAAGGATGTCACATAGAGGAGGGAGAAAGGTTGTTTTCTGCTGCTCCAGAGAAGCGGACACGGAGCAATGGATCCAAACTACAAGAAAGAAGATTCCACCTAAACATTAGGAAGAACTTCCTGACAGTAAGAGCTGTTTGACAGTGGAATTTGCTGCCAAGGAGTGTGGTGCAGTCTCCTTCTTTGGAGGTCTTTAAGCAGAGGCTTGACAACCATATGTCAGGAGTGCTCTGATGGTGTTTCCTGCTTGGCAGGGGTTGGACTCGATGGCCCTTGTGGTCTCTTCCAACTCTATGATTCTATGATTCTATGATTTTCTCAGAGGCATCAAGCGCTACACTTGTACAGTGACATCAGTGTGAATAAACACCAACTGAAGTGGAGCATTGCATTTATTGAGTGAATGATGCCAAGGCTCCTGTGATAAAGAGGTGGGGACGGCCGTTCCCCGAGTCTATGCTTTCGAGAAGAACATTGAATACATGAAAAAGTACTAGATTCCGAGAAAACGGAAACAAAACATTTTATTTTTAACGAGGAAATAAAACATCGGGGAGGGTGTTATTCATTCTGCTCTGCCCATAATTAACATGCATTCGTCCGATTCTTTTATTAATGTTCAAGAGAGAAAGAGTCAATGCCCAGGGGGTCATACACCTTCCTGCACTTTGCCGAGTTTTCAATTTGCAAGACAAAGGCACCGCACGACAAGGATGCGATGTTGCACTATTGAATGTGGATAGAGAATTCTCTCTCTGCAAAGCAAAGGCCCAATTCAAAGTCGGATCTGCACTCGAAGGACACCATCCTTTCTCCTTGCCCATGGCATGGAGGCTGTGTAGGAGCTCCACTCACAGCCAAATGTAACACTCGCTGCTGCAGGTGTGTCATGCCAGCTCAAGTTCTCTTGTGTGGGTTCAATGGCAGATCAGAGGAGTCTTTCTCCACTTCACAAAGGGATGATCTTGCCGCCTTTGCTCCTCCTTGGCTGCAATCATAACGGGAGACACTCTTGTCATTTCCCAAGGCTACGCTATCGAGAAGAATGTAATAATAAAAAAGAGGGATCAGAATTGGAAAAAACACACATTCAGAAGCAGGGACATTGTCTTTGGAGCCTTTTATAAGCAAATTAAATGTGGAGTCTTCATTATTTCTGGTGCTTTTCTCACCGTGACTGCCGTATGGGAAGCAAGTACTAAGCCACAATCAGAAGTGCATGGAGAAGAAGTTAAATCAATAAATTAATCAGGGGAGACAGAATTCTGCAGTGGTTAGAGCACTGGACTAGAACTCAGGAGACCTAAGTTCAAATTCTCATTCAGCCCAAAAGCTCATTGGGTGACCTTGGATCATTCACTGACAGTCAGCTTAACCCGCTTCAGATTTGTCAGATTTCGGTCCACTTATTTTCAGGCCTAGAGATGATTAATAATAATACTAATAATAATACTAATAATA